ACATAGACTTTATCTAAACATAAAGGCTCCACATAAGCTGTTCACAGCGCCTGTCTGTTAGACACAGATGAATACAAGTTAAAGGAATAGTACACCCAAAACATGATTAGCCTTCATTTTCTACTCACCCCCATGCTGAACAACACTCTGGAGTACTTTTTTGTTATCTCAAATGCATCTGGAGATCTGGGAGGCTTCTTGCTGTCTGCTGACATTCAAATAATGGAGGTCTATGGCGCCCGAGGCAGAAAGGTCCATAAAAGTCCACAAAAAACGTGTCAATATTCCTCCATACTGCTCGTCCAATGTATTCCAAGTGTCCTGAGTGGGTAGCGTCCATAATTTACTCGAAACGAAGTCATTTAGAATGTTTTTAGAGCATAAACAGTAGTGTATAGGATTTCCTAAAAGCGCATTCACGAGTCTACGGAAACCGCGGCAGACCAAACCAGATGAAAGTGCGCATTCAGCTCGGCAAAGAACTCATGCTCTTCCTCAACACTGAAGTCCTCAGACATTTTTCTTTCGTTGTTTCTTTCTTTGCACAGGTAAACAGCACATTTCTTCTTCTACGCTTGCATTATCAGCAGAGCAGACGCTGAATGCGCACTTTCATCTGGTTTGGTCTGCCGCGGTTTCCGTAGACTCGTGAACGCGCTTTTAGGAAATCCTATACACTACTGTTTATGCTCTAAAAACATTCTAAATGACTTTGTTTCGAGTAAATTATGGACGCTACCCACTCAGGACACTTGGAATACATTGGACGAGCAGTATGGAGGAATATTGACACGTTTTTTCTGGACTTTTATGGACCTTTCTGCCTCTGGCGCCATAGACCTCCATTATTTGAATGTCAGCAGACAGCAAGAAGCCTCCCAGATCTCCAGATGCATTTGAGATATCAAAAAAGTACTCCAGAGTGTTGTTCAGCATGGGGGTGAGTAGAAAATGAAGGCTAATCATGTTTTGGGTGTACTATTCCTTTAAAGCTCTAACCTGGGAGGTCAGGTGTTGTGTCCCAGTTCCATAGTGTCATCCAAGCCATAAAACATCCATCCTTTTGCCTTTAAAGATACAGTGGGAGGGATCTAAACATAGACTTTATCTAAACATAAAGGCTCCACATAAGCTGTACTCAGCGCCTGTCTGTGTTAGACACAGATGAATACAAGTTAAGGTCGTTAACTGCTCGCACCTCTACAGAACCACACCGGCTAAAATCCAATCCAAACTGCTTCTCCTGCAAACCTCTTTGATTCATATGTTTTGGTCACATGGTTTTTCATCCACACGCCTTTCAAACGGGGCTTTAACATTTCTAAAACAAATAATTGTTTTACAAATACTTTTTTTTTGTTATAGTTGTATAAACAAATAAAATGAGATTTAAAATTCCACCTGACATGTGTGACTCTTCAGGATTAATGGAACAGCAGGTATAAATTTTTAGCCCCGCCCCCTAATGGCCACCTTCATTTGAAACTAGAGGCTCAGACCTTTCCAGAGGTCATTGTGCGATCATTTCAGTTGATGTAACCGGAATGCATTACATAAGCTTGCTCTGTTATTCTTATTTTCTATTCAGTTTGGTGATATTATTGGTAGATTTTAATGCAACAACTACAAAATCTTCGGAGCAAAGGCTTGGCTTTATGCAGAAGGTCTCCAATAATGGAAATCAGCATATTTTTCTGACCAGATTCCCTTTTATTAATGGAAAAATGCATTTTTGCACCATTTTTCACATCCCATTTTCTCCTAGCACACTGCCCACTAAAACCTCTGTGGAACAAACATGCTTTAACTTATTCAGCCCAAATTTGCTTGAGTTATAGACAAGATGTGGATCTATAAAGTCTGAGGGTTCATGCAAAGATTGAAATGGGCTTTCTTGGTGTTTGGCAGTGTTTATTTTGGAATAAAAAAATGGCAAGGCTAAATATTTTTCGTTTTTTTTCTGTTTAATCACCTATAAAACCAAAAATGGTGACATTTATACGAAGGGGTATTAGGACCAAGCTAGAGAAGTTTTTTCTATTTAGAGAATAAAGTCGTAAAATTATGAGAATAAAGTTGTAAAATTACTAGGATAAAGTCATAAAATTATGAGAATAAATTCCTAACATTAAGAGAATAAAGTCCTAAAATTATGAGAAACGAGTTGTATTTTATGACAACTCTTCCCAGAAGCCCTTTCTTCCCTCTAATGAGGAATGTGGAGCATCGTGTGAAGTTCTACTTTAGCATCGGTTTGACCAATCAGGAAATCTTTTAGCAGCAGCATCAAACTGGGCAGGAGGTCAAAGTGGACTCTGGTTGCTGATTGGTGGAGCTGGTCGGCCGTCATCTGCTGGGCGGAGCTCCAAGCTTTCTTTCTGAAACGGGTTGCTGTACGATGACTTAATTCTCGTAATGTTACGACTTTATTCTCAAAATAAAATAAATCTCTAGCCTGGCCCTAATACTCCGTCGTACATTTGAAATAGTAATTCCCCCTGAAAAATATTCCTCAATGCCTTTCTGTCATACTAATTCAAACAATTGTATTTCCTGTTTATAGTTTGGGAGCTATACTCGCTTTAATTCACATATCTAATTTCTCCCAATAAGAGGTTAAAGCAATAAGTAGTAAAGTCCAAAATCCAGCTAAAAAGTTTCAGAATATATGGCAAGCTCTCGCTATACTATGACTAAACACTTGTCCTCATCTCTGCTTTTTTTCTGTTCTGTTCTTCTCTTTTTTTCCCCTTTTTTTTGTCGAATTTTTTTAATATCTGTGTGCATCCATTCAGTAACCCTCTAGACGCCACATCCCAGCAGACCCTGTGTGGCGGGGGGGACATATGTGGACCTTCTGTTTTGTTATGCTTTATAATCAGAACACTTGCTCAACACGGGGATCACTTTGACTGATTTTATGTATAATTCAGTCGTTTAAAGGCTAGATAGAAGGAGCAGACGGTGGGCAGCTAGCAGACCATCGCTGACGTCTAAATCAGGGTTCCCGCGGGTCCTTAAAAAGTCTTAGAAGGCATTGAATTCTTCAAAATAAAACTAAGGCCTTAATTGGTATTAAAATGTCTTAAATCAGTCTTTCGTAGGTCTTCATTTTTAAAACATCATAAATAGGATTATTTTTATTACGATTTATTTTGTAATCTAAATAAAACGTTAAAATTGACAAATTTTATTTTATTTTTTATAAAAAAAAAAAATAACGTCTCGCCATTAGGGATGGGAATCGAAAACCGGTTCCTGTTCAGAACCGGTTCCGTATTTTCCGATTCCATGGCATCGTTTGGCAGCTCGCTGAACGATTCTTTTTTCGATTCCCGCAGCACCAGAGCCTAGAGCGCCGGCTCTGAGGAGCACGACTTACGTCACGTTTTTTACGCAAGTTCCGCAAGTTGAAAGAACTGTTCGAGGAGGAAGACAACGAGCTGCGGTCACTTTGTGAATCAAAGCCGCGTCTTTCCTTAGCCCAGAGGGTAGATCAGGAAATCCAGCTCTATAAAAGCTTGCCCTCCATCCCCTGCAGGGATAGCGCCACACTGTGGTGGAACAAGCAAGATACGCTGCCCTTGCTATCTGGACTGGCTGAAAACTACCTCTGTGTGCAGGCTTCCTCCACCCCATCTGAGAGGGTGTTCTCCACGGCTGGAGACACCATAAGCCCTGAAAGATCCTGTATCCTTCCAGAAAAAGCAGATATGCTCATCTTTCTGCAAAAGAACTGTTAATTTTCCCTACTACTGTTTTATAATTAGTATTTTTTGTTATTTAAAATAGGTTATTATCCCATCATTTGTTATTAGACATTGTTGGTTATTAAGTTTGTTCTTGTATTCATTTTTCATGTAAACACAGATGTTACTCCAGTTTCACATTTCCTGTGGACATCTTGATCTTGTTGAGTTTGTAAGATTGTGCAATAGTTAAGTAAACAAAGTTGATGCTGATAATCAAACTGTTTGTTCTCCTTTTTCCCCCAAATTGGAATCGAAAAAAGAATCGATAAAGAATCGAATCGTTTCATAGAATCGAAAAGGGAATCGGAATCGTGAAAATCTTTTCAATTCCCAACCCTAATCGCCATTATTGGTTCCGTCCCGATAGCGGAACCAATAAAGCGTTGTTGCGGCCGGGACATTAGGGAGATGCTCCATTAACTTTTTGTCTGGAAAATATGAGCAAGTGTAAATGTAACCAAAATTGTCTCCAGCCAAGAGTTTCCTCCACGGCTAAAACCAGGGAACATACATGAGGCTCAGTGGATTTAGTGCAAGAAGTCATTGAAGCTCAGAACGATGGGAATTAAGGCAGTGGAGTCGCACATGCGAAGCACGAAACACAAAGCGTCAAAATGGAGTTACAGAGAAACAGCCGGTATTTTTCAGTTTAGTTCCACCCTTGTCTCTGCAACGCCTCCACTTATCACCAAATCAAACATACTAAGAAAACCATACAAAGAAAAATAGCTGCAAAAAAGACTTAGCACTGGTTATGTTGGGGCTTTAAAACTGATTAGTTTTGTTCCCTGCTAAAACAAAGTTTGTGAATTCAGTTAAATAATTGTTCAAATATATCTGTCATTTGTGTGTTTTTAGCTTTCTTCCTGTATGGGAAGCTTTTCAACATTTGAAACATTAGTGCAGTGGTTTATGTTAAAATAAACCTTTGGGTTAAGTTGTTGCAAGCAGGTTTTTCTTGTTTCTTGTGAATTTGGTCTTAAATTTTTATTTCAAGTGGCATTAAAACGTCTTGAATGTAACTTGCCTTATGCTGCAGGAACCCTGTAAACTCTTCTTTCACCTTCCTTTGAATGCAGGACCAACCGGGTCTGTTTAGTTTGGTAAAGAGCAGCTCAGGAAAGGAAAGCTGACTCTGTATGTTTCCACTCCCACTCTTTTATTAGTTGTGAGGTTTCACTTGAAGCTAATAGTTTATTACCTCCAGCTGGCAGCTGTGAGTAATGAGTTGTACCTCGTTTCTTGCAGCTTAGATAAACTGCTGGATTCAGGCTTGTATACGGGAGAGATAACGGAGCTGTCAGGAGGAGCAGGAAGCGGCAAATCTCAGGTGAGCATTCCCTCTGCGTCCCGCAGTACCACGGGTCCTTTCAGCCTCTTGAACTCTCTCCTGCTCCGGAGGAATGTGGCTGAATAAATGGCTTCGGCGGACATTGTTTTAGAAACGTTGGAGCGTTTCAGCCTGCTCTCTCTCATGTGTTTTCAGGTGTGTTTTGGTGTGTCGGTGCACACCGCACACCGTCTGAAGCAGAGCGTGATCTACATCGACACAACAGGAGGGCTCACCGCCAGCCGCCTGCTGCAGATCCTGCAAACTGAAACAAATAATACAGACGAGCAGGTGAGGCGCAAGATGTTGTTTTACACAAGTATGATGTTTAATATAAAATGAGCTGACAGTTAAAACTTTTCCTCTGTAGATGGAAGCTCTACAGAGGATTCACACCTTCCGCCTGTTTGACGTCTACGCTCTGCTCGACTGCCTGTACGGGCTCTGCGGCGGCGGCCTTCAGAAGGTTCGTTTGCATAAAACACACCAGCCGCGCCGTCGGGACCTTCAGGAAGGAGGGCCGAGCTGTCTAAATTTGTCACATTTTGTGTCGAGGCGTGTGTCGGCGGCGGCTCTGTCAAGGTGATGATCGTGGACTCGGTGTCAGCCGTTATCGCTCCTCTGCTGGGAGGCAAACAGAACGAAGGTGAAGATCTCTTTCTGCTGCTCTGTCACATTCAGGGAAACCCGAGGCTGTGCTCACATCTGCAGCTTCCTCATCTGTGGAGCCCTGTGTGTTTTATGAAGGATGACATTTACATAAAAGGAAGAATAACAGTAGCAGTAGAGTCAGAGTAAAGCTAAAGTAGAGTGATAGCTTAGTAAAAGTAAAAGTCTTATCCCATTGACTTTGTTCAGCTTTATTGTTATTCAATTCAATTGTTTTGTAAATTAACAGCTGCTAAACTACCAGATGTTTAAGGTAGCTGTATATGGATGAAAACCAAAGGCAGCACTCTAGCAGCTTAATGCTAAGTTAGGTTATTTGGAAAACAAATTCCATTCTATTCAGTTTATTTCTATAGCTCCAATTCACATCATGTCATCTCAGGTCACTTTCCAGTTCACCAGATCTTCCAGTCAGATTGATTCAACGTTTTCTATCTAAGATAAACCAGCTGATTGCATCGACTCATTGACTCCTCAGCAATCCCTCACACTAAGCATGCTTGTAGCGACAGTGGAGAGGAAAAACTCCCTTTGAATAGGAAGAAACCTCCAGCAGAACCAGGCTCAGTGTGAGCGGCCATCTGCTGAGGCCCACTGGGGTTCAAGGAGACAGAAGCAGACATAGAAAAAGAAGCATAGATACAAAAGGCAACTGTCAACCAGCTCCACAGGCGGCCCCGTCCAGGAAACACACAGCCAGGCAGACGAGCTCCGAGCCAGCTCCCATGTCAGAGGATGAAGAGAGCACATCCAGTTAGTCACAGTCAGAGAAACAGGACTACACTGGAAAACAGGCCAAGCTCCAACATCTAGAAACAAAGGTGTTGATGGCAGCAGCACAGCTGATGTTTCTCTCCCGGATGGAGTCACAGCCAAACAGGAACAGACCAGATGAAGCTACTATGAGAAAAAGCAGAGAGAGCAGAACGTTAGAGATTGAACTAACAGATTCTGCAGAGTGGGAGAATAGAGATAGAATGAAGCAGAATGATGAAAAAGGGGTCCCTATGTCCTCCAGCAGTCTAAGCCTATAGCAGCAGAACTATAGAGATAGCTCAGGATAACCTGAGCCACTCTAACTAGAAGCTTTATCAAAAAGGAAAGTTTTAAGCCTAGCCTTAAAAGTAGACAGGGTGTCTGCCTCACGGACTAAAAGTTTGCTTTTAACCCTTTCATGCATGAATCATGATAGTATATGTTATGATTTTTTTACCAAGTGTTTTTATTACTCTTTATGAATGAAAAAAAACATTTTCATCAATTTTTTTTTAAAATATACTTTCTTTAGGGAGTTGCATAATGTCCAACTTAGTGGACACATAACTACTTACAAATTTTTAATAACACAGAATCAATTCTTGGAATTTATACTTAACTCCTTAATTGTTACCTGATGTCCCCATATTTTTTTTTTTACCTGCAAGGATCGCCTAGAATAGAAGGAATGAGCAGATATTCCTCTCCCTCACAACCCATGTGCTCCTCTGTCGGCCATTTTTTTTTTTTCCAGGAAAAAACAAAGTCACTTGCAAAGGCTGACAAGTAGGTGGCAGTTTGACAAGTGGCAGGATGATACATTAGCGTCCACTGTAGTAACATATGTGCAAATGTGACATTAAAACATGTTCATTTAAGAGAAAACAACCATTTAACAACTGTCCACTGTAGTGACCACTATGGATGAAAGGGTTAAAATGTTTACTGTTTTCAAATTGTTGTGTTTGACTTGTTAAAGGTACACTATGCAACCGGTGTTGATTTTCCAGCGAGGCTCCCCCCAGAGGGCGAAAGTAAAAGTGCACTGTCGTAAATATGCTCAGCTGTTCTCCTGGTTTCTCCGTCAAGCCAGGCGCGGTTGTTTTGAGCTTAGCAGACAGGCGAACGCAACGAATGACTAACACAGTGAAAGTATGAACGTGCACACGGAGAGAGAGAAACCATTCCAATGTTACTTACAATCGCATCAACAGAAACGCGAGGTCCGCGTCAGCCTTGCAGCCTTCTTTTTATTTTAGCTCTCGCCATTCGGAAAAAGTTTGCCCGATGTTCACCCGTGTACGACTCCTCTCTCTGTCCAGAGCCCTTTTCCTTTCTTGCCTGCTCCGACATGGGCTTTCGCTGTTTTCTCGCTGGTTCCGCCATGATAACTGCACAAAGATTGCCACTGTGCTAGCAACGAGCATGCTTTTAACTGGGGGCGTGTAGCAGTTCTCGCCGTAAAGCAAGACCGACTCTCGCGATGCACGAGACTTCTGAGCCTGTGGGTGCGGGCCGAGGGCTCCTGCAATTGCAAGTGCGGTATTTCCCCCACAGACCACCAGGGCGGCCAAGAATACCTTTGTTCGACCTGAAATTACTAATTTAATCATCCAAAACGTTATGGAACACATTAGTTAACTGAAAAATGTTGCATAGTGTGCCCTTTAAGACTGTGTTTTTTTTGGGGTGGGGGATCATTTTCTATTTTAAGCTAGCAAAACCTTTTATTGAAGCAGTCTAACAGCAATCTTTGTTAAATTCCTCAACCCAGCCAGTGTGGACCAAGATAAAGCTTCCTGGAAACCCTTTAAACCCTTTTATTCTTTTAAATTTTAAAAGTTTTAACTTCCCTTGGTGTTTTCCAGCACTTTCTGGGAGCTGCGGTTGCTTTAATGGCTTTATAGATAAAGTAGAGTTGAGTACGGAAACCTAGAAAATTGCATTAATGAACTGACTTTTGCCATTCAGTCCTCCTGAATAAGCATGTGGTGACAGTGGAAAGGAAAACTCCTTGGAATATGGAAAGACAGATGACATTTATGCAAAAATAAAAACACCGAAGCACTGCTGCATCAGAAGTTTTGGCTCTAGTATCTCCGTTAGTGAGCTCTTCTAGAATAAAGACACAGCTGAGTAGAAAGGTTTCGGTCCGGTTAGAAAGAATATGGAATGAAAACGTATGATTTATTCTTTATTCTCTAAGATTTAATCTACTAAATCAAAGAACGAAGCAGCAGGTGGTTAAAGTTCACCTGTGAGGCTGATAGACCGAGGCTTAATCCAGTCTCCTGCCTGGTTTGATCCAGAAAGCGTTTCTTTGGATGAGTTGTGCCGAACAAACCCTCTGCCACCTCAGATAAGCCGTTAATACGTCACACCGCCTGAACACGTTTCACCTGGTGATTGTGCAAAGAGCCGCTCCAAACCGTGTCTACTCTCCCACTCACTCTGTTATTTGAATTTGTGTTTAGCGGTTATTAACAACTTCCACCTTCTAGGGATCCATTTTTTACAGTGTTTGCTCTTTTTCTGCCAAATGAAAATTAACTGTCAAGTTTTTTTATTTTATTTTTTTTTTCAATAGATTTTATTTAGTTTTTTTCTTTTTTGACACAACAAAACTTAACCTTGCAACATGTATTTAAGCACACTTGCATTCACCATTCAAACCTGCATTTGTCTAATCTCAAAAATAAACAAAACCCTTTAGATTAAGGCAGAGAAAATATGAATAGAAACTATAGTCAAGACATCCATTCAAGACCCCCATCAATAAGCTCCACCTTCAGTCCCTATGATCCTCAGATATGGCTCCCATTTTATTATCCCATTCTTTGCTCTTGGCAATGTGTGTTAGTTTTTCCTACTTGTTCACCTTATTCCAAATGCTGGAGTTAATCCTGTGAAGTAGAGGTCTGTCTATGTAAACGATACTTTCCTGAGACTCAATAAAGATAAAAAAAAAAAAAAAAGAACCAGAAATATGTTTTTAGAACAATTTTCCTTATAATTAGCTTGGAATTTATGTGTTTTTAATATTATTTTAAAAGCTAAAGATTCATACATTGTTGGTACAGGCGTAACTTTCTGAAGGACTGGTGTGGACATGTCCCCGCCAATAAACTCTGCTTTTTTCACCTTCTCTGCTCATTTACTTTAGCCAAAGCTAACAGAATAGGGTGCAGCTATCTGTGTTCATTTAGAGCGTTTTGAGTCCATGTTTTTTTTTTTCTTCCTCTCTCTCGCTGCTCCCATGTCCCGCCTCTCGGTGTGACATCATCAAATCTGTCGCTTTGAGACATCTGACTTGCGGTCGCATTTCACTGCTTAAAGAGTAGCTACGTGGAGGAGGAGAGACACGCAGCAGCACTCAGTGAATATTAACCAGCAGCTACTTCCATGTTTAAGTAAACAGGATTAGAGATGCCACCGAAAACTCTGTTCCTCAGACATGCAGAGCTTTTTTCTGCAAGAATGGCAACAGATTATAAGTTTATACAGTCCTGCTCACCATTACTGGCACCCCTTCATGTTTTGCATAGCTGAGTGAATATCTTCAGAAATAAATGGAAATGTTCAAAAGTTATATCAGCAAGATCTTTCAATTTAAGGTCCAAAAGAATTTAAGAAAGATAGTTACCATTTCAACACAAACATTTTATTTCAAAGTACAAAACAGAAAACCAGCATGTGCACCAATATTGACACCCCTCCCTAATATTTGGTTGCACAGCCTTTGGCAGCAATGACAGCCTCCAAAAGTTTCTTATATCCATCTAGAAGCTTCTTGCTCTTCTCGGGAGGCATTTTCTCCCACTTTTGTAATCTGCTCAAGCTCTTGTACAGTTGCAGGGTTCCTTTCTCCGATGGCAGATTTCAGCTCTATCCAAAGATTTTCAATTGGATTAAGATCAGGACTCATTGCTGGCCATTTTAAAACAGTCCATTTTTGCCCTTGCAACCATGCCTGCGTGCTTTTGGAGGTGTGCTTTAGGTCATTCTCTTGCTGAAGGACCCAGGACCTTCGCCTCAAACCAAGCTTTCTTACACTGGACAAAACATTTCGCCCTAGAATTTCTTGATAATCTTCTGATTTCATGATGCCTGTGATACGGTCAAGGTCTCCAGTACCAGATGCCGCAAAGCAGCCCCACAGCATTATGCATCCTCCACCATGCTTGAATGTTTGTATGGTCTTCTTTTCTTTAAAGGCTTCATTGCGCCGTCTGTAAACCTACTGTTGGTGTGAATGACCAAAAAGCTCCACTTTTGTTTCATCCGACCATAAAATGTTGTCCCAGAAGGCTTGAAGTTTATCCAGGTTCTCTTTTGCGAAGAACAATCGTTCTTTTTTTATGTCTTTTCTTTAGGAAATATTCCACCATATGTACTTAAACTTCAGGGGTGCCAATAATGGTGAGCAGGACTGTATAAGTTAGTAATATAATGCAAGATGATTTAGAAAACAGTTTAAATGTTCTTCTTTACCAGCTAAAAAAGCTGGGCTGCTCAGAGGACCTTGACTCCCAGTTACAGCTTAAAATTAACATGTTTTCTTCTTATTTTTTTTTTATTATTTTACAGACAGAATCAGGCTGCAGAGCTTCTACAGATCTGGAAATGTAGTTTCTGGCTTCATTATATTAGTAAAGAAGTTTATACACCTTTTTAAACACAGAGAAGTAGGGAGAGCTGCAGATTAAAGGTGGAACTGATTTTCTTGGATATGCAGCATGTAATAAAATATATCTCCAAGTTTACCAGAATTAAATATTCTACATTTAAAATGCAGCATATCTAGATTTTTCTGGATGGAATTGAAATTGTACTTCTAGGGATGCATGATTATTGATTTTGGCATCGGAATCAGCTGTTATTTTTTTTATACATTAATGTTAATTGATGTAATAATGTTTTTAGGCCCTATATATATATATATATATATATATATATATATATATAAATAATGCACTAAATGGCATCTCTAACTATATAAATATCAGCATATTAAGGTTCTCTTGTGTTCTGAACAACAGGAAAACACTGAATAAATATACGTTGAGCTCATTTATGGAAAATACAAAAACCTAATGAAAGCATTTGGGTGGAGTAACTTTAGCTCCATCAGCCCCCACCCTTAGAGCGCCCCCACCAACTTTAATCACAAAGTTACACCCTTGATCATTTTTTTTTTTTGAAGATGAGAACCTAATTTCCTATACAAGATCATAAAATAAAAACAAATAGGTTGTTTTTCTAAATAGTCGTCTACTTTGCGGCTCTAAACCAGTTTTACTTGGTCGGATTCGGGGCAGAATGGCTCTTTGGATCTGAAAGGTTGCAGCCCCCCCGCCCTAATGAAAAGGAACCAGCCTGACTGTAGCTTCAGCTGCAGGATGCTAAACATATTCTGCCCGTGTACCAACCTCTCCAACACTTCCCTCGCCTTCAGGCATGTCCTTGATGATACAAGTGGCAGCGGCTCTAAAGACGATGGCGAAGGACTTCAGCGTCGCCGTTCTGGTAAGGATGACTCAGTCCTTGATGTTTCCTGCTCTGAATGCAGGCTTCATTTACACAGTCAGTCCCTGCAAACTCAAACCTTCCTCTGCCTTTGATTTGATGGAGGGGAAAAAAAATAAAAACCCTCCAAGACATGAACTGAATGCCGTTAAAAAGCGTGCAGTCACCACAATTAGTAAGTGTGTTTGATTTTCCACGTGATGTGTGCAACAATGTGAATCTTCCTTTCATGTTTAAAGCCTGTTTTACTATTTAAAAGGTGTAAAAAAAAGCCATAAAATATGAGGATATAATCTCCCAAAAAAAGATGCCGTCTGAACCCGCAGGTAACAAACCATGTAACGAGAAGTGGCAGCGGGGAGGTGCAGCCGGGCCTCGGCGTATCATGGAGCCACATCCCTAGAACCAGAATCCTGCTGGAACGAGTTGAGAGAGGGGCGTCTGTCAGCAGCACGGGTCAGCGCTCCGCCACGCTCATCAAGTCCTCCAGACAGGTACCCCGCCAGCACCGCCGACTCACACCACAACAGAGGTTTCTGCTGCTGTCAAAACATGGTGTCGAAATAGAGAGCTCAACGTCGTCTTCCCAAAGGCCCGGTTTGATAAAGACTCCTGATTTCCATGGAAAAACATCTCCAGGCAGGATTTTAGCAGAAAAGTACAGCAGACGCATCAGTCTAATTCATACAGACAGGCTGTAAATAATGAGTCATGCTCCTCATCTACATGCAGAACACTGAGGCTCTTACCCACAGTGATGGAGCCACATGCTGAGCTCGGATAAAATGCAAACACCTGAACAAAGCATGCAGGTAGATACGGACATGCAGCCGTTATAAATGAGTCCCAGACAAATCTGCATATCGTTCGTTCTGTTTTATGTGTTTCACACTAAAATCACAGACAGAAAATAACAGTTTGCATTTAAATGCAAAAATCTCACATTAAATTTATTTATTAATTTTTCCTTCTGCTACCTAATTAATACCGTAAATAAAAATAGTGTAGTTTTTATTGGTAATGATACTGCTAATGTTCATAAAACGGATTAGTTGGAATGGCTGCAGGTTAAAATTTGAGCAATAAAAAACAAATTATCTATAAAAAAATATATATTTCAATTCAATTCAGTTTATTTCTATTGATTCTAGATTGATTCAAAGTTTTCTATCCAAGGAAATCCAGCTGATTGCATCGACTCATTGACTCTTCAGCAATCACTCACACTAAGCATGCTTGTAGCGACAGTGGAGAGGAAAAACTCCCTTTGAACAGGAAGAAACCTCCAGCAGATCCAGGCTCAGTGTGAGCGGCCCACTGGGGTTCAAGGAGACAGAAGCAGACATAGAAAAAGAAGCATAGATACAAAAAGCAGCTGTAAAACGTGGACCCATCCAGGAAAGACACAGCCAGGCAGACGAGCTCCGAGCCAGCTCCCATGTCAGAGGATGAAGAGAGCACATCCAGTTAGTCACAGTCAGAGAAACAGGACTACACTGGAAAACAGGCCAAGCTCCAACATCTAGAAACAAAGGTGTTGATGGCAGCAGCACAGCTGATATTTCTCTCCAGGATGGAGTCACAGCCAAACAGGAACAGACCAGATGAAGCTACTATGAGAAAAAGCAGAGAGAGCAGAACGCTAGAGATTGAACTAACAGATTCTGCAGAGTGGGAGAATAGAGATAGAATGAAGCAGAATGATGAAAAAGGGGTCCCTATGTCCTCCAGCAGTCTAAGCCTATAGCAGCAGAACTATAGAGATAGATCAGGATAACCTGCAGCTTCTGGACCCAGATCTGCATTAACATCTATAATATGTCTAAACTTATTCAATGCAAGATTAAACATAGAACTCACCTTACAGGACAGGAACCTTCTAAAATCAACCCGCAGCCTGATGCATGTACTAACAGCCCAGAAAATATAATAGACAACTACTTTCACACCATTTATTTCTGTTTAGCTGTATCGCTCTTTTGGGAGCCGGTTACAGAATCGCTTTCTGCCCTCCTGAACTGCTGCGTTCCATCGTACCCATCGCTGTGCATCATGGGAAGTACTTAATGCATCACATTAAACCCATTGACACACCCAACGAGCCTTTATCGCCGATAAATCTGTACTCACCACCTGGGAATCGAAATAAAAAAATAAAGCAGATCTTAATGGAAAAAAAAATATTTAATTAGATTTTTTACGGAAATTCAGTCAACATCCCACAGATTTATAATAGTAGTATCCCCTTAGATTCAAACCACATTGGAATAGAATAGAAAATCCCTTTATTGTCCCACAGTGGGGAAATTCTTGTGTTTACAGCAGCAAAAAGATTACAGAAAAAATGGTTACACATATGTGGACCTTAGAATAAATTATAAGAATACTGTAAGGTGTTTTAACAAATATAAATACTGTGCACCTGGAGAATAAATAACCAATATGCAGCTATGGATGTTTTTACATCAATGAATATTTGAAAATAGCAGCAACATCAGAGATGTGCAAAATGGCAGCAGCATGTTATTTAACTAAGATAGAAACTGTTCAAAAATCAGCTTGAATGGAACAATTTATTGAGGTTGGTTGGTGGTTCTAGAGTCTTCCAGCTGCTGGGAGGAAGGATCTGTGATAACGCTCTCTGGTGCATTTAGGGTGCAGCAGTCTGTCACTGAAGGAGCTCTCCAGTTCAGCACCAGCTTCATGCATGGGATGGAAGACATTATGCAACAGAGATGTTCATTTAGTTAATTCAATTTAATTTACATTGGTTCTGCTGGAGGTTTCTTCCTGTTCAAAGGGAGTTTTTCCTCTCCACTGTCGCTACAAGCATGCTTAGTGTGAGGGATTGCTGAAGAGTCAATGAGTCGATGCAATCAACTGGATTTCCTTAGATAGAAAACTTTGAATCAATTTGACTGGATGATCTGGTTAAACTGGAAAGTGCCTTGAGATGACATGTGTTGTGAATTTGGCGCTTTTCAGTTTATTTCTATAGCGCCAAATTCACAACACATGTCATCTCAGGGCACTTTACAGTTCAACAAGATCAACCCTTTGAACAGGAAGAAACCTCCAGCAGAACCAGGCTCAGTGTGAGCGGCCATCTGCTGAGGCCCACTGGGGTTCAAGGAGACAGAAGCAGACATAGAAAAAGAAGCATAGATACAAAAGGCAACTGTCAACCAGCTCCACAGGCGGCCCCGTCCAGGAAACACACAGCCAGGCAGACGAGCTCCGAGCCAGCTCCCATGTCAGAGGATGAAGAGAGCACATCCAGTTAGTCACAGTCAGAGAAACAGGACTACACTGGAAAACAGGCCAAGCTCCAACATCTAGAAACAAAGGTGTTGATGGCAGCAGCACAGCTGATATTTCTCTCCAGGATGGAGTCACAGCCAAACAGGAACAGACCAGATGAAGCTACTATGAGAAAAAGCAGTGAGAGCAGAACGTTAGACATTGAACTAACAGATTCTGCAGAGTGGGAGAATAGAGATAGAATGAAGCAGAATGATGAAATGGGGGTCCCTATGTCCTCCAGCAGTCTAAGCCTATAGCAGCATAACTATAGAGATAGCTCAGGATAACCTGAGCCACTCTAACTAGAAGCTTTATCAAAAAGGAAAGTTTTAAGCCTAGCCTTAAAAGTAGACAGGGTGTCTGCCTCACGGACTAAAACTGGTAGTTGGTTCCACAGGAGAGGAGCCTGAGAACTAAAAGATCTGCCTCCCATTCTACTTTTAGAAATTCTAGGAACCACTAGTAAACCTGCAGATTGAGAGCGAAGTGCTCTGTTAGGTGCTTTAGAAATCCAAACGAGCAAATCAGGGATTGTAATTCTGCGTTGCTCCTGAGCCGTGTTTATATCTGCTCTCCATCTCAGGCTTGTGGCGTCAAAGAAGACTTTGACCTCCAGTGGTGGAGTCGAAGTGAAGGAGGTGGACCCTCAGGAAAGAGGAAACTGGATGAGACGGATCCCTGATGACAGCAGCGCTGAAGGAAAATGTCAGGCAAAAAAAGGTGAGTTTACATTTCTGGATTGGATTTGCAGGAAGTAAGAAGTTCCTTCAAATCACATCTCCTGAATGATGGGTTATTAGTGGGAAAAGTGACGGATTTAAAAGGAGCCAATTTAACGTTCAGCTGCTGGTCTTATTATCACATTCACCTGAGAGAAAGAACAGAGAAGCAAAGGCATTCGGCTCCCGCTGAGCTTAAATACACCCAGACTTGTTGATTCAGAGGTAAAGATGAATGTAATGGGTTTAAATAATATAGACTGTCTGCTGCAGTGATATCCCTCCTCACAAAAACATTCACACCACATGAAGCCTTATTTCTAATCAGAAACCAGGTCGTGCGAATGTGAACGCAGATATGCCCCCTCCCATATATATATATTAGGGATGGAACGGTTTATGAAAACCGCCCGAACCGTTCGGTTCGACTGTCTCAGTTCGGTTCGCGTGTGTTTCGTTCGGTTCATGCGCTGCTCCTTTTTCTCATAGGCGAAGCGTTTACACTCCAGAGCAGAAGGTGGCGGTACTGCGACCAAAGCCAACCACCAGTAGTAAACAAGAAGAAGAAGAAGAAGCGAAGCAGCGTAGCCGGGTGTAGCAGGAAAAAATCAGTTGTTGTGGAGAATTGTGTGGGTATGGCGAGTGGGAAAGAACAGGAGTTGGAAGACGCGCCAGCAGCACTTTATAGGTCTGCTGTATGGGACCACTTTGCATTTAGAGTGACCTACGATGACGGCGGAAAGAAAGCTGTGGATAAAAGTGCAACAGTGTGCAAGCATTGTGCAACACGACCAACATGTCATGCTAACCCTGAAATCCCTCATACTCCGTCAGCGCTCCGCCCCGCTGCGCTCCAGACCGGCTGCTCAAAGCAAAGCCTACAGCCTCCACTGTGGCTCCCGTCCGCTCCGCTCTGAGTTCCTTGGAGATCGTAGAGAGCATGCGCCAGATGATTAAATTCAAAGCAGCAAAACATACGGAAATGATCCAGGGTTTCTGCGGATCATTAAAAATAATTACAATCCATTATTTTTTGGATTTTTTCATTAATTTTTATTGTTGATTAATTTTTATAATTGTTATAATTTTTCGGTGTAACAATCAACATATACCGAACCGAAAACCGTGACCAGGAAACCGTGAACCGAACCGTGGATTTTGTGAACCGTTCCACCCCTTATATATATATATTTTTTTGTGTGAACACCAGGCCTTAGCGCCGTTGTTCTGTCAGACCAGCATACCTATAGTCAATACGCATGCACAAGATGTTAGATTTGCGTTTATCCCTTTAGTTTTGTATGGAAAATAGACTTTAAACTACCTTGAAGGACTGTATCCCTGTATCATCTGTATCCCTTCATTCATGTACAAAAAAACCCAAACAAAAACAGGTCAGATCACCAAAAAAAAAAAACACCAAAAAGTAAGCCATTTTTTTTTTTGTACATGACTAAAGGGAAACACGCCCGTTAAGGTAGTTTAAAGTTAATTTTTTCATACAAAACTAAAGGGATAAACAGGTATTGACCATGGGTACGCTCATCTGACAGAACACTGGGTGTTTTCTGAACAGCCCCGGTGTAACGTCTGTAACGGCTATCAGATGCATTAACCGGCACGTCCAGCAGCTAAAGTTCAAGTTTTTCAACTCAAGTGTGTCTCACGTGTCAGATGCTCAGCAGCTCATGAGGTGTTGCAGGATCTTTTGGCTACGTTCACACAGCCACCTGAAGTGACCCAAATCCAATTTTTCTTGCCAAATGCGACCTGTTTCTGATCCTTTTATGACAGTCTTGACAACTTAGATCCAATTTGTTCCAATGTGACCCAGACCACTTGGCTCTGTGGTCCTGAATCTGATCTTTTCAAATGCGAGCTGAGTTTGAACGGCCAGGTCACATTAATTCGACCTGAACGCCATTAATTAACCGACAAAGGTCACTATTCTAGGTCTTACTATGAAGAAGCAGCAAGAAAAACAACAACCATGGCAGACGATGATGCGGAGAGCAGTATTTATTTTTATCAATCTTGAAAAGTTTGAGTTTTTAAAGGAATAGTACACCCAAAACATGATTAGCCTTCATTTTCTACTCACCCCCATGCTGAACAACACTCTGGAGTACTTTTTTGATATCTCAAATGCATCTGGAGATCTGGGAGGCTTCTTGCTGTCTGCTGACATTCAAATAATGGAGGTCTATGGCGCCCGAGGCAGAAAGGTCCATAAAAGTCCACAAAAAACGTGTCAATATTCCTCCATACTGCTCGTCCAATGTATTCCAAGTGTCCTGAGTGGGTAGCGTCCAGAATTTACTCGAAACAAAGTCATTTAGAATGTTTTTAGAGCATAAACAGTAGTGTATAGGATTTCCTAAAAGCGCGCGCCTGATGTACTATTCCTTTAAGGTTGGGAAAGATCGCTAGATGTTCTCCAGCGCTACCATCCATGTTTAACACCGTAAACACAGAGCATGCTGACCTGTGACGTAATTTCGTCTTCTACTGCGCATGCGGGATGACTGCAGTTCACACAGGAGATCACATAGGAGTTGCATGTATTTAGAAATATGAACGGCAACGCAAAAAAAAAATCTGAATGAAGTGTGAACGTAGCCTTTGTTGCGCACTGATGCTCGCGGTCTGAAAGTAGCATTAGAGTAAAACTGTAAAAACTTTTTATTTTTAATTTTAGTAATAATTCTGTCAAGTATAAAACAAACGTTGATCTTTTAAAATGCTTGTTTCCTTCTTGGGATCTTTAGGAAATGATTTACCAGATGTTACAGGAAAGCTTGGATCTTCACAGGCTTTACCTTAAAACACAGAGACTCATCAAGAGAAGCACCAGTTTTTATTTTCAGTTCATGATCTTTATGGTTCTGCAGTAAAAAGTAGTGAAGCACAGCCCTCCTATTGTTTAGTTTAGACTCCATGTTTGTTCTGCAAAGAAATCCTGTTGGTTGCCCAAAGTAGTTAAAAAGCTGAAAATAAAATGTCCTGAGAACCTTCAACCCAAAAGCTGCCCTGTAACCAAAGCCTGGTTCTGCAGATTTAAAGTCTTTCCCTCTCAGCAGGGCGGTACGACGCGCCTCTTCCGGATGCATTCCCAGATCCAGCTGGGAGACACTTTCTGAGCCCCGCTGTCCTCCTCCGGATCGCCGAGCGTGTGCGTGGCCAAGGAGGCGTCGTAATCGGGCACCAGGTCTCCGTCGTACGCCACGAAGTACCTCCTCAGTTTATCGAACTCCTGGACGGAGACCGGAAGGAAGAGTTTCACCCCGGTGAAGATGTCCAGCAGAGTCTGGAAGGAGAAGAGGAGCAGATTCTGGTTTCTATCTGAACTGGAGATACGAGGTTTTAATTTTGGCAAAGAAGAAAATGCTACGATAGATCTAAAGTACTCAGATTATTCAGTCTAGCTCTGCGGGAGAACAAGCTAACTTATAAAAAAAGCTGCATTTAAAGCATCGCCGCTTCAATTTGGTTTCTGGCTCAGATCCTCATATTGTTATAAAGGAACTATTTCCACAATTTTCCACAAATCTTCATATTTCTACCTTTAGTCTCGTCAAAACATTGAATTTTAGTATTTTTATTAACCTTTGATCACTGAATGTATGTTGCAAATAAAACTGTACTGCAATAATAAATTCCAATTTTTTTTTTTTTTTTTAAACCAACCTTGTCGTTTCTGGGCTGCAGCAGCTGAGCGGTTTCTTTGCTTTGTCCGTTGCTCTGAACATTTGGGTCGCTCTTCTTCACCTGCAATAAACAGACTCTTTATAGGAAGTTCTCATGATGGAAGCGTGTGTGTGGGGGGTCTTATTGGGGCAGTGTTTACCTTCTTTGCACTGGGAGCCTCTGATTTGGGGGTGCGGGGCTCAGATTTGACGGCTTTTGGTTTGGAAGGTGTGCTGTTTCCTGTAAGATCAGATCACATCAATCATTATGCATCAAGTCTAGGGCTGCAACTAACGATTATTTTAAAAATCGATGAATCGGACAAAAAATATTTTTATATTAACCTCTTTATTCCAAAATAAACATTTTAGACAGAACAAACAAGCACACAAGTACAGGTTTCTCATTAACTGTACTGGTGCAATATGAAAAATAAATGTTTGTGTTAAAACTACGCAAACTTACATGAGAAATGTAGCTGTACATCCACAAAATATAGGCTACTTTGTTTCATAAAGCGCAAAAAAACATTTTTGTTTTTAAAAGCCCCTAAGGGGTTCAAACAATAGGCCCCCCCATTTGAACAAATGAGTTTTTTTTTTAGACTAGAAGAGTTCTGCCTTTTAAGACAGGAAAGTATAGCAGTTAAAGTTGCTACTTGAGAAAATACTGAACCATAGAGATAAAAATAGCCCTGTGATTCAAATTATAAATTGTATTTGGAATAAAAATGAGAGAACTAGGGGTGCTAAAAAACACATCCTCCAAAGACAGATATTTACATGGAAATGTGGCAGATAATTAATTGACATATTACTGATCTTGCTGGATTTTATTCTGCTTTACTTCCATAAATTGCAGGATCTTCTTTACTTTATCTTTGCCAGAAGATTTAAACTTTAAAAGCCTTGCCCTCATAATTTGCAAGTTAATTTATTTATAAAGTAAATATAAACGCTGCTTAAGCTAATTCAAATGAAATTAAAAGTAAAATAAGTAGCCAACCTTATCACTGTCTGTAACCTACTAACACGGTAAGGAAAGCATCAGATGAGCTACCTGAGAAACTAATGTTACGTTTCCCCACTTTGAAACCAAACAAACATGGTGGTTCCGTGCCATGTTCATTTCTTTTGACAAAAGTTGCATGTTATCACTTTTTTCACTTTACAAAGCGCAGGCTATTTTAATTATTGTGATCAATTTGCTCCGTCAATCCCGGTGCATGCGCGCTTCATTTGCAGTCTGGACGCTGAGGCTCTGACTGCAGCGCTGAGAGGGACTCCTGCGGGAGAACAGGGTTGGGATGGGGGAGGCGCCCCACGGCAGAGTAGGAACGATACATGCTTTCACGTAAGAGTCTCCAAAAGCCGCCAGTGACACCGAAAAAAGTCGCCAGATTTGTCGCTGGAGGGGTCTGAAAAGTCGCTGAGTTGGCAACACTGCACCTGCAGCGCTGGCTCGCTCTGTCGTATTTTTTCTTCTTCCCCCGCTTCAGTCAAGTGGATGTGATGATGACGGCGGCGGCGGATGACGCATTAATCGCGCGACACAACTAATCGATGATGAAATTTGTTGCCAACGCTTTTAAAAGTCGATTTTTATCGATCTTATCGATTCGTTGTTGCAGCCCTAATCAAGTCTCACCAAATCAGAGGGAATTTAAATGGTTCCTGAAAAAGTTTGGTAGATTAAAGTTATTTAAATAGTAAAAGACAAACTGCGCTGATAAACTGAACTGGTTCAGAAACTCCTACGTTTCTAATCAGAGAAAGTTTCCCTCGCCAACAGCTGCAACGTTGAACTAATATCCATCGTCTTTAAATAGGTACCGGGTCCACTCGGGGCCCTGCTCTTTCTTATGACATCATCACATGGCAACACCACTCGGACAAACGCTATTGCACCCGTTTCTTAAGAATCAGATCTCTACTGGAAATCTTAACAGATATTTTACATTTGATTGGTGATCTAAAGTAGCCGAAAGTAGAAAAAAAAAAAACATTGTCAGTCTTGAAGGAAAGAACTGAACTATAAGACAGACTGAGCTCTGCTATTTAACAAGGTGACAAAAAAAGTTTTTATTAAGCTCTGAGGGCAGAGGAGGACTACAACAGATATGAGGGCCAGGCTACAGATTTTTTTTTCTATTTCGAGAATAAAGTCAAAAGGACAATAGTCAAATTTATGAGAATAAAGTCACAACTAGCTTGATAAACCAGACTAAATGTGAGATAAACTGTGTAATCTAGTCTGGCCCCGATGAATGAGACAACGGAAGATTGTTGATGAGAACAACCTGTTGTTTTTCAAACCATGTCTGTGCCTATTGGCCAACGCTCTGGCCAATGAGAGCCACTGACTGTGATGCAGGAAGCGCCACAGGAAGCTGGTGGGGGAGTGGAAACAAACAGCCTGTCGGTAAAACGGCGAATTCGTCCTTAAAAATGAATAAGCGTAGAGCCTCTTCCTGCTCACGTTTCAACGAAAACCCAAAGTCTAATCCTTCCTAAACTACGTCACAATGAGAGTAGTCATACAATTTAGAGAATAAAGTCCTAAAATTACAAGAATAACATTTTATGACAACTCTTCCCAGAAGCCCTTTCTTCCCTAAAATGAGGAATGTGGAGCATCATGTGAAGTTATTCTTTAGCATCGGTTTGATAAATCAGGAAATCTTTTATCAGCAGCATCAAACTGGGCAGGAGGTCAAAGTGGACTCTGGTTGCTGATTGGTGGAGCTGGTCGGCCGTCATCTGCTGGGCGGAGCTCCAAGCTTTCTTTCTGAAACGGTTTGTTGTTTGATGACTTTATTCTCGTAATTAAAAAAATGTAAAAATTTCTAGCCTGGCCCTAATACTCCGTCGTAGAGGAAAAACTGGAACATCTTAAAAAAAAAATTTTTGTAGAGATTTTAGAGAAAGAAAAGTTATTTTACCTGTACAAAATGAATGGTTGTTGTTGACACAAAGTTATAAGTAGCTTAATAATGCTAACTAAGCGAGCTAAAAGAGGCTAACCTGTTAGCTACTGAGCCACAGCTCTACCCAGCTCACCTTTATCGTCTAACGGTTACTTTGTTCACCAGAAACACATTTTTTTCAATTTTGTTATCAATCAGGTAAAACTTCATTGATCATTAGACACGCTAACGCTACACATACTGCATTTTTATTATCGTTGCCTGGGCAACCTCAATGTTTCACATTACGTGGCAACATTCAGCCAATCATGTAACGTAACGTCGCTGGCATGAAGGTCTGTGGAACGTCGGCCATTTTTTATATCAACGAAGAAGAAACTATTTAGTAGGACTTGCTGTAACCTGTGTGGCTTATTTGGGCTTCAGGTGAGAGAAACGTTCAGCAGATAACAGGAAGGCTGCACAAAATGACATCCGCTTTAAAGAAAGAGCGGTGAGAAACTGATGTGGACGATAACGGAGGTTAAAAAAGCTGCTTCATAACTTGTGGGACAGAAATTGCATCAACTAGGGCTGAAAATTTTTTATTAGATTAATTTTTTATTTTAAATAAACGTCAACTAATTTGTAATTTACAACAAAATTTAGTAATCGAATAAAGTATAGAGACTCTAAAACATGCCTCTTGGTGACAGAGTGACTGAACAGCAGGATTATATCATCTATCGACATTAATTCTGACTGATTATTTAATAATCATGTGGAGAAAATTAGCTTAACTCTAAAGCAGGGGTCACAACCTGCGACTGTGGAGACGCATGTTGCTCTTTAGCGCCCCCTTGCGGCTCCCTGGAGCTTTTTCAAAAATGTATAAAAAAAATGTTTTTCTTTGTTTATTTTAATGTGTGGAAATGTTGCTAATGCTACACTCAGATTAACGCATAAGTCAAAATGAGCAGAAGTTGACTATGGCCCCGTCCACACGAAGTCAAAACGAACACGAAACGCTAATATTTTCCAGAACGTTTGTCGTAAAGACGGAGACGTAAAATAAATGTGATCGTCCACACGAATGCATGAAAACGCTGCAAAATGTATGCCAGGCCTGTAAGTGGCGCTGTGGTGCCAAAGCAAAAATAGGCGACGAAATGTTGGGCATGCGCACTAATATTTATACATGGTTGCCCTGCGGGTCCATTTTGGTGGTTCAGTCAAATTCAGGTGCTGAACTATGTGGTCGATATTGCTCTGTTCTTCCTGGAGATATTCCAGAAGAAGAAGATTCTGTTGTAAGCCCGACAGCAGGGCGAGTAGCATGAGCAGCAACCATTCAACACAGTACGGCGCCATTGTTGTTGTGATACTGTGTCGCGCATGCGTGTTTAGAGGTGACGCTATGACGCATGCGTGTAAGAAAAAAAATGCGGTTAGAGCTTAAAGATGGAAACGCGAAAACGGCGTTTCAAAATCTTCCCACTCTGAAGGCTTAATAAAAAAAAGATCGTTTACAGACCCCCGAAACGCCGGCTTCGTATGGATGAGAGGCTGGTTTGGTGAAAAATTTGTGCGTTTAGGCCAGGGTTTGACTTCGTGTGGACGGGGCCTAGGACACGCCCCCTCCTCATTTACATAATGAGGCAGAAATGCAGACAGAAATGTTAAAAGGGCAGAAATAAATAGCGGCGAAGAAATAACTAGGGTAAAAAAATATAAAGGAAGAATAAAACAGACAAAAATTTTATAACATGCAATTAAAAAATAAAGCTGTAGATTATAAAGGACAAAAAAATAAATAAGGTAAATATTACAAAGGCAAATAAATAAAGAAGCTAATTAAAAGAGTTATATACATTTATGTCTCACTGTATAAATTAATTTCTACTTACATTTATTTGTTTATTTTATTTTTGGTGGCGATTAATTGTATGCTTATTTATTTCTGCATTTATTTTTAAATATGGCAGATCTGGTCCTCCATACACTATAACCTTTGTGGAACAAACATGCTTCAACTTATTCAGTCCAAATTTGCCTTAGTTCTAGTCCAGATGTGGATCTATAAAGTCTGAGGATCATCCAGAGTTTTAAATGGGCTTTCATGGCGTTTTTCAGGGAAAATTTGGCGAGGCTACATATTGTTAATTTTTTTCGTTAATTTATCACCTATAAATCAGACTTGGTGACATTTAAAATATTGGTTCCTCATGAAAAATATTACTACAATAGTATTTCTAATTTATATTTTGGGAGCTGGACCTTCTTTTATTCACATTTCTAATTTCAGGTGGAATTTGCTCCTATGACCCGCTGGGCTTAAGAGGTTAAAGTGAATTTCCAAAGGATTGTAGATGTATAATAACAGGATATGCCTCCTGTTTCAAAGTTTTTAATCTAAAGGTACCAGGCAGATTGCACGGACTCCCAGCATCCATAGCGGCAGGGGAGGAAGAAACCTCCAGCAGAAGCGGGCGCTTTGAGCGCCCATCTGCCATGACAGAGCTCCGTTTATTTTTCAGGGATGCTAATAAATCTGAATTTAACAGCGATAATTAACAGACAGAACCGCTCTGGCACTCACTCGTCTTCTTGGACGGACCGCCTGCGTTGGACGAGGGGGACGGCGAGTTCCCTCCGCTGTCTCCTCCTGATGAGCCTTTGTCGTCGTTGGACGCGGAAGGACCGGCCGTCACTTTAAAGTCGCAGTTTTCCTTGGATATGCGGAACAGCTCCTGAGGAGGACGTTAGGTACGATGCATTTATTCCGATCAGGCCTCCTCCTCCGTTCTTTGTTAAACATTGATCCTAATTATTTCTTCCCTCCTTTAACCTGAGCGGCGTGCTCGCTCCCACACGCCGCCATACATCAAACACGGAAGTTAATTATCACCAAGCAGTCCCAGAGGATTCACCTCATCTTCAGCAAGGACAGCCATGCCTAATGTGTCCTAAGATTGCTATCTTATTCACATTTAATAGGAGGAGGCAGTAGTTAATCACCCCCCCCGCTGTGCTGTCAGTGTGCTGCGTTCAACCAACTGTTTACTGTGAGAAGGGCGAGTCAACAGCGGCGTCCTACCCTGAGCTGGTGCAAGTTGGTGGCCGTCTTCCAGTCCTTGTCATCGCGGATTCGCGTCATGCGGGGAAAGCGGATGGAGATGCCGTCGGCCGTGTGCATCTCGGATTTGGAGAACTCGGCGCCGGTGATCTCCCAGACCGGCGCTTGCTGCAGGGAGAGGAGAACGGAGGCAGCAGGTGGAGCGTGAATTTAAAAAAACGGATCTGCAGGAGTTTATTACTGAAGCTGGTTCTGAGAAGTTTAAAATAAAAAGGTTTTTTATCAGGAACCATCTTTGTTCCAACTGTAAGATGCTTTTAGCTTTTAGTCTACATTTACGCGTCTTGCATAAACATTCATATTTAAGTTTACAGGATCAAACATTTTAGAAGAAATGCAGCAAAATAAAGATTCTTTTGTTTTCAGCCCTTTTACTCTGATACTTCAAAATAAAACCCACTTATTTGTCGGAAAAGATTAGAGAACAAACAGCATCATGGTGACAAAATATAACTTCAGAAGTTTGAAGTAGGCTCAGTTATAAACTAATATAATTCAGCCCTCTGTAGGTTGATAATGTTCATTTCCATCAAATGATGTTGCATCCTTTGTTCCTAACGCATCACCCAGTCCATATCAGAATAAATTTATTTCCCCATTGAGATCTGATGCGTTTTCAAAGTGCTCCTTTAAATTTTTTTTTGAGCAGTGTATATTGACTGCAGCCTTATTTCAGAGTATTGATTTCTAAATGCTGAATAGAGATACTACGGTTTTTAGATTTATTTGTAAATAATCTTCACCTTCCAGTTCATAGATTTCCATTATCTATCAAATAAAATCCCAATAAAAACACATTTAAATGAGGTGTTATTATTATTATATCATTATTATGTGAAGGGGTTTTAGGAAGCCATGTATCTCAACCAGATATCTCCAACTCTAGACCTAAAACGTCCGGATGCATCCCTGCTGAGGTTCCTCCTCATCAGGTCTTCAAGTTCCACAGAGATCTGCATAGATCTGCATGTGGAATCATCTAAAAACTTTAGAATAAAGACTGTAGAGGGAACTGGACTCATCTGGACTTCCGACAGGCTGACAGGCAAACGGCGTAAAGTAGGAAGATCTCACCTCAGGATCACGGATAATGAAATCTGGATAATAGTTCTTGACGATTTTCAACCAGCCGGGGATTTTGCTGGGGTCCTACAAGCACAGAGAGAGAGAGATGACCGATTAATATTTGAGTGAATTACATCAGCTCCATGTTCCAGCCAAGCCTCCAAGGGGATCCTCACTGACCTTGCTGATTTTGATCACATCCAGCTCTTTCTGGAGCCGGGCCAACATGGCGTCATCATAGCCTCCGGAGCACTTGGTGACTGTGCACCATTTCCTCGAGTCAGGGTCATAACAGCCCATCAGAAAGCTGGACATGATGCCCCCTGGTGGGCAGAACAGTAGCGACACGAAGAATAAATCGTTTCAATTTTCAACTTTTTCCTCCAGAGTTGAAACTTTTTTCCCCAGCTGCCATTTTCTGCTTCCCTCTGTTTCTAACCGTCTTCCTGCTCTATTGCATTCCCTTTTAACCGTCTCCTTAACCCCGCTTCCAGACTTGAACCTACTACTGTGTTTCCAGGTTAATTTTACCCTCATTGCCCTGCCCCCTCCCTCATATCATCTCCTTCCAGTTTGCCCAGTGGGATTCCCTCTGTATGCATTATGCTACATCTGCATATTTTCCCCATGAACTACCCTGATCTTCATCTGTATTCCCAGCGCAGCACCGCGTTGCATGGCTGCCTGCAGAACATGCAGTCTATCTATATGCACTAACTGACCCCCTCCCAACAGAAACAATAAGCACCTCAGAGAAACATTCTGATGGGGACATAATGTGGTTCAGATGCAGACCAGGGATAGGAATAGAAATGATTGAATTTGCAAAGAGCTGGATCATCTAGAGCGGGCCCAGAAGGGGACGCAGGTCTGCTGAGAACAAGGTTATATCTGCTTATCGTGGCGTAGATCCTATCGTAGTGAAATTATGTAGGAAACTAATAAAAGCTAAAAACAGGAAGTTGATGAGCATTTTTGAAATGACTGCAAATTAGTTCCGTAGTCGACAAAAGATCAGATCTGTACATTAGGGTGACTTTTTACTACCTCACATGCCTGCAGAGTAATTTGAAGAACTTTTATTAAAGATTACATAATATCTACACTGCAAAAATGATGTAGAAATAAGTAAGCATTTCTTAAATTAAGTGTATTTACCCTTAATTTGAGCAGGTAAATGAGATAGTTTGCCAATGGAATGAGTATTTTTACTCTTAAAATAAGATAATTAAATAATATGCACTTGAAATCAGACAATGCAATTGTGTTTTCTTATATTAAGTGTAAATTGTCTTGTTCCATTGGCAAAATGTCTCTTTCACCTCCTCAATTCAAGAACAAATGCACTTATTTTAAGAAAAAAATGAATTATCTAGATTTAGATTTTTTTACAGTGTAACTTTTAAAGTTGTAGGTAAATAATATTTAAATGTCAAATCATTCTGGCTTAAACATGTATATAAATGTACTCTCTATCATATTATATTGTGCCAAAAGTTAGATAATTTCTTTTTTTTTTATATATATATCTTAAATCCCCTAAAAAATTTTTCCGTTATCTTCTGCAGGCCAGTTAGTTCTTAGTCAGCCTGAACACCTAAATTCGGCCAATCATATACCAACGGTCATCTGTAAATCAAATTTTTTTGGTCATAGCATCGTGATTCATATGTCGCAGCTAATATACGCAACGGTTGAAATCAGAATCCTTTCCTTTCCCATTGAGTTGCGTCCCAGTGTTCACGGGGATGGACGTCTGTGTCTTCGGCAGGCGTAGAGCTAACAGAACTGGCAGCGTTGCGAGGCAAGGGCTCAAACATGTACGGCTGGAAGCCTTCTACACCAAACCAAGCTTCTGCCGCCCTGGCGTCCTCTTCCACAACATCTTCGTCCCCGCTTTCCTCCTCTAAATAAAAAATGGATGACGGAGGAGACTCATCCACGACCTCCGACACTAAACTCTCCTCCTCTTGCATGTTTCCTCTGTCCATAGCGTTCCTTGACAGCGTCGTTTCTAAGTCACCAATTTAGTGCTACTTGGTCCCAATGGAATTTTCCATTGGGAACCTGCTAGCACTAAGGTGCTAATATTCTTTCTCTCATAATTTGTGGACATTAAGATCTAAAGAGAAGCGCCATCTCCTGGTCAGACGCTGTAATTCAGTGAAAGGGTGGAGTCAGAGTAAAAAAATATGCACGCCCAGTAGAGTGGCTGAAAGTTGGAGGGGATTTTGCTGCCATTCGGCTGGATTTGACTGGGAAGGGTCATTCTGAATGGCTGCTGCTGCACACGTGTGAGTATTTAAATCTGTATTTATAATATTAACTTTATGCAGACTGAAGAAAATTCTGCCTCTTCTAATTTTCATGATTTTCTAACCTGTTGAAATATAAACATCTAACAGGAAACCTTGAAAACATCACTTTACATACCGTTGGAGCCTTTCCCATAGAAAGCACCGAGCACCACCAGGTCAGCAGTGTCGGCCATCGCCCCCTCGTTCAAGTAATCCTTCTTCACCTTCAGCCAGTGTCGCTTCCCCGGCTCATAGGTTCCCTGAGACGCAGAGGAAGACACGGTTAAAGATGATGACCTGAACTCTCTGCACTTTAGTGTTGATGACATGATGAGGGAAAAACTGTTTTGGAAGTAGATCTTAAGACATCGGCCGAGGGGTTAAATTTCAGCAACATATGGGTCTTTAAATTAACAACTAATCAAATTAGTTACGGAATAGTCCAAGGAGCAATTAGAGACAGACCCAATTAGACCAGTGCACTGTAAAAACTACAAATAAGTTACATTTTCTCAAATTAAGTTAATTTACCCTTAATTTGAGGAGGTAAATGAGATGATTTGCCAATGGAATATGGAGTATTTTTACTCTTAAAATAAGATATTTAGATAAAATTCCCTTGAAATAAGGCAATGGAATTGTGTTTTCTTATTTTAAATGTAATTTGCCATTGACAAAATGTCTCTTTTAGCTACTCAAATAAAGAACAAATGCACTTATTGTGAGAAAAAATGACTTATTCAGATTTTTTCCCCCCCAGTGTTTCAGGAGGAATGGGCCAAAATTTCAGCAAAGTGTAACGAGAAAGTTGCAATGAATTCAAAGAAATTAAAAACCAAAACATCTCTCAGAGCTCGATGTTAACCATCGCCCGATCTCCCGGGGCGAGTCGTTTTTATTGTCGGGAGAGTACAAATTTCATTGCATTTGCCCGCCGGGCAAGTGGAACGATCACAAAAAAAAAAATTTATCACTTAAAATTACTTTAAAATCACCGACATTCGATGAAAACGACCCAGAAGCGTCGCGTGATTTGAAAAAGCCGGGTGATTTTCTGCCGGATGTCGTGATTTTTGTCCACCTAGCGTTTTATTTTGATCTAGTTACCAAAACGACAAACAAGCTAGAGGTCGCTATCATATGGCAGCCTTCTGTACAGTGATGCAGGTCATACATTAAAAAATGTGCATTAAATTTTATTCTCTTAGACATTGGAGAGGTGCATTTAAATGTTATAGAGCTAAACATGTTAAATTGCAGGGGTTGATGTTAAGGATTTTTACCACTTGCCCTTTGGGCAAGTGACTTTCACATTTTATTTGCCCAGAAACAATTTTTACTTGCCCAGTATAATGTTTAATAAATAAAGTTCCTAATATTCATTTTTGTATATATATCAATGAAACATGTTTGTTTTTTAAATGTTTTTTGTAATTCAGTATTTTTTAAGTTTCCAGGTTCCTGGTGTGTATCTGCATGCGTCAGATAATGAACTCAAGCCTACATTACCGTGTTAACATGCTTTTCAATCCTTCCTGCACATCCTTTACAAACTAAACATTGCTTTAAACTGTTGCGTGCTTGGAAAAATATAAATTGTAATGTTAAAAATCTAAAAAAAAAACTTACACTACTACTACTCACCAATCTAACATGTTTAGCTCTATAACATTTAAATGCACAACTCAAATGCCTAAGAGAAAAAAAATAAATGAACATTTTTTAATGTATGACCTGCATCACTGTACAGAAGACTGCCATATCATAGAAATATTTACACTGAGCGCATCCAATCATTATTATTATTATTATTTTCTTAATCCCCGACTGATCATTTTTAATCTAGCGTGTATTATAGTATAGATTAAATTCATCATCCAGCTGCTGCTCTGCACAATTATCTCCCCAAGAGCTGAATCACGCCAGCGAGAATGTGTAAAAAAAATAATAAAAAATCACGCGACGCTTCTGGGTCGTTTTCATCGAATGTCGGTGATTTTAAAGTAATTTTGAGTGATAAATAATTTTTTGTTGCGATCATTACACTTGCCCGGCGGGCAAATGCAATGAAATTTGTACTCTCCCGACAATAAAAACGACTTTCCCCTGGCGATGGTTAACATCAAGCCCTGAATTGGTGACCTGTTATATTATTATTGTCTTGTTGCTGCATTTATTTTGTCAGGGAAAACTAATCCATAGTCAGTTAAAAGTCAGGGAATTCTGAAATGATGTCAGACTGTGGAAACCCTGAATAAAATAACTATGTATAATGATTCTCTAGAAAAGTCACATTATATTAATAGTATTATCTTGTATAAGTTTTTAACCTGTCAAGTTTTTTTTAAAGCAAAGTTTAGTTTGAAAAGAATGTGCAGGAAGGATTGAAAAGCATGTTAACACGGTAATGTAGGCTGGAGTTCATTATCTGACGCATGCAGATACACACCAGGAACCTGGAAACTTAAAAAATACTGAATTACAAAAAACATTTAAAAAACAAACATGTTTCATTGATATATATACAAAAATGAATATTAGGAACTATGTTTATCAATCATTATACTGGGTAAGTAAAAATTGTTTCTGGGCAAATGAAATGTGAAAGTTACTTGCCCAAAGGGCAAGTGGTCCCTGTCTCTCATAACATCGTTTAGCGACAAGATACATTTATTCCAAGAGTCCTCCGACAGGGAAAGGCTGCGGGGTTTATAAGTGGATGACACTGACCTTTATGTCCTTCAGCACCAGACCCTCCAGTCCTTCTCTGATAACACGGGTTATCATGTCAGCCAGGTCTGCTGCCCTCTAAAGTGCAGACAGACAGGATATTACATCATCTGCAGGTTTCTAAAGAGAGCGAGCAGAAAGCCTGATGCGGCGGCGCTCACCGTGACGTGCTTCATCTCTGAGAAGAGGATCCTGTTTGGGACTTCAGTCATGTTGTCATGCAGGAACTTTCTGCGTTCGCAGAGCGGCCTGGGGGAACATAGCACCAACCAGAGGAGTGTAAGCCAGCTTGGACACATGCTAGAATTACTGATCAGTGTTTGGGATTCACCAACTGCAGATTACAGCCTTCTAGTTTTATATCTCGTATTTAGATCCAGATTCAGTTCATTCCATTTACATTTATTTTTTCAAATGGGTGCACTCTCTAGTTAATATGTCTGGATGGTTTAACTCACACTTGTTCTTTTCTTTGAGGTTCTACAAATGCAGATCAGCTGGAGGTGGAAGCCTGGAACGTACCACTTTCCCCAAGAACTGAGGGGGGAATTCTATTTAAGTTGACCTTAGTTATTTTCTCACCTTAATATCCGCTTATTATTTGTCATAAGTTAAAGAGTTATTTTATTTATTTAAAATGTTTTAGTTTTGCATGGATTCTTATGATTTATTGCTTTTCTGTAACATTGTTCCTCCCTCATGTGGCACAATGTAAGTTTAGGTTATTCCACCCCTATTTAAATTCTCCCGAGTGGTTCCCGGCTTTACACGAGTGAATAAAGTGAATGTGATTGGTCGATTATCAAGGGGGTAGGATTGTTGTGGTGGAAGCATCTTGCTAACCAGTTAGCATCTTAGTGCTAGCAGGTTCCCAATCGGAAATTCCATTGGGACCAAGTAGCACTAAATTGGTGACTTAGAAACGACGCTGTCAAGGAACGCTATGGACAGCAGAAACATGCAAGAGGAGGAGAGTTTAGTGTCGGAGGTCGTGGATGAGTCTCCTCCGTCATCCATTTTTTATTTAGAAGAGGAAAGCGGGGACGAAGATGTTGTGGAAGAGGACGCCAGGGCGGCAGAAGCTTGGTTTGGTGTAGAAGGCTTCCAGCCGTACATGTTTGAGCCCTTGCCTCGCAACGCTGCCAGTTCTGTTAGCTCTATGCCTGCCGAAGACACAGACGTCCATCCCCGTGAACACTGGGACGCAACTCAATGGGAAAGGAAAGGATTCTGGTTTCAACCGTTGCGTATATTAGCTGCGACATATGAATCAAGATGCTTTGACTGAAAACATTTGATTGACAGATGACCGTTGGTATATGATTGGCCGAATTTAGGTGTTCAGGCTGACGTAGAACTAACTGGCCTGCAGAAGATAACGGAAAAAAAATACAGATTTAAAGACAGGATTTTTTAAAAATAGAAATGTTCTAAATTTTGGGACACTATGTTCTGATAAAGAGTCAATTTATATACATGTTTAAGCCAAAATTATTTGACATTTAAATATCAATTCCCCACAACTTTAAGCAGGCTCTGTTCTTTACTCAGTAGGTCAGTTTTTGTTTAAGGTAGTTAACTGCTGGTTATCCTCCAGCAGCAGCGGGATATTGTTGATTTCTGCTCAATATTAAGGCGTGGTCTGCACTATGTTATTCCACGCCACGACGCAAGAGGGCCAATCAGGAACTAGCTGTGGGTCTAGATACGGCCGAGGCAGTGAGGAAGTGGAGGCAAGTTCGTGCGACAACGGAGAGACATGAGGGCCAAAAAGAGCGGGGATCCAGATGGGAAAAGGGTCCCAGTGTTTTCGCGCACCTCGCTCTTCAAGCTGCTCCATCTTCACCAGTCGTTTTCCACAATGGCGGTCATACAAACAAAACAAGCCGGTAAGGAACCAAACAGGAAATACGCATAGTATAGTGCGGATGTAGATCTGACCAATTAGAGGCCTCCTGTCTGCAGTCACCTACAATTTTGGAGAGGTGCAGCAGAGTGTCTGTGGAAGGGGGCGGGGCTTATCTGCGTTAACTGCGACACACACGCAGACGACCTGGTTTCTGAACATAAATCAGACTTAGACAACATTTATTGTCATTTCGTATACACACAGTGTATAAAAAACAACATTTCATTTTGATGAGTTCCGTTACCCTTAAGTGGAAACTAAGATATCGTTGTGAAACCAAAACAATCCAAACATTTAGGATCGGATCTAAACAACATAAACCAAGCAGCTTCAACACAAAGCAAAAAAAAAAACAGTTTATAAAGATAAAGGCTTAGTTTTTAATTAGTAAAATGGCTGAAATAACTTAACGGCAAAGAGCAAACGTTACCTTTCCATGAGACTCACACCGTTGAAGTAGATGCAGTCGAAAACAAAAAGGCAGACATTGGCATCTTGAAAAGCAGCTTTCTGAGGAGAGAGAGAGAGAGAGTAGTTGAAGGGTTACTGCTTTGACTGAATCAATAGAGAGGATGAGACTGAGGGAGATTATCACCTTGTGAACACCTAGAGTCCCGAATGGAAGCGGTTTGCTGGTCTTTGTGTCGATCAGGAGAACCTCTGCATCTAGAATCATGCTGTGGCCGCCGGGGAAAGCCTGGGGGATGTACTCCTTGAAGTGGGCCACCTGGAATGCACAACAACACAGCTTTTAGTAATCAGAGCAACTTCTAAAACTACAAGAAACTGTTGCAAATATGCTCCAGTCTTAACGCCCAGGTTTCATTCTCAACTTTCATTACCATAAACTGCCTAATAACAGTCTAAGGAGCTTAAAAAGCTGTTAGGATTATAGACTGAATTGGTAAGGAGCTTTTGGAGAGTTAAAACTGCTCCTCAGACACCAAAAAGAATCCTAATTATAGATTCTAGAAGATCTTTGAAAAAAAGAAAAAGTTAGAACAGTCACAGCACAAAATAAATCTACACAGCAGCTCCATCTAGTGGACAAAGAGCACACAAGCATGATGGGTAACTACTACTACAGATTCAGGCGCTATGAAGGCAAACGATGAAAAAATAATAATTACAGGAGGAAATGCCTGAACTCCCTGCTTAAAAATAACTTTAAAGCTGCTAACCCTACAGTAATATACCTGAAACTGAACCACTGTGGTCTACAATGATGGACTCCTTAACTCTAGATCTATTCTGCAGAATCTGTTAGTTCAATCTCTAACGCTCTGCTCTCTCTGCTTTTTCTCATAGTAGCTTCATCTGGTCTGTTCCTGTTTGGCTGTGACTCCATCCTGGAGAGAAATATCAGCTGTGCTGCTGCCATCAACACCTTTGTGTCTAGATGTTGGAGCTTGGCCTGTTTTCCAGTGTAGTCCTGTTTCTCTGACTGTGACTAACTGGATCTGCTCTCTTCATCCTCTGACATGTTAAAAGGGAGTTTTTCCTCTCCACTGTCGCTACAAGCATGCTTAGTGTGAGGGATTGCTGAAGAGTCAATGAGTCGATGCAATCAGCTGGTTTTCCTTAGATAGAAAACTTTGAATCAATCTGACTGGATGATCTGGTTGAACTGTAAAGTGCCTGGAGATGAAGTGATGTGAATTGGAGGTATAGAAATAAACTGAAATGAATTTAACAATATTTTATATGCTGGGTTACATTTGCACTGATCAGGGCTTGACGTTAACCATCGCCCGATCGCCCGGGGCAAGTAGTTTTTATTGTCGGGAGAGTACAAATTTCATTGCATTTGCCCGCCGGGCAAGTGGAACGATCACAAAAAAAAAAAAGAAAAAATCACTCAAAATTACTTTAAAATCACCGACATTCGATGAAAACGACCCAGAAGCGTTGCCGGCGCCATTTTTGTTGTTTTGAACACATTCTCGCGTGATTTTCCGCCAGATGGCGTGATTTTTGTTATCCTACACTGCAAAAACAATCCAGAAATAAGTAAAAAATGGCTTAAATTAAGTATATTTAGCCTTAATTTGAGCAGGTAAATAAGATGATTTGCCAATGGAATGAGTATTTTTACTCTTAAAATAAGATAGTTAGATAATATTTACTTGAAATAAGACGATAAAATAGTTTTTTCTTATTTTAAAAGGAAATTGTCTTGTTCCATTGGCAAAGTGTCTTACTTACCTCCTCAAATCAAGGAAAAACACACTTATTTTAAGAAAAAATAACTTATTGAGATTTCTATTTTTTGCAGTGTAGCGGCCATTTTGATGTAGTTACCAAAGGGAAGGGAAAACTAATCCATAGTCAGTTAAAAGTCAGGGAATTCTGAAATGATGTCAGACTGTGGAAACCCTGAATAAAATAACTATGTATAATGATTCTCTAGAAAAGTCACATTATATTAATAGTATTATCTTCTATAAACATACTGTGACTCTAAAATAAAAGTTATTCATTTGTGACATTGACTTCTGTCTTGTGATTTATCTTAAGTTTTTAACCTGTCAAGTTTTTTTTTTTTTTTTTTAACATTACAATTTATATTTTTCCAAGCACACAACAGTTTAAAGCAAAGTTTAGTTTGAAAAGAATGTACAGGAAGGATTGAAAAGCATGTTAACACGGTAATGTAGGCTGGAGTTCATTATCTGACGCATGCAGATACACACCAGGAACCTGGAAACTTAAAAAATACTGAATTACTAAAAACATTTAAAAAACAAACATGTTTCATTGATATATATACAAAAATGAACATTAGGAACTATATTTATCAAACATTATCCTGGGCAAGTAAAAATTTGTTTCTGGGCAAATGAAATGTGAAAGTCACTTGCCCAAAGGGCAAGTGGTAAAAATCCTTAACGTCATCCCCTGACTGATGCTAGAAATGACTGGGTATGAAAGGACCGACCTTGTGAGGCAGCACCGGTTTCAGGCTGCGGCTGAAGTAGCTGAAGGTGTTTCCGTTCTTGTGGACCTGCACGCGCTCCCCGTCATACTTAATCTCTGAGTACATCCCGTTGGGACATTTCTTCATTGCATACTCGATGGATTTGCACGCCTCTGCCTGAAATCACAGAGGGGAAAAAAATGCTTTTAAACCCTTTAGGAGAGAACAGAATGCTTTGATGAAGTCCAGGTCTTTAACCAGTTTAAACCCTCTGACCCCAAATTGAAATCAACAAAAACTGATTATTGATATGAAAACGAAGTTTACTTTGCTTTATGTGAATGTTATACCATTCTTCGTCTCCCGTATCCCTTAATAAAATCAAGTAAACTAAATTCCCTCCAAGTTGCCCCTTTGTTACTTTATGTAGTTTTGTAAACCAGTCTGAGACGACAATAAATATTCCTCTCTTGATAATGAAACATGTTGGGCAGCAATTCAAGCAGTGTGAAAATAATTTTACGGACAACAATTACTGTCTACTAGGGGTGGAACGGTTCACAAAATCCACGGTTCGGTTCACGGTTTTCGGTTTTGTATATGTTTATTGTTACACCGAAAAATAAAAAATTTTATAAAAATTATAAAAATGTATGAAATTTTTTTAAAATCAAATGAATGAAAAAATCAAAAAAAATTAATGAATTGTAATTATTTTTAATGATCCGCGGAAACCCTGGATCATTTCCGTATGTTTTGCTGCTTTGAATTTAATCATCTGGCGCATGCCCTCTACCATCTCCAAGGGACTCAGAGCGGAGCGGACGGGAGCCACAGTGGAGGCTGTAGGCTTTGCTTTGAGCAGGCGGTCTGGAGCGCAGCGGGGCGGAGCCTGGAACCGTTAAGAGAACCATTACAGGGTTCCTACAGCATACGGCAAGTTAAATTCAAGACTTTTTAAGACTTTTTAATGCCACTTGAAATACAAATTTAAGACCAAATTCACAAGAAACACAAGAAAAACCTGCTTGCGACAACTTAACCCAAAGGTTTATTTTAACATAAACCACTGCACTAATGTTTCACATTTTGAAAAGCTTCCCATACAGGAAGAAAGCTAAAAACACACAAATGACAGATATATTTGAACAATCATTTAACTGAATTCACAAACTTTGTTTTAGCAGGGAACAAAACTAATCAGTTTTAAAGCCCCAACATAACCAGTGCTAAGTCTTTTTTGCAGCTATTTTTCTTTGTATGGTTTTCTTAGTATGTTTGATTTGGTGATAAGTGGAGGCGTTGCAGAGACAAGGGTGGAACTAAACTGAGAAATACCGGCTGTTTCTCTGTAACTCCATTTTGACGCTTTGTGTTTGGTGCTTCGCATGTGCGACTCCACTGCCTTAATTCCCATCGTTCTGAGCTTGAATGACTTCTTGCACAAAATCCACTGAGCCTCATGTATGTTCCCTGGTTTTAGCCGTGGAGAAAACTCTTGGCTGGAGACAGTTTAGGTTACATTTACACTTGCTCATGTTTTCCAGACAAAAAGTTAGTGGCGCATCTCCCAAATGTCCCGGCCGCAACAACGCTTTATTGGTTCCGCTATCGGGACGGAACCAATAATGGCGAGACGTTATTTTTTTTAAATAAAATAAAAAAAATAAATTTTAATGTTTTATTTAGATTACAAAAATAAATCATAATAAAAATAATCCTTTTCATGGGGTTTTAAAAATTAAGACCTATGAAAGACTGATTTAAGACATTTTAATACCAATTAAGGCCTTAGTATTATTTTGAAGAATTCAATGCCTTTTAAGACTTTTTAAGGACCCGCGGGAACCCTGCATTAAACAAGCTGGCAAACGCTGCCATGGAATTGGAACACACAGAACCGGTTCTGAACAGGAACTGGTTTTCGATTCCCATCCCTACAGACCGGGCGCATCGCTGCGCCTCAGGGGAGCAGCTTTGACATATACTGCGTAAAGCCCTTTAAATTATAAACAAGCATCCTTTCATTACGCTGCCGTGTGTTATGCATAAATTAGGCTGTCATTGGACATAAGTTCGGGACTCGTAATGAATACTCTATGTATACGCCCAAAATTGAAAAACTCCATAGAAAGTTCAGCGTATGGCAGCGTTTTAGGAGATTCTGGGACGTCACGCAAACGCTGGCTGAATCAGCAAGGTGTGACAGGGCCTTAAAGTAGTAAAGGTTACAAATGGAAAAGCCTAAAAACTGAGTCAAACTTCATTCAGGCTTTAATGGAAGCCGTTAAGGTCCAGGCAGTTCATGGCGGTGTGCATGTTGAGTGCTATAACGTTTCAATGATGCTAAGTTTCCTGTATTTTTGCGCGGAATTTACTTCCTGGAAATTAGATTCTGCATAGGAGTTCTACTTTGAAAAATTGGTTAAATAGACCCATAAAAAAAAAAAAAAAAAAAAAAAAAACATTTATAGAAAACACTTCAAATCCAGCTTATTTCCATACATCTTTGTTTTCCAGTTAAAATGTTGATTTAATGTGAAAACAACTAAAAAGGAGCAAACTTATCGCTAATAATCAGATTATTACATTCCAATATCATCTTTATTTCTTTCCTATTATTGAAATAGAAGCAATTAGAAGCAACGGTTAATGCTTTTGGGTAAAAGTTAAGTTTCTAATTTAGTAATTTTCACCCATAAAAACTCTCCCTGAAGCAGGAACACGTCATTCCAGAGCCTGGCTTTCATCTCTAAAATAAGGTTAACAGTCGATGGAAATGTCAATTTGAATTAACTCACCGTCTCATCTAATGTGTAAGAGCTCATCTATGTCACATGTGAGAAATTAAGCTTGTTAAGAATAAGAATGTATAAACCGAACAGAAAAAAAAATGCAGAGATATTCAGAGCAGGACTCACCAACATGGGCTGGACGGGGGTCATGAGCGACGCCTCCACGGTGAGCAGCTTCCTGGGCCCAGAACCATTGGAGGCCTCCTGCTGGTTTCTCAGAACCCTCTCGATCACATCAGCCAGGTTGCGTGAGGCCTTGAAAGCATCGTAAGCGTTCAGATCGACGGCATCCAAGCTAAATGAAGAAGCGAGAACAAGAGTGAGTAATTTTCCAAACAGAATCCGCATGTGTTGACAGAAAACAAGGCAAACACTCACACATGTTTGGCGCCTGCGTTCATCTTCAAGTCGTGCTTAATTAGCCTGATGATGCATTTCAGGTCGTTGCTGGTGCATCTGAGAATAACAAACAGCAGATTATAACAAGGTAGCTGTTGAGGAAGAAATAAGCCTTTCAGGAAGCAGATGGAAGTTTATGTGTTAAAAGGAAAACAAATACAGCACTCATTTGCTACCTTATTAAAGACACTTAAAAATATTACGAAGATTCTCTAAATAGATGATTCCTACGCAGAAAATTCAGAGATTATAACCATTAAATATAAGAATTTTTTTTTTACAAAATAAGAGATGAAATGATTTTTATCATCACTAACAGTTCACTAAAATCTATAGCCTATTTTTTTTTTTTTTTTTTTTTACATGTGAAACGTATGGAAGAGGATTAGGGCCACTGGAAAAAAAAAAAGTTAACTGATTTTTAAATTTTATTTCAGTTTAGTATGGGGAAAAGTCAGAATTCTGACGTTTTTCTCAGAATTCGGACTTTTTCTCGGAATTCAGACTTTAATCTCAGAATTCTGACTTTTTCTCGGAATTCTGACTGAATTCTGATAATAAAAAAAGTCAGAATTCTGAGATAAAAGTCTAAATTCTGAGAAAAAAGTGAGAATTCTGAGAAAAAAAGTGAGAATTCTGACTTTAATCTCAGAATTCTCACTTTTCCTCGGAATTCTGACTGAATTCTGATAATAAAAAAAAGTCAGAATTCTGAGAAAAAAGTCAGAATTCTGAGAAAAAAAGTCAGAATTCTGACTTTTTTTCTCAGAATTCAGACTTTAATCTCAGAATTCTGACTTTTTCTCGGAATTCTGACTGAATTCTGATAATAAAAAAAGTCAGAATTCTGAGATAAAAGTCTAAATTCTGAGAAAAAAGTGAGAATTCTGAGAAAAAAAGTGAGAATTCTGACTTTAATCTCAGAATTCTCACTTTTCCTCGGAATTCTGACTGAATTCTGATAATAAAAAAAAGTCAGAATTCTGAGAAAAAAGTCAGAATTCTGAGAAAAAAGTCAGAATTCTGACTTTTTTCTCATACTAAACTGAAATAAAATGTAAAAATCAGTTAACTTTGTTTTGGTTTTTTTCAGTGGCCCTAATCCTCTTCCGTAGAAATGTAATTAAAAAAGGTAATTAAAAAAAGGTATAAAGGAATATTTATTAGTAATCTAAGACGTTATTGATCCAATCATATGCCCAAAGTAAAACAGAAATGGTTAAAAGGAGACAAATATTAGCCTTCTTCCATATTTAAATACTAGATATCCTGAAGGATGAGCTGAAGAGAAGAGAGCATCATAGATCTTCTGATCCAGAACGTCATTTAGACGTAGCAAAGAGGAACAGTGTTCTGTCAGACCAGCATACCCACAGTCAATATCCGTTTATCCCTTTAGTTTTGTACGTAAAATAAACTTTAAACTACCTCAATGGGCGTGTATCCCTTTAGTCATGTACAAAAAAAACAATGTAATTACTTATTTTTTGGTGCTTTTTGCAGCATATGGTGATCTGACCTTAAATTGTTTGTTTTTGTACAGGACTAAAGGGATACACGCCTGTCCAGGTAGTTTAAAGTCTATTTTTCATACAAAACTAAAGGGATAAACGCAAATCTGACCACTTGTGCACGCGTACTGACTATAGGTATGCTGGTCTGACGGGGTATGCTCATCTGACAGAAATCCCTCTTTCTGTTTGCTTCAATCCAAAAAACCTTGCAGGGAAAGATAAATGCTGTCCTACTGGTACAGACCTGCTAACATCTTTAAATTCAATGTAATTACTTCGAGGGGCTTTTTTTAAACAGCCCGATTTTGTTGCAGGTACTTAAGTAAAGCCATGATAAATACTGCAGCCCAGATTTTCTTCATACTGACACAAAGCTCTGCTTAGTAAACTGCATTTATGACGGATGAACTTAGTCTGCCATGTTTTCTGCCATGCTGGGTAGAGAGTCCAATATCCATGTCTTCATAATAAATGCATGAGTGAGTGTTAGACAGGCCAGAGGAAGACACTGAAAGCAGGAAAAGGCTGCATGAACGCCAACAATATCAATGAGCAGAGAGAAAGCTTTGTTTCCCATCACACCACAACAACAACACAACGCTCCCTCTACAGGCTGATCTGGTCTCATCTACAATAGCCTGACAGCTGGAAAAGAGGGCGTTACTTTTTGGCGATGCTCTCCAGCTCGCTCTGCTGATCATCCTCTTTGGTGAGCTGAGCGAGGCGGGTCAAGGATGCGTCTACCTCTTGGATCGTCAGGAGGCTCTTAGCAGCGGGAGGAAAGGATTTACTTTCTTCGAAAAACATCCGTACGGTCTCAGACACGTCGCCCTTCGAGGAAAACCAACAAAAATAAAGAAAATAAACAAAAACAAAATACAGGGAAGAGCAGACAGAAATGCACTGATATGAAAAAACTGGATAACACCGTTATGAGCATTGAGTCAATATTCTCCCACACCTCTAATAGGAAGAGCCAACTGAGAGTGAGAGAATGGTGCCGTTAACCTCATCGCTTAGTGGAGGAAAGTATTGGCATGGGGGCTGCGATATGATATTAAATCAATTCAGTTTATTTCTATAGCTCCAATTCACATCATGTCATCTCAAGGAACTTTCCAGTTCACCAGATCATCCAGTCAGATTGATTCAAAAGTTTCTATCTAAGGAAAACCAGCTGATTGCATCGACTCATTGACCCCATTTCCACTACCCTTGAAAAACCGATCTATGCTGAGACCGGTCCGAGCTCGGATCAGTTAACCAGGCCGAGCTCGGTTCTGAAGACCGTTTACACATCACGCTATCTCGGTTCCTCGACTCCTCGCCTCCTAGTGACGATCTGCGGTATTACTGCCAGCATTGAAGGAGGAAATCAAGCAGTTGGTGGCGGTAATGCACCAAGTTTTTTGCCAACCGCCATAAAACACAAGAAGAAGAAGATTTCAATTGTTGTTTATAGTTTTTCTTCTGTTTTGTGTTGGTTGCCAAGCAACTTCCGGAGGGGCATTACCACCACCTACTGGAATGGAGTGTGAATCGGGATGTAAAGCCAGACGGAGATGACGCGTTCTGCGCATGCGCTCTTGTTATCAGAGAACCGAGCCAGGGGAAAAACCGAGCCGAGCCCACCTCTGGAACTGGTCTGCAGTTAGCTCGGTCCGGTTGTGTCTAGCTCGGTTCGGTTCAGTTTTCTTTCCATTTACACACGATAAGTTATCTCAGTTACTGAGCTCGGACCGGTCTTGGCACGGCTTTTCAAGGGTAGTGACTCTTCAGCAATCCCTCACACTAAGCATGCTTGCAGTGACAGTGGTGTCAAAAGTTCACACATTTGTTACTTCAGTAGAAGTATAGATACTGCAGTTTAAAAACACTCTGGTAAAAGTTGAAGTATCAACTTGACCTCTTTACTCAAGTAAAAGAAAAAAAGTATGTGCTCCAAAAACTACTTAAAGTATAAAAGTATAAAGTAACCTTTAAAGAAACAGCCAGATGCCACTATATGAATTGAAAGCTCAATTTTTCGATTATTTCTATAAATTCTCTGAGATAGGGCCAAGGATGAGGGAGGTCTTTTTGGTCTCCGTCTCCCGATACGCTCTCGCCTGTGTCCGACCTTTCAGACATTTCAACATCTTTTTCTGAATCCTACATTGTAGCATGGCATAGACAATTCACGTTAGCAGTTTGAAGAACACCTGCTTGCTTCTGATGATTTCCTTTAGCTAACCAATGAGTGTTTGCGTTCTATGACTCATCCAATCACACTAGTTTTCACTAGATGTGGGTGGAGCCAATGATCTGCATTGGATGGAGCACAATACTTGTGTGAAAATGTAATGAGTAGAGGTAAGAAGTAGGAAGAAAAATAAGTAATGGAGTAAAGTATAGATACATAAAAAGTGTACTTAAGTACAGCAATGAAGTATTTGTACTTCATTACTTGACACCTCTGTTTGTAGCGACAGTGGAGAGGAAAAACTCCCTTTTAACAGGAAGAAACCTCCAACAGAACAAGGCTAAGTGTGAGCGGCCATTTTTGTCCAAACAGCTGATTTTGTTTGTTTATTAGACAGGCTATGATGCATGATAACAATAAGCTTAATCTTCTCTCACATTTTAACAAAAGTTAAAACATCCACATCTAGCTTGTTAGAAAAGAGATGGAGACTGGATTTGCTTCTTCTTCTACTTGGAAAAAAAGAAAAAAATGAAACGAACAAAAAAAATTTAAGCTTACACAGGAACACATTTTAAAAACCAGTAAAATAAAGCTGAATATTACAATAATAAAAAATAAGGTTATATCCATCGATTATTCCTTGCTGACCGGACGTTTCTTTTAAAAGTCGGTAATGATCCAGATAATGTGCGTATTTTATCTATAGTTAGTCATTGTTTGGGAAAGAATTTGCTGCTTGGCAGAGGTATGCGCTCACAGATGCTTCCTAGTTTAATAAGCTTTGCTTTTTTATTTATTTCCATTTAAGGTGCACCAATATGGAGTCAGAAAGAGGTCAAAATGTAAACTTATAAATATTAGTTGAAACATAAAAAAATATAAGATGATGTGTCAATTTTTTTTGACCTTATAATCTGAGAAACTAAAAAAGCAAACATAAAATAATAAGAATCGAATCTAAATTCTTCCTCTCAGCTTGAAAAAAGCTCAATTTAGTTTATCATCTTACTTCCATACTTTTTCCTCTTTTTATTTATTTTCTTCATTGCAGTTTTAGATTTTCAAATCCCTTTATTTCAGTTTCTTTTCTTTTAGTTCTACATTTCCTTTTCAGTTTCAGGATATATATTTTTTTTATACTTTCCAATCAGTTTTTTTCACATTCAGATTTTGGCCCCGATCTGATGGGAGTGGGTGGGGAAACATGATTGACAGCTTGAGAGATGTTCGTTCTATGTTGCATTCACGGACTGCGGGAACTCCAACAAAAAATTCTCTGCAGCATTTATTTGCCTTTTTGGCAAAATCCTGTGAAGAATATTAAATTAAAGACATTTAAACTGGATAAATAGTTAAACGCAACATGGAACGGGACATCTGTCCTGCGCTGCTACAAGCTGTCAATCTCATTTCCCCGCCCACTCCCATCACATTGGGGTCAAAATCTGATTAGATAGTGTAAAAAAATAAAATAAAACCAGAAACCAAAAAAGGAATTTCAAACTTAAATAAAAAAAACTGGAATTAATGGATTTGATTCTAAATATATAAAATCTAAAACAGCAATAAAGGAAAGAAATAAAAGAAAAAGTGTAATTAAAATACTAAAAGGAATTTAGATTCAATTCTTATTATTTTATCTTTGCTTTTTTTTTGTTTACCTTACATTATAAGTTAAAAATTTCACATTAAACATCAACTTCTATTTTTTCTGTTTCAACTAAGATTTAGAAGTTTACAAACATTTTTGACCTCTTTCTGACTCCGTACTCCAAACTTATATGATCTGATGAGGGTGATGGCCCAGCAACCTTCCCTAAAACATGAAGAAATCACCAAAGTGTTTGATTTATGGATGAATATAAGTAGACAGACCTGATCCAGATCTCGCACCATGTCGTCCTGGTTGGATCTGAATATGCGACTGAAGAGTTTTACTATCTGCTTATCGTTAAGGTTGTAAACACTTTTAACGACACCAGGCAGGAGCAGTTTGACGGTCAGGTAAAGATCCCCGTGGAACTTATCTACATTAGCAAGGAAGAGAAAGAGTCAGGAAAAACAATTCATTAGCTTTTAGAAGATATCCCAAACTATCCACCCACCTCCTCCTGCGCCCTTCCTCAGGAACTTCTCTATAATCTGTGTCTTGGTGTTGTAGCTGTTGTTCTCGGCCACCGTCGCACAGAGCTTGCGGAACTCCCTGAAGAGGCAGTCCTTGTGCTGGGGGTCACAGAGCTGAGCGGACAGGGGGCTGCCTCCCTCAGCTTTGGCAGGAGAGGGTGATGGTCCGGGGCTGCTGGAGCTGCCTGAGCTACCAGCCTTCGCAGCTAAAAAAGGAAGGCAGAGCGCTAATATCTCATCCCCACTGCTTTCCATCCTTCAGATAAATTTGCGGCAGAGTCTAAAGCACTATATTCATTTAATAAAAGAGACTCCAGGACAGTCCTGAACTAAGGGATCAGAGCAGATCTTGCGCAGGGATGCCAGCAGTTTTTTTTAAACAAGTGGAACTAGTTATAAACGTACAGGCGCAGAATAAATGTACCGTAATTAGTGTTGCACCGATACCGCCCTAAAATGGTGGTATCGGTATCGGCGAGTACCAACAAATAGGGCACCGATACCATTTTGAGAGCCATAAGTTTATTCACCTACTGTCACCCACTCCTGGTAGGCAATAAAAAGTTCTACTGGATTCACTTTGTATTAGATTTTTTTCCTGCTTCACAAAGGTAGGCAGCAGCTTGACATGAAGCCATGATGGCAATTATTTTACATTATTATGGTATCGGTATCGGCCAATATTGCACAGCCAGGTATCGGGTATCGGGGCCAAAAAATGGCATCGGCGCAACACTAACCGTAATGTAGCTGCACATTTTAATGGGGGCTTGTAAAAGGATTATTATCATCTGATATTCCCTCATGTATTGTTAACGCCACAGTGATTGGAGAACATAAAACAAGCGTGCTTGGATTGATGTGCTTCGTGCATCCTAACGTTTTTTTAGGTATGAGAAGTAGGACATGTCCGGGAAAAAGATGACTTTTGGTTACCCTATTCACACCTAAAGCAGCAGAAACATGCATGCTGCTTCATTTTTGATGCTCGATGAAACTCGATGACATACAAAAAAATACATACAGGCTAGGTTTGTGCCAATGTTCTTTTTTTTAAATGAGAACAGGTCACAGATACTGATTTATGCCATAGAAACATATGGCAAGAAGATGGGGAGGCATGTAACAAAAAATAACAAATATGTAGCCAAAAAAAAAAAGGCCCTGAAAACAGGCTGATGTAAAAGACAGTCTTTACAGTTAATACAGTCTTTTGAACAAAGACAAGCATTTTACCCTACTGCTATAAAATGTAGTAGAGTTAACATTAGATGTTAATTAACCAAGATAATAATGAAAAATTTTCAATCAATACATCAAAAGCAATAGACCGACATCACTAGATGGAGGTAGTCTATGCTCTAGAAAGTTACTTTTCAGCCTCTTAACAAAAATGAGAACACACACACACACCCACCTACCCACCCACGATACCGACCTGTGGCGTACACAGACAGCAAGAGTGCCGTAGCAGATTCCATTTCACCTCAGTAATCTGTTTTGTCAGCGTATTTCAGGTTGCTACTAGCCACCAGACACTCAACTTGTTTGTTGGTGGTGGGGCTTAAAGAAAAGGCACTAGCGCCACCCAGTGTATGAGCGTCTTTTTCCCTTGAGGAGCTCCGCTCTAGAAGCCTATGAGAAATGCATAGACTGGGGGAAAATAGCCCCGCCTTCCCGCAGGCTGCAGCGGGATGTACTTGGAAAATTGTACCATAAAACCACATAGCGTTAATCTCACGTTAAAAAAATTATCGCCGTTAATATATATATATATATATATATATATATATATATATATATATATATATATATATATATATATATATATATATATATATATATATATATATATATATATATATATATATATATATATATATATATATATATATATATATATATATTTTTTTTTTTTTTTCTTTTTTTTTTTTCTTATTTTTTTGTCTGCACCAACAACACCAAGTCAAATTCCTTGTAAGTGCAAACCTACTTGGTAATAAACTTGATTCTGATTTTCTGTGATCAGTGGTTAAAAAGTATTTTGAATCTATTTTGAAGTGAGAAAGTCCATCTGAAAACATCGTCAGTGCAGTACACCGGCGGTGCGCTGTCACTGGGAATCCCATTCAACAGCAGCCCATGGCCCGATCGATCGATCCAAACTGCAGGCACCAGGATAATAAAAGCAAACATGTTTGCCGGCAATATTTGGCATTTTAAGTTAATTTAGACGTTAATAAACTGTTTCAGAGGAGTGATCATAGCGCTCTGCATCAGCAGTGCTGCATCTGTTCAGACAGCATCCGCGTTCATGTGTTTTGAAAGCGTGGTTTCGAGGGGTGGTCTGAAGGGAGAGGGATGGTTGCGTATGTTCAAAAATCTTTTTTTCCAAGATCTCCTACTACACACCTTTCATAGTGTCTCCTATTAAGCATCCATCAAGTTTCTGGAAGAAATCTTATAATATTGTTGAACTGGAAGGAAAGAAACTATAACTGTTTTGATGTACAGAATTGGAACAAAGACTTTTTGAAATTGGTTGCTATGGAACAAGCCGCCATAATCCTTGATAAGCAACCAGATTCCAGATTGTCTGGACCTTGGCCCACACTGAAAATGTATTTACAAAAGCATACAGAATAACCACATCTTACTGTCTTGATAAGTGACCTCTCTACTTCGTGTATTATGGCAAACTCTGTAAATCTAAAAAAAAAATAAAAAAAACAAAACCCAAGGTGAAAAATCTAGGCTCACATTGTTTGTATTCTGTATGATTTGCAGAAACTCAGATGTTTCTAGTGATATCAAACTTCTACTAAACTGCATAACCTGGTCAGTTTGGAACCACCATGAATGACTTTAGGTAACAGCAGCGCTGAACTACCACTCTTTCCTTGTACCATTGTAGAACAAATGTATTTTACCCGTGAAGCCGGAAAACTTCCTTGGAGCATTGACGGAGGGGTCAGCAGGGGGAGTCTTGAACTGACAGGAGGTGTTCAACTTGGCCTGGACCTTCTTCTTCGGACTTGCATTGACTTTGGCCATCAGGTCTACAAGACGACAGGTTCAGAAAACAAACAAGGTAAACAGAATTACACTTAGAAGATGATTTTCAAAAGAACCAACCGATCATATTTAAATAGCATTAATCAATATTTCAGTGTTGTGTAATAAAACCAGGATACTTTATGTTTACCAAAAGGGTCAAGTGTAAAGAATAAACATAAAGTTGCTTTTTCTATGTCTGCTTCTGTCTCCTTGAACCCCAGTGGGCCTCAGCAGATGGCCGCTCACACTGAGCCTGGTTCTACTGGATACTTCTCCCTCTTAAAAGGAGTTTTTCCTCTCCACTGTCGCTACAAGCATGTTTAGTGTGAGGGATTGCTGAAGAGTCAATGAGTCGATGCAATCAACTGTAAAGTGACCTGACATCACATCTGTTGTGAATCGGCACTATAGAAATAAAATGAACTGAATTAAAGCAGCGGTTTAAACTTTTATTAAGCATGAATGAACAGATTGACTTAAAGAGCGTCTCTGCTGTACCTGAAACGTGTTTATTAATGAGGTCTTTGTCCTCGTCCTGCAGCTCCTCCCAGCCCTCTAGCTCCGTCAGGTCTTCTATCTTCTTCGTCGTGGCTCTCGCCCTCTCCAGCTTCTCAAATATGCACTTCACGTGATACCACTCTTTCATCTCCCCAGCAGACTCACTGAAAGGATTTGGCACGATTTTCCCTATGCGCACGATGCCCTTCTGAATTTTGTCCTTGCATTTCTTGCACCCCGCGGTGCCGCGTTTGGCGTATTCAACTAGGAACCTTTGTTCAGACATATCCGGCTGCTCGGTGTAGCGCTGCTGGAAGAAAGTCCAGGGAGTGTGTCTCTGCAGAAAATAGTGTTTCCTAAATGCTGAGGTGGAATGCTGCTTTGTCTTTGAGGTTTTTAGGTGAACAGGTGAGGGCAGGTGTTTAGTGTAGGAAGAAATAAAGAACGCTTTCCAAAATGTTTTGGGTTGCCAACACTTAATTAGAGTACGAAAAGGTTGTTGGCCCAAATAGACAGTCTTATGAATCAACAAATTAAGATTTCTCCACATGTAGATGTGACTGAGGGGAAGTTAAAGCCTGAAACAGAAGAGACAAACAATAAGCACATAAACAACAGCATAACACAACACCTAGTTACTAGGTTAAAAGGTCCTACAGATTGAATATCCCTTTCTTCCTTCTTCCAAATAATGAGCAGAGATTTTATAAATGCGGTAACCTATAAGTCAGGTTTTTTAAACTTTAACCCCTTTAAACCCTGACACCTGCTCATGTTAATCTATTTACAGAAATGGCCAAATCACAGTCACATGATGTTTCATCCACACGCCTTTCAAATGGGGCTTTAGAATTTCTAAAAAATGTTTCAAAATAATTTTTTTTTTACAAATACTTTTTGTTTTATAGCTCTGTAGACAACTAAAAGGAGGTTTAAAATTCCACCTGACGTGCAAGAGTAATGCCACAGCAGGTATTCATTTTTAGCCACGCCCCCTAATGGCCGCCATCATTGGAAACTAGAGGCTCAGACCTTTCCAAGGAGGGGTTTAGAGGTCATTGTGCGACCATTTCAGGTCATGTAACCGGAATGCGTTACATAAGCTTGCTCTGTTATTCTTATTTTCTTATCATTTTTTGATATTATTTGTATATTTCCATGAAACAACGGCTAAATCTTAGGAGCAAAGGTTTTGTCTTACGCAGAAGGTCTCCAATAATGTAAATCAGCATATTTGTCTGACCAGATTCCCTTTTATGAGCGGAAAAATGCATTTTTGCATAACTTTTTACATCACATTTCCACCTAGCACACTTCCCACTAAAACTTTTGTGGAACAAACACGCTTCAACTTATCCAGTCCAAAATTTGCTTGACTTATAGTCAAGGTGTGGATCTATAAAGTCTGAGGGTTCATCCACAGTTTTAAATGGGCTTTCATGGTGTTTTCAGTGTTTATTTTGGAAAAAAAATGGCAAGGCTAAATATTGTTTATTTTTTTCTTTGTTTAATCACCTATAAAATAGACATGGTGACATTTAAAACAGTGGTTCCACCTGAAAAATATTCCTCAATGCCTTTCTGTCATATAAATACAAACAATTAAATTCCCAATTTAAAGTTTGGGAGCTGCACTTGCTTTAATTCACATATCTAATTTCAGACAGAATTTAATCCTAAGACCCTCTAGACCAGGGGTGGGCAAACTTTTTGACTTGCGGGCCAGAATGGGTTCTAAAATTTGACAGAAGGTCCGGGCCAGGAGCATTTGGACAAGCAATGTCATTAATTAAACCTGGGGATTGAAATGTATAAAAAAACAGACAATTTTCACGACCATAAGGCGCACCGTACTAAAAGGCGCAGTCTCAGTTATGTGTCCCATTTCTGTATTTAACACACACATAAGGCGCACCGGACTATAGGGCGCGTTTTTTATATACAGGTAAATGTCCTCTACTACGTTTAAATACCTCTACTGCGTATTTAAAAATAGAGCGGGACCAAAACTGAGTATGACTGTGCTTTATTCATTTATTTATTACAAAGTATTAATCAAACCTACGTGCTGGCCTTGAGACAGACACATCGCTGATGACACAGAGCGCTGTGATCACTCCTAAATTAACTTAAAATCCTGAAACCTGCCGACGGAATATGTTCGCTTTTATTACCGGTATCCTGGTGCCTGCAGTTTAAATTATTTAGATGAAAAACACCTGCCAGCCGCTGCGGTGAACCCGGAGGCTGCCCAGCCTAGAGGCTGCTGATGAAGGGATTCCTACTGTCAGTGCACCGCTGGTATGTGGGGGTCTGAGCGCCTCCGACAGACATAGTATAGCCATGATGATAATCTGGATGAACTGACTGCAATGATTAAGTTTTCAGCTGGACTTTCTCACTTAAAAACATATTAAAACTACTTTATTCCCACTGATCACAGCAAATATAGCTGCAAGATTTAGATTATTTAGATGAAAAAACACCTGCCAGCACAGCGGTGAAGAGGAGGAGACCCGGCCCAGAGGCTGCTGTTGAATTAAGTTTTCAGGTAGAAAAATAGAGCGGGAGCAAAACTGAGTAAGATTGTGCTTTATTCAAGTATTTATTACAAAGTATTAATCAAACCCATCAAAGTCATCATCCTCTGTTTCTGAATTAAACAGCTGCGCTAAATCAGACATGCCAATTTCCCCTTCTTCGCTGTCAGAGTCACTTTCCGTGCAGCGCGGCTCCTCAGAAATAATACCTGCTTTTGCGAAAGCTCGAACAACAGAGCCAGCAGACACGTTACCCCAAGCATCAACAATCCATCCGCAAACGGTGGCGTAACTTGCGCGGCGCTGCCTTCCACTTATCATGAAACTGTGGTTAGTCGGTCATCCATCGCTCCCACGCCGCTCGCAGCCTTACTTTGAACGGCCGCTTCACACCGATGTCAAGCGGTTGAAGTTCCTTTGTCAGACCTCCCGGGATAACGGCGAGCACAGCGTTCATTCAGTCACAGATTAACAGCGTTGGTGATGCGTGGAAAAAACCACCTGGTCTCCTCATACACCTGCCTCAGCCACGCTTTCATCATCTCCTCATCCATCCAGCCTTTTTCATTTGCCGTAATATCATGTGTCATCAGAGCGCTGTGTCTGTCTCGCTGTCAGCTCCCAGATCAGCTTCTCTGATTGGTTGATGCAGCGCTTCCAGCAGCAAAACTTCAATTTTTCCATCTCGAGCAGCAGCAGCGCGTTTCCGGCGTGTCAGATAAACGATCCTGACGCACTGCGCCTGCTGCTCAAAACGCGCTGCGGGACCTTTTGCTGCACCTATACGCGCGTCAACCATTGACTTTGCATGTAAACTCGCTGCTTCTGCTGCGCCTGCTGCGTCCGGTTCACACCGATGTCAAGCGGTTGAATAACAGCGAGCACAGCATTCATTTCTTTCACCATGTTTTTCACATCAGCTGTGAGATGGGCACGCATGGAGTCACAGATTACCAGAGATGGTGATGAGTGGAAAAAAACACCTGGTCTCCTTACATTCACCTCCCTCAGCCACGCTTTCATCATCTCCTCAATGAGGAGATGAGGAGTTCTGCATGGTGCATGGTGGTCTCAAAAGTCGCAGTTACAACACACATAGGGCGCACCGCACATTTTGAGAAAAAAAAAAAAAAAGACGTTTATGTGCGCCTTACAGTCGTGAAAATAGGGTAATTTGGACAAGTTTGGCGGGCCGGATTAAAAAGCCTAACGGGCCGTATACGGCCCGGGGGCCGTAGTATGCCCATGTCTGCTAGACTTTAGGGTTTTGAGTAATAAAGGGCTACTTTTTGAAATGTTGTCGGATTAGTTTTCCCTTTAAGCCATAGGTATTGTGTCGGTCTTTAAAATGTAAATAGTCTTCGTTAAAATTATTTTGTAAAGTTTCCAGAAGAAAAAAAAAAAGAGATAAAAGATGCTGCATCTCTGTAATTTATTATTTCCAGCTCCACTTCAGAAAATCAACACTAACTGATGACAAAATCCGAGTTGCTATGACAACCACAGTTGCCCTACAGACTTTTGTATTTCTGTTTGTTAAAAAAAAGAGATATTACCAACATTTATTATTATTATTATTGTTGTTGTTGTCGTTGCATGCAATCACTTCCAAATATGTCGTTTACGAAAAACGTGTATAAACAAAAAGCCCTTTTTTTTGGTTGTTGTTTTTTTGTGGGGGGTTAATTATTAAGATTTGTTTAATTTAATCCAAAATTCAGCCTCTCTCTGTTTTAACTACTGATTAGCAGCTGCTGACTAGTCCAGAGGAACAACTGTTAGTATAAAAATATTTTTAATAATTTACTATATATGCAAATAGAATTGCAAAATCTGCATAATGCAACTGTTCGTGTTAAGTTAATTATTAACTCGAAGATAAAGGCAAACTGCCCTGCAACAAAGACAACTGGATGTTAGCACTGGATGTTAGCATTAGCTTAACACTGTCCCAACTACTGAAAACTGACGCGACAAAGTAAAAAAACAAAGCAATGTATCAAAAAATGTAGCGAGTATCCACAGTTCTTTGTTTCTACTGTACCTTGTAGAAGCCGCGTTAAGGGACATAATACTAATGTAACAATTACTCCTCCTCGGTTCTGCAAAAAGCTAACTAGCTAGTTCATCCGTACGTAGCTGGGTACCTTCTTCTTCTCTTCTTCTTCTTCTTCTTCTCGTGTTTTATGGCGGTTGGCAACAAACTGTTAGTAGCATTACCGCCACTTACTGGTATGGAGTGTGGTTCGTGATGGTTTAAATATTTATCCTGATATATTCTACCCTAACTTCTTCTAAACATACATTCACACATTCACACTTAAAAATATAAACAAATTTGTGCACAGCTTTGTATATCATTCCTTCACTCACAAACACACTTACTATAATTAAATTCTATGGAATAATTTCGTTTTCTTTAGAAAACGAATAATTATTTGTATGTGTTTACTCCCTAAATTTTTCCTCAGTATATCTAATAAATTAACCTTCTCCTTAATGTCTTCAAACTCTCTTCTCATATATCTTCTCTCTCTTTCATATTTATGACAGTCTAATATAACATGTTCTATGGTTTCATATTTATCACAGAAATCACATTTGCCCGTTTTATGTTTTTGTATTTTAAAAAGTGTATAATTAAGTCCTGTATGACCAAATCTTAACCTTGTTATCACTCTTTCCTCCTTTCTATTTCTTCTTCCATTTCTTCTTTCTCCTACCATCTTCTGAATTTTATAAAACCATCTTCCTGTTTTATCTTCATCCCACCTTTTTGGCCAAATTTCCATAAGTTTCTCTTTAATAATACTCTTTCCTTCTGATTTACTTATTTTAACTATAAAACTAATAGAATGTTTAATTGCCCTTTTTGCCATTTTATCTGCCCACTCGTTTCCTTCTACCCCAATATGTGCTGGAACCCACACAAATGTAACTATCAGCCCCATATTTCGTATTCTGAACAGTGTATGATTTATTTCTAATAAAATGTCCATCCTACTATCTGTTTGGTTATTTTTTAAACTTAACAATGCGGAGCTTGAATCTGAACAAATGACTGATTTTAACGGTTTTATATCTTCTACCCATTGTAATGCTAATAATATTGCCAACATTTCTCCTGTGTATACTGATAATCCATCTGTAATCCGTTTTCCTATTTTTATATTGAATTCTGGTACTACAAATGCTATTCCTAATTTCTCAGTCATTTTTGATGCATCGGTATAAATTTGAATATATTGATAATAACTGTCTAAATATAACTGTACTAAATTGATATCTACCGTGTACGATTTATCTTGTTTCTTTTCCATTAGTGACATATCTACTGTTGCTTCTGGTAGAATCCAGGGAGGTATAATTGATATTGGTGTTGTTTGACTCATTTCTAAACTATTCATTTTAAATTTTTTAATTTTATTTTCAATTGTCCATCCAAAACTCCTCATTTCTTTCTTTTCTTTTTCCCAGCATGGATTTAAAATGTCCAAAGTTGGGTGATCCCCTTTATTTCCTTGTAAATTTAACCAGTAATTGATTTCTAATTTTGTTCTTCTTAAATCTAATGGCATTTCTCCCATTTCTATTTCTAATGCTGCTGTTGGTGTGGTTTTAAATGCTCCAGTACATAATCTTAGTGCCTGATGTTGGATAATGTCTAATTTGGTTAGATGTGTTTTAGCTGCTGAACCGTAAACTAAACAACCAAAGTCTATGTTGGATCTTATCATACTTGTGTAAATCTGTTTTAGTGATTTCCTATCTGCTCCCCAGTCACTGCCAGCCAAACATCTCAAAATATTCAAGATTTTCTTACATTTATCAACAACTTTTTGTATATGTATATGCCATTTTAATTTTTCATCAAACCATAATCCTAAAAATTTTATACACTTTACCTGCTCTAACTCTTGTTTATATAATTTTAATTTTATTTCCTTGTTTATTTTTTTCTGAGTAAATAACATTACTTTTGTTTTATCAACTGAGAATTTAAATCCCCATTGCAACGCCCATTTCTCTATTTCAATAATAACCTTTTGTAATTTTTTAACAATAAAATCAACATTTTTCCCTCGTTTCCAAACAGCTCCATCATCTGCAAATAGTGAACACCCCATGTCTTTTTCAATATCTTTAAATACATCGTTTATCATAATTGAGAACAAAAGTGGACTTATAATACTCCCCTGTGGAGTTCCATTTTCTACTTTATATTTTCCTGAGGTAGTTTCTCCTATTCTAACTTGTATTTTCCTACCTGTTAAAAAGTCTTTAATCCATTTAAATATTCTCCCTTTAATACCAATCTTGTATAATTTAATTAATAATCCATCCACCCACATCATGTCATATGCCTTTTCTATATCAAAGAATACAGCCACTACACTTTCTTTATTTACTTGTGCTCTTCTAATTTCGTGCTCTAGACAGAGCGTTGGATCGTTAGTGCTCCTCCCTTTTCGAAAACCACTTTGATATTTTGATATATATCCTTTACTATTTAGATAATATACTAGTCTATTATTAATCATTTTTTCCATTATTTTACATAAATTAGATGTTAAGGCTATTGGTCTGTAGTTTTCTGGGTTTGAATGATCTTTCCCTGGTTTGGCTATTGGTATAATAATTGATTCCTTCCAGCTCAACGGTAATTTTCCCTCCTCCCAAATTTTATTATATAGGTGTAATATTATATCTTTAGATTTTTCACTAAGTTGCCCTATCATTCTATACCAGATTTGGTCTTTACCTGGTGCTGTGTTTTTTGTCTTTTTAAGTGCATTGTTCAATTCCGTTTTTGTAAACTCAACATTTAACAAATTATTTGTTTCTTCACCGCTCTGTATAAAATCTTTATATTTAATTTTTGTATTTTCTCTACCTTTTCTTCCATTTTCACTAATATTATTTGAACTATGAATTTTACTGAATGTTCTTGCCAATATTTCAACTTTATCTTCATCTCTTATTACGTTTGTATCATCTATTTTTAGAACAGGATAGTCAAACTCTCTTTTAATACCATTCATTATTTTGATTACTTTCCAAATTTTCTCTATTTTTGTTTCTTTCCCTATCGTATTACAGAATTTTTTCCAATATTCTCTTTTTGCATTCTTTATAGTTCTCCTTACTATTGCTTGTTTTCTTTTATAATCAATTAAATTTTTATAAATTGGATTATGTTTGAGTGTCTTAAATGCTTTATTTCTTAACTTTATTGCTTCTTTACACTCATTTGTCCACCATGGAACCATTTTCTTATCGTTCTTACTCCCTGATTTCTTTATAGAATTATCTGCTGCTTCCATTATTATTTTACCAATTATTAAATTTAAATCATTTATATCCATACTCATGTCTACTTTTTCTAAGTTTATTTGACTCAAATATCTAAATTTAGTCCAGTCAGCCTTATTAAAATTATACTTTTTCCCAATTTTAATATTCCTATTATTTCATTCTTCTTCTCCTTAGTCTTCTTCTTCTTTATGGGATTTTATTGGCGGTTGGCTCGCAACGAAATGGCGCACTACCGCCCCAAACTGGTATGGAGTGTTGATCGGAATGGCTACTGCCTACTTATACTGAACAAAACAAAAACCAACAAAACCAAAATAAGATTCAAATCCTCTCAATTACATTGATTAATCTAAGATAATGAAAAACTTATCTATTGAGTTCTTTCTAAGGATTTCTATTAAATTAAAATGTATTCTCTCTTTTTTAAGATTTTGAACCCATTCCCTCCCCTTTCTTTCATAGTTCTTACAGTGTACCATAACATGTTTAATTGTTTCTTGTTGCTCACAGTATTCACACATACCGGTGTTATGTTTACCTATTTTAAATAAAGTACTGTTTAATCCAGTTTGCCCAAATCTAAGTCTTAAAATTATTGTTTCTTCTCTTCTGTTCTTTGCAGCACATCTCATCTCTCCCACTCTCCTCTGAATCAGATGAAACCACCATCTTTTCCTCCTTTCTTCTCTTCTTCCCATTGCTTTTGCCACTTTTCCTTCAGTCTCTGTTTAATGATGCTTTTGCTTCCATCTTACTAATTTTAACTGACGGATCGATGGCTTCTCTTGTTGTAGCCTCCTTTGCAGCTTTATCTGCCATTTCATTTCCTTTAACTCCCCTGTGTGCTGGTACCCATAAAATATGACTTTAATGGCCATCATTTGCATTCTGTAATGTTTGCTGGATTTCAATCAAAATATCTGCTCTGTTATCTCAGTGAAAACGGATTAGTGATGAAGATGAATCTGAACAAATAATCACTCTCAGTGGTCTTATTTCCTCTACCCATTGTAGCTAACTACCCTAGTCAAGTTAACAAATATACCGGAGAAATACTGGTACTTCCGTTGGATTTTCAAAATAAAAGTGTGTTGCCTAAATTAAGATTTAGTTCTCGTTTATATTTATCGATAGAACGACAATATAATCTATCTATCAGGATTATTATTATAACAATGATTATGGTTATCAATAATAATAATAATTAAAAATAATAATAATAATACTGTCAGAAGCAATAATCATGCATTTAATTTGTAAATTAAAGGACATTTTCTCTTGTTACAGCAGTTAAGCCCTTTACAGCCCTTTTATCAACCAGATGTTTGCCTGTTTCTTTTTCTGATTATTTATCTTTGATGTTGATTTCTAGGTGCTTTAGGTTGGGAGACATCAAAGGCATCTGTCATATCCTTCACTCCTTTACAATGTACATTATAATGTATAGTGTAATGTATATTAATTATGGGCCGAAGAAACGTTTTGTTAGATTTGGAAAGATTAGTAAAACGGAAAATCTCTCTCTAGGGTTCAGGCTTAACACTGTGCCGACCTCCCAGAAAGATCCGGGCGTTCTCCTTTGTTTCAATGAGTTTTATCAACATTTTTTGTTTGTTGAAATTTTCAAAATAAAGGAGAGTTAAAAGCGCACAGCCGTCAGGTTGGGTCCCGTTTCCCAATTTCCCACGGTAACTAAACGCAACCACAGCCGTTTGTATACAGACCGAAAAAAAACAAAAAAACAAAAACGTCATTGCTACGTAAAGTCCGTACATTAAATCACCCTGTATAATTAGGCGTACGTTTTCAAGCGTATCTCGTGGGAGGAAGGACGTGGGAGGAACGTTGGTCGTTTGATGCATGGCGCGTGTTTTGAAGCTGCTCTGCTTGTGGAGAAATGTCCTGGGCCGTGAGTAGTGAGGAAACAGGAAGCGATTCTTGTGGGATGGAAGAGGGAAATAGTGACAATGAAGGTTGGAAGATAGCAGCATCAAAAAATGAGAAAAAGCGGAAAAAACAGAGATCAGTTAAAGGGGAATCTAGTTCAGAACAATCCAGTGATGATCAATCCATACATTCCACAGCACAACAAAATGAATTCAAAGTCATATTCAAAGTCGTTAATCAGGCAGACTCTTTTACAAACTGGAATCCGGTTCACTTAACAAAAACCATCAATAAACTTGTTGGAGAAGTCAGAGGTGCCAGAATTCTGTACAGTGGAGACCTGCTAATTAACTGCAGAGACAGCGCCCAGCAAGGCAAAGCAATACGTATTAACAAAATTGACGGGATAAGAGTTCAGTGCAGCCTAATGGAGAACAAAAAGATCAGCAGGGGAGTCATTGGAGGAGTTCCTCTGAAAATTTCTGAAAAAGAGATTCTGGAAAACATAAGCGGTGCAAAAGTAAAAGAAGTAAAACGGTTAAAAACAACAAGAAACGGAGAAAGATCTGACAGTTTATCTGTACTAATTAAATTCGAGGAAGAGCAATTACCAAGCAAAGTATTCATCGGTTACATCAGTTACAATGTCAAAATCTACAATCCACCACCATTGAGATGTTTCAAATGTCAAAAATTCGGACACATTGCAGCAGTTTGTAAAGGGAAACAGAGGTGTGGAAGGTGTGCAGGAGAACATGAATATGGTAAATGTGGAAAAGAAGCTAAAATAAAATGCTGTAATTGTGGTGGAGAACATACTGCTGCTTATCGCGGCTGTGAAGCAAGCAAAAGGTCTGAAGAAATAAAAAAAATGAAATTTGAGCTTGGAATAACTTATGCTGAAGCTGCAAAAAGGATCCCATCTCAGTCAGAAAAACCCAAACCTACAGTTCAACACACGGCAAATTTCAAACCTCTAGAGAAATCTCCAAAAATTGATGAAGACTCACTAATTGTTAAAAAGACAAATTTTGTTCTTTTCATGGTGGAAGTGATTAATTGTACTGCTCAGACGACAAAAAAAACAGAAAAAATCAAAATAATAGTGAAGGCTGCAGAAAAATATCTGGATGTTAAAGATATGAACTGGGAGATGGTTGGAAGCATGATGGAAAGACCAATGGGACCATCAGAAACTGGCAGAGGTACGATGACCTAGAGTAAATTAAAATTATACGGGCAAATGTAATTTAGTATAATTTAGTATTATGTGGGTTTAAGTTACACAGGTTATTTTATTGTATTTTTTTTTTTTTTTTTTTTTTTTTTTTTTTTTTTGGGGGGGGTGAATCGTTTCCTGTTTCCTTGCTTTACTCCATATCAGTTGGTGGCGGTAATGCACATTTCACAAGTTTGCCAACCGCCATAAAATCTCATAAGAAGAAGAAGAAGCGTATCTCGTGCGGGAATAAGGAGAACGCGACGCTTCTCCTCTGCTCTGCGACGCTTTCTGTACGCAGTGCGAGGACGAGGGGATCAGATGTCGACAGGAAGATGTTGACGTTATTCCACATCTAATGATATTAATCTGTTTCTCTAAAGAGCAGCGGGATTATTGGAGGCGAAGGATGGGAAAGAGAATATGCGTTGCCTCGTATGCTGGAAGCTTTAAGCGCAGACTTTCGCTCCGCGGTGGGAAATCCAGAGGAGACTAGCTGCGTTCAGGTAGCTAGCTAGGCGACATCGCAGCCGTTTTTTGTGGCCCTCAGAGCTCCTCTCATCCACACACAGCATCCAGCCGCTTGGACAAAACAAGGAAAAATGGTGAGTAATGAGAATATTATATGAATGATTTTATTTGTCGTGTAGGATGTTTTCATAGCCGAGTTTGAACCTCGTATCGACGCAGACAGCTAGTTCCACCGAGACCTGGTGAAACCAGCTGAACATGGTGCTTTCAGGGACGGTTTGGTCATTTAACCTGTGGCTCCTGTTCATTTATTTATTCTCTAAACATTACTAACCTTTATGTGCTGCTCTTATATTTACATTTACGGCGATTTTGTTTAGGATTGGTAAGATTTGGGGTGAATCAGGTGACAACTAACAAAAGAAAAATAATTTCTTACGCGCTTCCTTTTTTTTAACTCCATCAGGCCTGTTTTTATTTTGACATGTAATCTGGTGTAAATAAACAAAAATATATAGCATCATGCTAAACGAATCCCATTTTTACGGAAGAGGATTAGGGCCACTGAAAAAATATAAAAAATTTCTGATTTGTAAATATTATTTCAGTTTATTATGGGATTAAAGTAATTAATCTCAGATTTCTGACTTTTTTTTAGCAGTTTCTGCTCTGGCAAAATTTGGAAAAGGCTTGTTCCTTCTGCAAAGAGTCTTGTACCCCTTTTAAAGAATTATATTCTCTGTATGTGTACCCTGGACTTTTATTTTTTCATGCTTTGCGTTGCATTTCCTCACATGTTCATGGGATTTTATATAATTTGATAGTTTGAAACAATTAAGGTGGCTGACACTTAATTAAAAAATCAATCAATTCAATTTTAATTCAGTTTATTTCTGCAGCGCCAATTCACATCATATCATCTCAAGTAGGGCTGCAACAACGAATCGATAAAATCGATAAAAATCGACGTTTAAAAGCGTTGGCAACGAATTTAATCATCGATTAGTTGTGTCGCGCGATTAATGCGTCATCCGCCGCCGCCGTCATCCCGGGGAAGAAAAAAAAATATGGCGGAGCGAGTCAGCGCCGCAGTTGCAGTGTTGCCAACTCAGCGACTTTTCAGACCCCTCCAGCGACTATTTTTTTAAAAAGCGACTAGCGACAAATCTGGCGACTTTTTACGGTGTCACTGGCGGCTTTTGGTGACTCTTACGTGAAAGCATGTATCGTTCCTACTCTTGTCCTCCAGCGGCAGCTGCTGCCGTGGGGCGCCTCCCCCATCCCAACGCCTTTCTCCCTCTCCCACAGGAATCCCTCTCAGCGTGCAGTCCGAGCCGCAGAATTTTAGTGAGGAGTTTACCCTCAGCGTCCAGACTGCAAATGAAGCGCGCATGCCCCGGGATTGACGGCGCAAATTGATCACAATAATTAAAATAGCCTGCGCTTTGTAAAGTGAAAAAAGTCGTAACATGCAACTTTTGTAAAAAACAAATGAACATGGCACGGAAGCACCACTGTTATGACGCAGCACCTGAAAAGAAAACACGTTGGAGCCTTCAATGGCAGTGAAGATAGCTGATCAGCAGGATGAGTAACCGTGTTTTTTTCATTTTAAAGTGGGGAAACGTAAGTTAGTTTCTCAGGTAGCTCATCTGATGCTTTCCTTAGCTTGTTAGTAGGTTACAGACAGTGATAAGGTTGGCTTCTTATTTTACTTTTAATTTCATTTGAATTAGCTTAAGCAGCGTTTATATTTTCTTTATAAATAAATAAATTTGCAAATTATGAGGGCAAGGCTTTTAAAGTTTAAATCTTCTGGCAAAGAAAGTAAAGAAGATCCTGCAATTTATGGAAGTAAAGCAGAATAAAATCCAGCAAGATCAGTAATATGTCAATTAATTATCTGCCACATTCCCATGTAAATATCTGTCTTTGGAGGATGTGTTTTTTTTAACACCCCTAGTTCTCATTTTTATTCCAAATACAATTTATAATTTGAATCACAGGGCTATTTTTATCTCTATGGTTAAGTATTTTCTTAAGTAGCAACTTTAACTGCTATACTTTCCTGTCTTAAAAGGCAGAACTCTTCTAGTCTAAAAAAAACTCATTTGTTGAAATGGGGGGGCCTATTGTTTGAACCCCTTAGGGGCTTTTAAAAACAAAAATGTCTTTTTTTGCGCTTTATGAAACAAAGTACCCTATATTTTGTGGATGTACAGCTACATTTCTCATGTAAGTTTGCATAGTTTTAACACAAACATTTATTTTTCATATAGCACCAGTACAGTTAATGAGAAACCTGTACTTGTGTGCTTGTTTGTTCTGTCTAAAATGTTTATTTTGGAATAAAGAGGTTAATATAAAAAAAATATTTTGTGTCCGATTCATCGATTAATCAAAAAAATAATCGTCCGATTCATCGATTTTCAAAATAATCGTTAGTTGCAGCCCTAATCTCAAGACACTTTCCAGTTCACCAGATCATCCAGTCAGATTGATTCAAAGTTTTCTATCCAAGGAAAACCAGTTGATTGCATCGACTCATTGACTCTTCAGCAATCCCTCACACTAAGCATGCTTGTAGCGACAGTGGACAGGAAAAACTCCCTTTGAACAGGAAGAAACCTCCAGCAGAACCAGGCTCAGTGTGAGCGGCCATCTGCTGAGGCCCACTGGGGTTCAAGGAGACAGAAGCAGACATAGAAAAAGAAGCATAGATACAAAAGGCAACTGTCAACCAGCTCCACAGGCGGCCCCGTCCAGGAAACACACAGCCAGGCAGACGAGCTCCGAGCCAGCTCCCATGTCAGAGGATGAAGAGAGCACATCCAGTTAGTCACAGTCAGAGAAACAGGACTACACTGGAAAACAGGCCAAGCTCCAACATCTAGAAACAAAGGTGTTGATGGCAGCAGCACAGCTGATATTTCTCTCCAGGATGGAGTCACAGCCAAACAGGAACAGACCAGATGAAGCTACTATGAGAAAAAGCAGAGAGAGCAGAACGCTAGAGATTGAACTAACAAATTCTGCAGAGTGGGAGAATAGAGATAGAATGAAGCAGAATGATGAAAAAGGGGTCCCTATGTCCTCCAGCAGTCTAAGCCTATAGCAGCAGAACTATAGAGATAGCTCAGGATAACCTGAGCCACTCTAACTAGAAGCTTTATCAAAAAGGAAAGTTTTAAGCCTAGCCTTAAAAGTAGACAGGGTGTCTGCCTCACGGACTAAAACTGGTAGTTGGTTCCACAGGAGAGGAGCCTGATAACTAAAAGATCTGCCTCCCATTCTACTTTTAGAAACTCTAGGAACCACTAGTAAACCTGCAGATTGAGAGCGAAGTGCTCTGTTAGGAACATAAGGAACAATCAGATCTCTGATATAAGATGGAGCTTGGCCATTTAAGGCTTTATATGTGAGAAGGAGGATTTTAAATTCTATTCTGGATTTAACAGGAAGCCAACGAAGAGAAGCCAGGATAGGCGAGATATGATCTCTCTTTTTCATTTTCATCAGAACTCTGGCTGCAGCATTTTGGATCAGCTGAAGGCTTTTAACTACAGTTTGTGGACTTCCTGATAGTAAAGAATTACAATAGTCCAGCCTTGAAGTAACAAATGCATGGACTAGTTTCTCAGCATCACCCCTGGACAGGAGATTTCTAATTTTAATCAATATTCATTTAGGCTCCAACTAGAAGGTTCATTGTGAGACCATCCAACCCATGACATCATAAATGCTGATATCATCCAATAACAAACTGGCCTGTTTGTAAAAAAAAATACCAAACTGCATTTCCTTCTCAGACAAGATCGTCCTCTTTTACTTTCTTGATTTGAAGCTGCCTGTTTGATCACATTTCCTCTGCATCCTCTAGCTCAGACATGGGCATACTACGGCCCCCGGGCCGTATACGGCCCGTTAGGCTTTTTAATCCGGCCCGCCAAACTTGTCCAAATTACCCTATTTTCACGACTGTAAGGCGCACATAAACGTCTTTTTTTTTTTTTTTTCTCAAAATGTGCGGTGCGCCCTATGTGTGTTGTAACTGCGACTTTTGAGACCACCATGCACCATGCAGAACTCCTCATCTCCTCATTGAGGAGATGATGAAAGCGTGGCTGAGGGAGGTGAATGTAAGGAGACCAGGTGTTTTTTTCCACTCATCACCATCTCTGGTAATCTGTGACTCCATGCGTGCCCATCTCACAGCTGATGTGAAAAACATGGTGAAAGAAATGAATGCTGTGCTCGCTGTTATTCAACCGCTTGACATCGGTGTGAACCGGACGCAGCAGAAGCAGCGAGTTTACATGCAAAGTCAATGGTTGACGCGCGTATAGGTGCAGCAAAAGGTCCCGCAGCGCGTTTTGAGCAGCAGGCGCAGTGCGTCAGGATCGTTTATCTGACACGCCGGAAACGCGCTGCTGCTGCTCGAGATGGAAAAATTGAAGTTTTGCTGCTGGAAGCGCTGCATCAACCAATCAGAGAAGCTGATCTGGGAGCTGACAGCGAGACAGACACAGCGCTCTGATGACACATGATATTACGGCAAATGAAAAAGGCTGGATGGATGAGGAGATGATGAAAGCGTGGCTGAGGCAGGTGTATGAGGAGACCAGGTGGTTTTTTCCACGCATCACCAACGCTGTTAATCTGTGACTGAATGAACGCTGTGCTCGCCGTTATCCCGGGAGGTCTGACAAAGGAACTTCAACCGCTTGACATCGGTGTGAAGCGGCCGTTCAAAGTAAGGCTGCGAGCGGCGTGGGAGCGATGGATGACCGACTGACCACAGTTTCATGATAAGTGGAAGGCAGCGCCGCGCAAGTTACGCCACCGTTTGCGGATGGATTGTTGATGCTTGGGGTAACGTGTCTGCTGGCTCTGTTGTTCGAGCTTTCGCAAAAGCAGGTATTATTTCTGAGGAGCCGCGCTGCACGGAAAGTGACTCTGACAGCGAAGAAGGGGAAATTGGCATGTCTGATTTAGCGCAGCTGTTTTATTCAGAAACAGAGGATGATGACTTTGATGGGTTTGATTAATACTTTGTAATAAATACTTGAATAAAGCACAATCATACTCAGTTTTGCTCCCGCTCTATTTTTCTACCTGAAAACTTAATTCAACAGCAGCCTCTGGGCGGGTCTCCTCCTCTTCACCGCGGTGCTGGCAGGTGTTTTTTCATCTAAATTAGGGCTGCAACAACGAATCGATAAAATCGATAAAAATCGACGTTTAAAAGCGTTGGCAACGAATTTAATCATCGATTAGTTGTGTCGCGCGATTAATGCGTCATCCGCCGCCGCCGTCATCCCGGGGAAGAAAAAAAAATATGGCGGAGCGAGTCAGCGCCGCAGTTGCAGTGTTGCCAACTCAGCGACTTTTCAGACCCCTCCAGCGACTATTTTTTTAAAAAGCGACTAGCGACAAATCTGGCGACTTTTTACGGTGTCACTGGCGGCTTTTGGTGACTCTTACGTGAAAGCATGTATCGTTCCTACTCTTGTCCTCCAGCGGCAGCTGCTGCCGTGGGGCGCCTCCCCCATCCCAACGCCTTTCTCCCTCTCCCACAGGAATCCCTCTCAGCGTGCAGTCCGAGCCGCAGAATTTTAGTGAGGAGTTTACCCTCAGCGTCCAGACTGCAAATGAAGCGCGCATGCCCCGGGATTGACGGCGCAAATTGATCACAATAATTAAAATAGCCTGCGCTTTGTAAAGTGAAAAAAGTCGTAACATGCAACTTTTGTAAAAAACAAATGAACATGGCACGGAAGCACCACTGTTATGACGCAGCACCTGAAAAGAAAACACGTTGGAGCCTTCAATGGCAGTGAAGATAGCTGATCAGCAGGATGAGTAACCGTGTTTTTTTCATTTTAAAGTGGGGAAACGTAAGTTAGTTTCTCAGGTAGCTCATCTGATGCTTTCCTTAGCTTGTTAGTAGGTTACAGACAGTGATAAGGTTGGCTTCTTATTTTACTTTTAATTTCATTTGAATTAGCTTAAGCAGCGTTTATATTTTCTTTATATATAAATAAATTTGCAAATTATGAGGGCAAGGCTTTTAAAGTTTAAATCTTCTGGCAAAGAAAGTAAAGAAGATCCTGCAATTTATGGAAGTAAAGCAGAATAAAATCCAGCAAGATCAGTAATATGTCAATTAATTATCTGCCACATTCCCATGTAAATATCTGTCTTTGGAGGATGTGTTTTTTTAACACCCCTAGTTCTCATTTTTATTCCAAATACAATTTATAATTTGAATCACAGGGCTATTTTTATCTCTATGGTTAAGTATTTTCTTAAGTAGCAACTTTAACTGCTATACTTTCCTGTCTTAAAAGGCAGAACTCTTCTAGTCTAAAAAAAACTCATTTGTTGAAATGGGGGGGCCTATTGTTTGAACCCCTTAGGGGCTTTTAAAAACAAAAATGTCTTTTTTTGCGCTTTATGAAACAAAGTACCCTATATTTTGTGGATGTACAGCTACATTTCTCATGTAAGTTTGCATAGTTTTAACACAAACATTTATTTTTCATATAGCACCAGTACAGTTAATGAGAAACCTGTACTTGTGTGCTTGTTTGTTCTGTCTAAAATGTTTATTTTGGAATAAAGAGGTTAATATAAAAAAAATATTTTGTGTCCGATTCATCGATTAATCGAAAAAATAATCGTCCGATTCATCGATTTTCAAAATAATCGTTAGTTGCAGCCCTAATCTAAATAATCTAAATCTTGCAGCTATATTTGCTGTGATCAGTGGGAATAAAGTAGTTTTAATATGTTTTTAAGTGAGAAAGTCCAGCTGAAAACTTAATCATTGCAGTCAGTTCATCCAGATTATCATCATGGCTATACTATGTCTGTCGGAGGCGCTCAGACCCCCACATACCAGCGGTGCACTGACAGTAGGAATCCCTTCATCAGCAGCCTCTAGGCTGGGCAGCCTCCGGGTTCACCGCGGCGGCTGGCAGGTGTTTTTCATCTAAATAATTTAAACTGCAGGCACCAGGATACCGGTAATAAAAGCGAACATATTCCGTCGGCAGGTTTCAGGATTTTAAGTTAATTTAGGGGTGATCACAGCGCTCTGTGTCATCTGCGATGTCTCTGTCTCAAGGCCAGCTCGCAGGTTTGATTAATAATTTGTAATAAATACATTAATAAAGCACAGACATACTCAGTTTTGCTCCCGCTCTATTTTTAAATACGCAGTAGAGGTATTTAAACGTAGTAGAGGACATGTACCTGTATATAAAAAACGCGCCCTATAGTCCGGTGCGCCTTATGTGTGTGTTAAATACAGAAATGGGACACATAACTGAGACTGCGCCTTTTAGTACGGTGCGCCTTATGGTCGTGAAAATTGTCTGTTTTTTTATACATTTCAATCCCCAGGTTTAATTAATGACATTGCTTGTCCAAATGCTCCTGGCCCGGACCTTCTGTCAAATTTTAGAACCCATTCTGGCCCGCAAGTCAAAAAGTTTGCCCACCCCTGCTCTAGCTGGTTAATTATCTTATGAGATCTGGTATGGAATGTCAGAAATATAAAAAATGTGTGGAATGAATAATGGGGGAAAATGTTCACATGTGTTTCTCTTTTTTTCTATACAGGTTTACCTGTTAAATCCCATAGAGAACCTAAGAGGCTACATCAACAACCGTCCACCTCTGGTCATTTTTATGATCAGCGTGAGTGCAGTGGCCATCGCCTTCCTGACCATTGGATATTTCTTTAAGATTAAGGAAATAAAGTCTCCAGAGTTGACGGAGGTAAATAAAATCCACAAAATGATAATAATAAATGATATAATTATCGTAATCAATCATTTAAATCTACCAGAACCATAGGATTTATTTCTTTATGGCATTTTCTCTCATAAATCCCTCTCACTGTTAGATTTAATGTACTCATTTTAGAGAGTACAGGAAATGAAGCCCTTTATTGTTTAGATATCAGGGTATAAATTAAGGTCTTAATTTGTATTAAAATTCATTAAATGTGATTATTGTGGCATTTGAAATGCTTAAGAAAAAATGCATTTACAAAAACGGAGAAAAGGCTAGATCAGGGGTAACCAATGAAAGATCAGCGGGTCCGAATAAAGAAAATCCTCAACCAGTAAAGGCCTGGAAACATTTTAAATTATAAGCTGGTACTTAAACCAGATTTTAACATTGAAATAAAATGTAGGTTTTTATGCATCCATGTTATACGTTGATTTTTTTTAAAATAAAAACATATTTTCTCAAACAGCTGAACTGACGATTGTTTTCTTTTTCCTGTCTTAATGTTGGCAGTGGGCTTTAGGCTGCCCTGCAAGGCTTTAAACCTGGGTTTAACCAGAGACTAAGCCATTCTCAAGCACATATCAAGGAGCTCATTTTGAGCCTGGATCCAGATTTATTGTTGATTCTGTTCATGGTGGAGAATCCTGCTTCACAGCAGCAGGTTGAGCCAAACATCCTCTAAATGTGCAGGGTCATCTTTGAGCACGCCATTTCACTTTTCTTTCACCCGTTCACCGCAGTTCTTCCAGCAGTCCACACTTTCTCTGCTCTCTTTTTCTCATGGTCTTCTCCTTCTTTCCCATCGCCCTGCTTGCCACAGGTTTGCCTGCTGTGTCTAAAAGTAGCAGCAGCAGCAACCCAGACTGACAGCTCATTGGCTCATTTGGATCACGTGCAGCCTGGAGCCGGACGCTCCCCAGGGCTTTACCGTATTTACAGGAGAAGAGGCGCAAGTGAAGTTAGAAACCATGGATGCACGATATTGGGATTTTGGCCGATATCCGATATGCCGATATTTTAAAACTCATGTAGCCGATAACCGATATCGATACCGATGTTAAAGCTGGACAAAAATAAGTAGTCATTGAAAATAGCAGTTTTGTTATTCATTTCTGACACTTTGAAAAATAATATACTCAAATATATTTTCATATGCTGATATCAAATAGATTTTTAAAAACGCGGTATCGATCTATTTTACTTTCAAAATCTCGTGAAATTTCATCGTTCTGTTACAAACTCTCGTGATATTTTGCAAATTCTTGTGAGATTTTGTTAGTAAAATAGATCGATACCGCGTCAATATATCAACATATAAAAATATGGCAAAATTTCGTGAATTTTCGGGGGATTGCGTAGCATAACGATGACATATAGCAATATTTCATTAGTAAAAGAGATTGATATGGTGTTTTTAAATGGCAATATATCAGCATATGAAGATATTGGGATATTTTAATGGATCAATATTTTTTCCCTTGTCTTTAGAAGTTTTTAAGTCTGTAAAAAAGAAGTTTTTGAGGAAGAAGAAGAAGTAGTATTTTTAATTTTTTTGTAGACTTTAGAAACTCAGAAGCTGATCAAATATCGGGTTAAATATCGGTGGGGTGGCCGATGTCCGATATTCAGTTTTAAGGCCGATACCGATAGGGGGCCGATTATATCGTGCATCCCTATTAGAAACTGTTGTCAGACAACATGCGGAAATTTATAAATGTTTTAAATCAGGTTGGGACCAGATTAGCCAGCAGGTGGGTCAGGATCTGGACCGCGGTCCGCTAATCCGTGACCTTTGACCTAGAGAATGGGAAAATGCAAATTTTAACAAAAGTGGCTGGAAAATGAGGAATTCTGGACATGGCTGCAGACTGTTGACGGTAAAGATGAGGAAGGATTTTGCTGTGTCTTATATATGCGAGAGTCACAGGTTCTTGTTGATGGCATTAAAATAATTTTTAAGAGCAGTAATAAAGTATAAAATTAGAGTTGCTTATTCTTTTTTAAACCCTGTATATTTCTATACAGGTGTTATTACACATTGCAGAAAATGAAAGCAAACACAGATTTTAATCTGTGATTCAGGTTCACACCCAGCAGATGCTTATGCTCAAATATTTGCATTTTCAGGATTTAATCAAAACAGCAAATCTATTTTAGTTGAACAGGTTTGATATTTGAGCTGAAATATAAACCACAGTGTTTTAATCAACAAGCCGCCTGCTCCTCCTCAGGACTGGAACACGTTTCTACTGCGCTTCAACGACCTGGACTTCTGCGTGTCGGAAAACGAGACCATAAAGCACGGCCTGAACGAGTCGACCACTCCTGAGAGCATGGTGGTGACCAGCGGCCAGGCCCGCTCCAGCACTCAGCCCCCCCTGCTGCTGGAGGACCCCGGCCCCATCAACATCTCCGTCTCCATCACCCTCACGTTGGACCCCCAGCGCCCGTTCGGAGGATACTCTCGCAATATCACCCATCTGTATTCCACGGTGCTGGGACAGCAAGTTGGCCTGTCTGGTAGGCTGTCGTCCTTTGGGGAGGGATTAACTAATATCCTCAGGAATGCATTTATGTGTGGTCTTCCTTTGACTGCTGCAGTCTGACCCTTTCATGGGTTTCTCATCTGCATGTTTGTCAGACTTTACTTTGACACAGAGAGCCAACAGTGGCATCATTGTGCAAACACAGGAAAATATGTTCTTTCCTTTAGTTTTCTCTGGTTACAGTTCCTTAGAGTAAAATACTTGTATCTATAATTGTACAACAAAAATTAATTCTGCAAATGTATTTCAGCAATGAATAATCAATTTATTCCTAATACATTCGCAGTGATTTAATGAATTTACCGTTAATCAGTAAAAAAAATTTCATAAATTTTGTCGCGATCACTGAGTCTGGGAGCGGCCATTTTTGCCCAAATATAGTAGCCCCTCCCTCCTGCCATCTTCCAGCAGTGACGTCACGGTGCGGTAAGCCTAGCGCCATTCTCCCTGCTTTACAAGCTAAATCAATGGGAACTACTAGACACATCTGCAATCAACAACAATTATTGAAGATTTCCAGAGGACTTCATCATTGAAGTTCTTAACCCAAACGGTTCACCATATCATCCAGTCAAGTTGAGTCAAAGTTTGACCCAAACGGTGCCATCTAATTGGAACAAACAGGAACCGGTTTTCGATCCCCATCCCTATTCATCACCTTGCTCCTTTCTGCGTATGTGTTTAATCATAAATGATCAGATGAGGTGGATTAGTTGCTTGTAACAAAGTTGTCTTATAAATAAGCAGTTCTTGACTACTCCATCAATCAATGACATTGACTGGTTGTGATGCTTAGATTGATCCAGATGCCAGAATCTTCTCCGCTGCATTTAAACCTCCAAGCTTTCAGATTGTATTTTTCATTTCACTCCAACAGAAATGGGTCCTTTCTCTTCTCTCTACAGCGATTATACCTGCCAGCTATGCACAGTCCTACTATAAACTGCAGCTTTTAAAAAAGGACAAAATAAATCCACTCTAAGACTCCGCAATGACAAACTCATTTAAATGGTGACCGTTTTGCACCTGTTATCAGTGGAGCACACGTTCTTTAACTGCCTTATGCTATTTGTTTACAGAGGTATTTATTGCTCCTTATCAGGAATCCTTGTAGATCAGGCCATGAGTCCAAACCCCGTAAAAGTTCAAAATATATCCACTGGACTTGGTTTCCAAGATTCAAAGACGTTTCGCCACCTCTCCAGGAAGGAGAAACGTGGCGAAACGTCTTCAAATCTTGGAAACCAAGTCCAGTGGATATTTTTTCAACTTTTACGGAATGACTATGACCTGGATGACTGAGAATCTTCATCAGCATTCATGAGTCCAAACCTACTGAAGAACCTGTTAAACGTTAAACTAGGGCTGCAACAACGAATCGATAAAATCGATAAAAATCGACTTTTAAAAGCGTTGGCAACGAATTTCATCATCGATTAGTTGTGTCACGCAATTAATGCGTCATCCGCCGCCGTCGTCGTCACTGCCACTCGTTTGAAACGGGGGAAGAAAACAAAATACGGCAGAGCGAGCCAGGCAGGTGAGCAAAGGCTGTTTTCAAAAGGCAGAAACGTCAACTGTTCTAATGACCGATACCGCAAACGCAAGCTGCGTCTCAATTCGCAGACAGCCTGCGCTTTGTAAAGCCAAAAAAGTCGTAACAAGCAACTTTTGTAAAAACAAATGAACATGGCACGGAAGCACCACTGTTATGATGCAGCACCTGAAAAGGAAACACGATGGAGCCTTCGATGGCAGTGAAGAGAGCTGATCAGCAGGGTGAGCGGCCATGTTTGTTTGGTTTTAAAGTGGGGAAACGTAACGTTAGTTTCTCAGGTAGCTCATCTGATGCTTTCCTTACCGTGTTAGTAGGTTGTTTATTTTGGAATAAAGAGGTTAATATTAAAAATATTTTTTGTCAGATTTATCGATTAATCGAAAAACTAATCGGCCGATTCATCGATTTTTTAAATAATCGTTAGTTGCAGCCCTACGTTAAACACAACTCCTTCAGCTCTCTGATCACTCGGTTTTACCTTTCAGAGATTTTTACAGCAGCTTCCAGTTTTTCTAAAGTGTCTGTTTTCCCTTTTTTTTTTTTTTGTCCAGTTATTAATGACCATCTTAACTGCATTTGTTTTTATATTTACCGTTCTTCTATGTGAGAATTTGGGGCCTTTCTGTTGTTTTTAATACATTGATGAAATGAGAAAACTTTCAGTACGTCTTAGGATGACGTACTTGGACATTTTTGGCAGGTTTGACCTTTGGGAGACAAAATACTTAAAATAGAATGATAGAGCTCCTGAAACAAACTAATGATTTAAAAGGTGTGGATATTTTGTATCTTTTTTTTTTTTTACGTTTTTTTTTTTTTTCAGACAGGGCAGCATAAAGCTGCCCTTAAAGGAAAAGTCCGGTCGTATTCAGAGCACAAACTTCTGAAAGTCCTTTAAGTATAAAATGATTCCATCCTGTTCAATAAATGATCAGTGTTTTTAATTCAGAGTAATTTTCATGTGAATGTGCTTTACTGGAGGCATCCATGTTTGTCAAAGAACACTACTGCCACCTACTGGTTAGTGACGTCACGGTGCGGTATCGGCTGTTGATCAAGTCCCAGTGCTGTATCTGGTGTTTGTCACAACGCGCTATTATCCAAGTCATCTTGAAAACATTCTTCTTCCAAATGTTGGCTACATATTACGGGTTTTTTCTCTGGCCAGAAGTTCGATGGCAAATCCTCCCTCTTCAAGTTGGCGATCCAACGACCAACCCGTCCGTGGAGGATCAGGAATCAGAAAGGTGGAATAACTTTTTTTTTCACTTTTACCCCGATGTATTCCAGCATCCAGCTGCCATGCACGTGGGCATTGTCAGTTTCACTATAGCTCTGGTGAATTTCAATGGTGAAGTCCTCTGGAAATCTTCAATAATTGTTGTTGATTGCAGATGTGTCTAGTAGTTCCCATTGATTTAGCTTGTAAAGCGGGGAGAATGGCGCTAGGCTTACCGCACCGTGACGTCACTGCTGGAAGATGGCAGGAGGGAGGGGCTACTATATTTGGGCAAAAATGGCCGCTCCCAGACTCTGAGATTGTGCCAAAAATGATATTTTTTATTTTTTACAGATTAACGCTAAACTGATTAAATTAATGCAAACGTATTAGTTTTAGGTATAAATAATGATCCATTGATTATTCCTTGCTGACCTGATTTTTCCTTTAAAAGTAGAAAGAGGTTTATTCTGTGTGAGATTCTACCAAGAAATCCTTTTTTAGTTGACTTTATATTTGATGTTTAAGGTATGTTCCTCAGGTTTCTGCAGGCTGAGCTTAACTCACATTTCGAATATCAGATTCTTCAGAACAGATGAGGAGAGCAAATACAGAGCCATGCAAATATTTAACGTCACTGTGGACATAATCTATTATCAACAGGACAGACAGGACATCTGCACAGATGGAGGTGGATTTCTTGGTAAAGGTCAACCTACTCTCTCTGAAATCTCTTATCAAGTTCAAAACTGCTTTAAATGTCACATACACTCAAAGTCAAGCATTATTGCAAATGAACAGATTAAATCCACCCCCCCCCCCTCCCCCAAAGCACAGGAATGTGTTTAAACTCGAACATAGAGCTGAAAATCCCAGCGGTGAACCACACTGATTGTAGCACGTAGCACGTGGAGAACTCAGGTTTCCTTCACGTCTGTTTTTCTAAGGTTTGTCTAATTCATCCAACGTTGAGTGTAAATATCACCTGAGCAACGAGGCTGCAGGAAGAAGTCCTTTTATAATTCAGATGGAAAATCCATCCATCCATTTTTTACGCTTTATCCGGGGCTGGAGTTCTGCCAGACCAGCATACCTATTGCCAATACGCATGTGCAAGAGGTCAGATTTGCGTTAATCTCTTTAGTTTTGTATGAAAAATAGACTTTAATCTACCTGGACAGGTGTGTATCCTTTTAGTCATGTCCCAAAAAAAAAAATCTAATGTCAGATCGCCATACGTTTCAAAAAGCACCAAAAAGTAAGTAATTAAATAGTTTTTATGTGAACTTTTTTACCTTTTTGAGAGGAACGTTTGTCATAACAAAGAAAAAAAATCTTTCAAATCTCAATGAAACTAATTTATAGGAAATTAGTCTTTGTTTACTTCCATGGAATATAAGATCTCGGAAGTTTGAAATAACAGCATTCCTTTTGAATTACAACACCTAAAATTTTTTTTTGTGGTTGTAGTTGCAGCCATATTTAATCATTTATTTGAAAATAAAGCCGATCCATCCTCCTTCCACAGCTTTAGTGAACACTGTTTATCTTTAACATGTTGTCAGACGCTTTAATTTAATCGTTCAACCCATGAAAAATAACAAATGCTTCCTTCCAGTGCATCAGATCATTGCTCCTGCCAAACATGTCAACCATATCTGATCCATTTAGCCATAAATATGATCACTCAGTTAGGGATGCACGATATAATCGGCCCCCTATCGGTATCGGCCTTAAAACTGAATATCGGACATCGGCCACCCCACCGATATTTAACCCGATATTTGATCAGCTTCTGAGTTTCTAAAGTCTAAAAAAAAAAGAAAACTTCTTTTTCCTCAAAAACTTTTTTACAGACTTAAAAACTTCTAAAGACGAGGGAAAAAATATTGATACATTAAAATATCCCAATATCTTCATATGCTGATATATTGCCATTTAAAAACACCATATCAATCTCTTTTACTAATGAAATATTGCTATATGTCATCGTTATGCTACGAAATCCCCCGAAAATTCACCAAATGTTGCCATATTTTTAGATGTTGATATATTGACGCGGTATCGATCTATTTTACTAACAAAATCTCACAAGAATTTGCAAAATATCACGAGAGTTTGTAACAGAACGATGAAATTTCACCACATTTTGAAAGTAAAATAGATCGATACCGCGTTTTTAAAAATCTATTTGATATCAGCATATGAAAATATATTTGAGTATATTATTTTTCAAAGTGTCAGAAATGGAAAACAAAACTGCTATTTTCAATGACTACTTATTTTTGTCCAGCTTTAACATCGGTATCGATATCGGTTATCAGCTACATGAGTTTTAAAATATCGGCATATCGGATATCGGCCAAAATCCCAATATCCTGCATCCCTACACTCAGTTTGATTCCTCAATCACTTCCAGACTGGTTTGCTTAAGAGGAGAGAAACACTTATGCAGCTGCCCCCTTTGTTTCAGAGCAGATTTGACTTCATGCACAAGGCAGCAGCAGTTATAAAGTTGACTCACCTGACTCTATTAAAAAATGGAGGCTGATAGGGACCGCTACATGTGACGGTTATGTTTATTTATTTTCTTGCAGGAAAAGTGGTCAGCAAGGAATAATCGATGGATCATTATTTATACCTAAAACTAATATGTTCACAGTGATTTAATGAATTTAGCGTTAGTCAGTGAAAAAAATAATTTTTGTCACGTTCAATGATTCCAGCAGTGACGTCACGGTGCGGTAAGCCTAGCGCCGATGTTGGAATACATCGGGTAAAAGTGAAAAAAAAGGGTTATTCCACCTTTCTGATTCCTGATCCTCCACGGACGGGTTGGTCGTTGGATCGCCAACTTGAAGAGGGAGGATTTGCCATCGAACTTCTGGCCAGAGAAAAAACCCGTAATATGTAGCCAACATTTGGAAGAATGTTTTCAAGATGACTTGGATAATAGCGCGTTGTGACAAACACCAGATACAGCACTGGGACTTGATCAACAGCCGATACCGCACCGTGACGTCACAAACCAGTAGGTGGCAGTAGTGTTCTTTGACAAACATGGATGCCTCCAGTAAAGCACATTCACATGAAAATTAGTCTGAATTAAAAACACTGATCATTTATTGAACAGGATGGAATCATTTCAGATTTAAAGTACTTTCAGAAGTTTGTATTCTGAATATGACCGGACCTCTCCTTTACAGGGTTCCTGCGGGTCCTTAAAAAGTCTTAAAAGTCATTGAATTCTTCAAAATAAAACTAAGGCCTTAATTGGTATTAAAATGTCTTAATTCAGTCTTTCGTAGGTCTTAATTTTTTAAAACATCATAAATAGGATTATTTTTATTACGATTTATTTTTGTGATCTAAATAAAACGTTAAAATTGACAACATTTTTTTTTTTTATTTAAATAAAAATAACGTCTCGCCATTATTGGTTCCGTCCCGATAGCGGAACCAATAAAGCGTTGTTGCTGCCGGGACATTTGGGAGATGCACCATTAACTTTTTGTCTGGAAAATATGAGCAAGTGTAAATGTAACCTAAATTGTCTCCAGCCAAGAGTTTTCTCCATGGCTAAAACCAGGGAACATACATGAGGCTCAGTGGATTTAGTGCAAGAAGTCATTCAAGCTCAGAACGATGGGAATTAAGGCAGTGGAGTCGCACATGCGAAGCACGAAACACAAAGCGTCAAAATGGAGTTACAGAGAAACAGCCGGTATTTCTCAGTTTAGTTCCACCCTTGTCTCTGCAACGCCTCCACTTATCACCAAATCAAACATACTAAGAAAACCATACAAAGAAAAATAGCTGCAAAAAAGACTTAGCACTGGTTATGTTGGGGCTTTAAAACTGATTAGTTTTGTTCCCTGCTAAAACAAAGTTTGTGAATTCAGTTAAATAATTGTTGAAATATATCTGTCATTTGTGTGTTTTTAGCTTTCTTCCTGTATGGGAAGCTTTTTAACATTTGAAACATTAGTGCAGTGGTTTATGTTAAAATAAACCTTTGGGTTTAGTTGTAGCAAGCGGGGTTTTTTTCTTGTGTTTTTTGAGAATTTGGTCTCAAATTTTTATTTCAAGTGGCATTAAAAAGTCTTCAAAAGTCGTGAATATAACTTGCCTTATGCTGTAGGAACCCTGCTTTAACAGAGTTCAGAAACTCAGTGCATTGTTCCGCTCCAACCATCATTTCTAAGCTGATGACCAAGGGGATGTAGAGGATTCTCTTTACCTGATTTCCACCTCTACCCTAAACTTTGTGCTCGTTCTTCAATGCATAAGAGATCAAATGCAGTCAGATTAGGCAGACTTTGAATAGATCATTCTCACACTTCTGTAGATCATAATTACTTGATCTACACCAGAGGCGCTCAAGTCCTCCAGAGCTACTATCCTGCAACTTTTTGATGCACACCTGAATCCAACGATTGGCTCGTTAGCTCTGCTGGGCTACATGAGGGATTGAGCCTGTCGATTGAAGTGTGTTAGAGAAGAGATGCATCTAAACGTTAAAGGATAGTAGCTCTTAAAGACTGGACTTGAGCACCCCTGATCTACACCATTCAACTGCATATTTGCCTCTATTCCAAAAAAGTAAAAAAATAAAAATAAACAAATATCTGTGTTAACTGCAATAGACACGCAGACAACCTGTTTTCTGAGTATAAACCAGGCTTTGGAAAAACCTCTGAGGCCTTCAGCGCTAAATTTCTTTAGTGATTTTATTCTTTATATTTTTTGCTGAAAGCCAAATGTCTTCTTTTAATGCAGGTTACTAATATACCGTATTTTCACGACTATAAGGCGCACTTAAACGTCTTTTTTTTCCCTCAAAATGTGCGGTGCGCCCTTTGGTGCGGTGCGCCCTATGTGTGTTGTAGCTGCGACTTTTGAGACCACCTCATTGAGGAGATGATGAAAGAGTGGCTGAATGTAAGGAGACCAGGTGTTTTTTTTTCCACTCATCACCATCGCTGTTAATCTGTAACTCCATGCGTGCCCATCTCACAGCTGATGTGAAAAACATGGGGAAACAAATTAACGCTGTGCTCGCTGTTCAACCGCTGGACATCGGTGTGAACCGGACCCAGCAGGTGCAGCAGAAGCAGCGAGTTTACATGCAAAGTAAATGGTTGACGCGCGTATAGGCGCAGCAAAAAGCGCGTTTTGAGCAGCAGCCGCAGCGCCTCGGGAGCGTTTAAGTATCTGACGCACCGCCAACGCGCTGCTGCTGCTCGAGATGGAAAAATTGAAGTTTTGCTGCTGGACGCGCCGCATCAACCAATCAGAGAAGCTGATCTGGGAGCTGACAGCGAGACAGACACAGCGCTCTGATGACATTAACGCAAATGAAAAAGGCTGGAGATGATGAAAGGCAGGTGTATGTGAGGAGACCATGTGCTTTTTTCCACGCATCACCATCGCTGCGTGCCCATCTCACAGCCGATGTGGAAAAAAAAGATGAATCAAATGAACGCTGTGCTCGCCGTTATCCCGGGGGTCTGACAAAGGAACTTCCACCGCTCGACACTCAGTGTGAAGCGGCCGTTCAAAGTAAGGCTGCGAGCGGCGTGGGAGCGATGGATGACAGACGGAGACCACAGTTTCAGGATAAGTGGAAGGCAGCGCCGGGCAAGTTACACCACCGTTTGCGGATGGATTGTAGATGCTTGGACTAACGTGTCTGCTGGCTCTGTTGTTCAAGCTTTCGCAAAAGCCGGCATTATTTCTGAGGAGCTGCGCTGCACGGAAAGTGACTGACAGCGAAGAAGGGGAAATTGGCATGTCTGATTTAGCGCAGCTGTTTAATTCAGAAACAGGAGGATGACATTGATGGGTTTGATTAATACTTTGTAATAAATACATGAATAAAGCACAATCATGCTCAGTTTTGCTCCCGCTGTATTTTTCTACCTGAAAGCTTAATTCAACAGCAGCCTCTGGGCGGGTCTCCTCCTCTTCACCGCGGTGGCTGGCAGGTGTTTTTTCATCTAAATAATCTAAATCTTGCAGCTATATTTGCTGTGATCAGTGGGTATTAAGTAGCTTTATTATGTTTTTAAGTGAGAAAGTCCACCTGAAAACTTAATTGCAGTCAGTTCATCCAGATTATCTATTTCTGTCGGAGGCGCTCAGACCCCCACATACCAGCGGTACACCGACAGTAAATCCCTTCAACAGCAGCCTCACCGCGGCGGCTGGCAGGTGTTTTTCATCTAAATAATTTAAACTGCAGGCACCAGGATACCGGCAATAAAAGCGAACATATTCCATCGGCAGGTTTCAGGATTTTAAGTTAATTTAGGAGTCATCACAGCTCTGTCATCTGCGATGTGTCTGTCTCACGGCCAGCTCGCAGGTTTGATTAATACTTTGTAATAAATACATGAATAAAGCACAGTCATACTCAGTTTTGGGCCCGCTGTATTTTTAAAATACGCAGTAGAGGTATTTAAAGGTAGTAGAGGACATGTACCTGTATATAAAAAATGCGCCCTATAGTCCGGTGCGCCTTATGGTCGTGAAAATGCGGTACTTGGTTTTGTCACATAAATTCCCGATAAAAAACAACAAAGTTTGTGGTTTTTATGTGACAGGATGAGGAAAAGGTTGAGGGATTGAAAATGATTTCTGCTTTATAAACTCTTAACATAACCTCCAAAGGTTTAATTTTTCCTCTTGGCAGCTCATGTTTGCCTTCATCAAATGTTCTTTCCAATCCACGTCATATCTAATAGTCCACCTGGTAATCTCCTTAAGTCCGTTCACCGTTTGATAAATCTTGCATAAGCCCACAAACCCTTCCTGCCATTCATTATAAAGGAAGTAGTTTAACAGCGTTTGATTTTCTGCTTATGCAACTTGGTTCTGCAACAGCATTTAAAGCAGGTAGAGCATTGTGCTAATTTTGAAAAGTCTGTGTATTTAATTGATTTCTTCCTGCATTAAATTCATATGGCGTCTTTTGAGTAATATTTAAAGATTCTGGGTTAAAGACCTGTTTATTGCTTTAAAAATCTGAGCTTTTGTTTCTGTGATTTCAGGCCGAGAAGCCCATGAAGAAATAAACATCACGTTCACTCTGCCCGTGTCCTGGAACTCGGACGACTGTGTGCTGCATGGCCACTGCGAGCAGGTGGTGTTCAGCACGTGCATGACCATCACAGCTGCCAGCAATATCTTCCCAGTCACAGTGTGAGTTGGACGGCTTCCCGGAGTCGCTTCTCCGATTGTTTCTGGAGCTGATTTATTAGCGCAGAGGATGTGCGCTGTTGGAAAACATTCCCACCTGAGAAAAGTCTGCAGTTTACTCCTAGCATCATCTCTGTCTGCAAATGGATGGAAAATCAATCACCCTTTATTTGTAGACTTTTTTTAACACACCCAGAGTGACCATCTGAAAAGATAAAAGTAATAAAATCAGCAATAAAATGCAAAATTTAGGTCTGGATGATGCAGCTAGAACTTCTATCATATGTTTCTGAATTTGAGTCTATATAAGAGAATTTTATTGTTGATATAAGCAAGAATAAAACCCATAGACTGCAGAGAATGCACACGACAGATATCTGGACAAACGTTCAACAATTAATTTGCCATGTTGTAACAGGGCTTTTTAATGCACTTAGAAATAATTTTAATGCCATCAACCAGTACCCATGACTCATATACATTCACCGGCTACTTTATTAGGTACCCCATGCTAGTAACGGGTTGGACCCCCTTTTGCCTTCAGAACTGCCTCAATTCTTGGTGGCATAGATTCAACAAGGTGCTGGAAGCATTCCTCAGGGAGTTTGGTCCATATTGACATGATGGCATCACACAGTTGCCGCAGATTTGTCGGCTGCACATCCATGATGCGAATCTCCCGTTCCACCACATCCCAAAGATGCTCTATTGGATTGAGATCTGGTGACTGTGGAGGCCATTTGAGTACAGTGAACTCATTGTCATGTTCAAGAAACCAGTCTGAGATGATTCCAGCTTTATGACATGGCGCATTATCCTGCTGAAAGTAGCCATCAGAAGTTGGGTACATTGTGGTCATAAAGGGATGGACATGGTCAGCAACAATACTCAGGTAGGCTGTGGCGTTGCAACGATGCTCAATTGGTACCAAGGGGCCCAAAGAGTGCCAAGAAAATATTCCCCACACCATGACACCACCACCACCAGCCTGAACCGTTGATACAAGGCAGGATGGATCCATGCTTTCATGTTGTAGACGCCAAATTCTGACCCTACCATCCGAATGTCGCAGCAGAAATCGAGACTCATCAGACCAGGCAACGTTTTTCCAATCTTCTATTGTCCAATTTCCATGAGCTTGTGCAAATTGTAGCCTCAGTTTCCTGTTCTTAGCTGAAAGGAGTGGCACCCGGTGTGGTCTGCTGCTGCTGTAGCCCATCTGCCTCAAAGTTCCACGTACTGTGCGTTCAGAGATGTTCTTCTGCCCACCTTGGTGGTAACGGGTGGTTATTTGAGTCACTGTTGCCCTTCTATCAGCTCCAACCAGTCTGGCCATTCTCCTCTGACCTCTGGCATCAACAAGGCATTTCCGCCCACAGAACTGCCGCTCACTGGATGTTTTTTCTTTTTCGGACCATTCTCTGTAAACCCTAGAGATGGTTGTGAGTGAAAATCCCAGTAGACCAGCAGTTTCTGAAATACTCAGACCAGCCCTTCTGGCACCAACAATCATGCCACGTTCAAAGTCACTCAAATCACCTTTCTTCCCCATACTGATGCTCGGTTTGAACTGCAGGAGATTGTCTTGACCATGTCTACATGCCTAAATGCACTGAGTTGCTGCCATGTGATTGGCTGCTTAGAAATTAGGTGTTAACGAGCAGTTGGACAGGTGTACCTGATAAAGTGGCCGGTGAGTGTATATACATGGCAAAATCCTTTCATCATCTTTACCGTCGACAGGCTGCAGCCATGTTCTGAATTCCTTGTTTTTCAGCCACTTTTATCGAAATTGCATTTTCCCATTCTCTATCTTTTTCTCCGCCTCGAGCTTTTTTTCGGAACATACGACTTTATGATCAAACGGAAGCAGTTCCGCGCAAATATATTGCGTAAAACTTCTCCAATTCGACATATTAACAATCTTGCTATTAAAAAAAAAAAAAAAAAAAAAAAAAAAAAAAAAAAAAAAGACATAAAACCCAGAACAACAGTCATGGTGTTCAGGGTTCTGCTGGAGATTTCTTCCTGTTAAAAGGGAGTTTTTCCTCTCCACTGTCGCTACAAGCATGCTTAGTGTGAGGGATTGCTGAAGAGTCAATGAGTCGATGCAATCAGCTGGTTTTCCTCAGAGGTGGAAAAAGTACTAAAATATCATACTCAAGTAAAAGTACCAATACTTGGATGAAATATTACTCAAGTACAAGTAAAGTTACCCATCAGAAAAATTACTTGAGTAAAAGTAAAAAGTAGCTAATTTAAAATGTATTTTAAGTAAAAGTTACTTAGTTACATAAAAAAAAAAAAAAAAAAAAGCAGGGGATCTCTCCCATGTAGGGAAAATAGGACAAGGAGTTATAAATCCAAAACTATTTAGTTTTTAAATTAAAGAAAATCTCTACAAATGTAAACACATGTAATGACAAGATAAAACATGTCACACATGACATTTAAGACCCATTTAAGGCCAAGGATTTTCGTCGTTTTGGGCAGCAGAATTCGATGTTTCAGCTAGCATTTCTAGTGAAACGTTCTCTGAACCGTCGTCGCTCTCCTGATCCACCTCCATCTCGTTCCCAATCTCCTACAGAAAGACTTGGCGCCTGGTAGCCTAGATCTACATGCTGATCACGTCACTCGCTGCAGAGCTTCCGGGCCCCATTTTTTGTCTTCCTTTTGGTTTTCCAAAGTTTTTTTTTTTTTTTACTCAGTAACGGATGGGATTTGTAATGTAACGAAATACAAAACTTTACTCAAAACGTAATCAAGTAAAATTTCAATTAACGATTTTAAAAACTACTTGAAAAATACAAAATACACAAAAAACCTACTCAATACAGTAACTTGAGTATATGTATTTCGTTACTTTCCACCTCTGGTTTTCCTTAAATAGAAAACTTTGAATCAATCTGACTGGATGATCTGGTTGAACTATAAAGTGCCTTGAGATGACATGATGTGAATTGGTGCTATATAAAGAATTAAATCGAATATATTGAAATACTGGTAAAGTCAAATCACCATTATTGGATAGAATATTATTTCAATTGATTTATTGATTGGCAGTAGTGTTCTTTTACAAACATGGATGCCTGCAGTAAAGTACATTTAAATGAAAATTACTCTTAATTAAAAACACTGATAATTTATTGAACAATATGTAATAATTTTATCTTTATTTAAAGTAAACTTTCAGAAGTTACTTTTCCTGTAAAGCAGCTCCAATACGAGAATATAAAAACCAGAAATTTATTACGATTTCTTTTCATTTTGCACTTAGGATGCTTTCTGGAACAGTGCATTGATATATTTATACTAATATTTAATATTTATCTCATTGTGAATTATTTACCTCACAGCAAAACAAATCCTTTGCTTCTCTTTGTTATTATTTTGCAGGCAGCCACCCCACTGCGTGCCAGAGACGTACACCAATGCAACATCCTGGTACAAGGTGTTCACCACGGTCCGTGACTCGGACACCAAGTACAGTCAGGACTACAACCCGTTCTGGTGTTATAAAGGAGCCATTGGCAAAGTGTACCACGCACTCAACCCCAAGCTCACCGTCATTGTTCCAGATGTGAGTTACAGACTCTCCGTTTTCTCATAACAGAAAATACTTTTAAACATTTATGACCAGAGACCTTTATTTGTTTATTTTTCTACTGTCTAAATGGCTCATAATTGTTCTTCTTTAATTGACACATGGAGCAAAGAGTTATTACCCCTAATTTAATGAATTTAAAATCCAAAATGGTCAGAGAGATTACTCGTACCTGACAAAAAAAATAAATAAAAATTCTCTGAAATTACCAAATGAAAGTCAGACATTGCTCTCTAACTAACAAAGGGACGATTTTCAAAATTAAACTTGTGAAACAGGCCTGAACAACAATGATGGTGCTTAATTCTTTCCAAAGAAGTTTAAAAAACAATCCACTGGACTCTCTTCCCAATCGGGAATATTTTTTCAATTCAAAATGTCAGAATTGGCGTCGATTCTGAGGCTTTATAGAGTGGACCAAAAACAAAGCCCTGGTGTGAAGGTATTCCTTGACACCCCTCTCAAACCAGGAAGCCATCTATGTTAAGAAAGAAAAAGGCTCCCAGCGTTCTCACGCACCTCGCTCTTCTAGCTGGTCCATTTTCATGAGTTGTTTTCCACAGTGGCGGTCAGACAAACAAAACAAGCCGGTAAGAAACCAAACAGGAAATACGCATAGTGTAGAGCGGATGTAGATCTGACCAATCAGAGGCCTCCTGTCTGCAGGACTGTCTGCAGTCACCTACCATTTTGGAAAGGTGCAGCAGTATGAATCGGCCTTAAACCAGGCTTTACCAGAAAGGAGGAAATGCAGTTTTCACCAACCTGTCCTGAGCTATCAATACTCCATGTAATTCCTATAATTTTTTGACAATTGTTTTTTTTTAGCTGTAATAGCTGATTGAGGTAAAAGGGTAAAAAAATTAAATAAATCAGACTGGCAAACTCAGCAAAAAGTTAGCAAAAAGAGGAGTTTAGTTTTTACCAACAAATCAAGAGAAAAAAGTAAAGACGCTTAATAATGAATTAATAATAAATAAATGTTTACTTTAAAATTTATATTAAAAATTGTTGTCTCATAAAAACAACAGCTTAGCTGCGTTTACTGCGACACACAAGCAGACGACTTGGTTTCTGAGCATCCCTTTCCGCTATCATTGCAACCCCCATACAGTAAACCAGAAGTCCTCGCCTGTTCCGCCAGGCCAACAATTCCCTCTAACGACCCCCCTTTCAGAGGCATAGACCAGCAATCGGCATTGAATGCTAACAAGGAACCCAAATGACTGCCCATTCCTATGGGGCAGAACCGTTCAATTTGCATGTTTTCTGAACAAAAACAAAGCTTTGTTGGTCCACTCTATAAAGCTCTGAACTCAACGCTATTTCTGACATTTTGAATTGAAAAAGCTTCCTGGATGGGAAGAGAAACATCTTCAAACTTGGAAACAAAGTACAGGGGATTGATTTTTAACTTTTTTGGAACGACTATGACCTGGATGACTGAGAATTTTCACCAGCAGACGGTACTTAATGTTCTGAGCGGCACCAACAATTGTTTACTGCAAAAAAACGCAATCAGAGTAATTACTTTTTTTTTTTAAATAACTACATTTTTTCTTGAATTGAGCTTTGCTAATTGAATGAGAAAATATACATTTAAAATAAGAAATAATTAAAGGATTATCTTATTTCAACTGCATAATATCTGATGATCTATCTGAGGGCATCTTATTTACCTGCTCAGATTAAGGGTAAACACTCGTAAGAAATGTAAACTTATTTTTAGATCCTTTTTGCCATATCTCCACAGGCGTCGTCGCAAAGCATAACTGAGGTTTAATCATTTTCGAAGGCTGTTTGATTGTGTGATATAATTTTTCATTCATCAGATGACCTACAGTAGCAAATAAACCATGGTTACTTTTTCTCTTACTGCTTCACTCTTGCTGATCTGTAGACTTGTGATTTGCAGGAAATGAGCAAAGCAAACACTCTCATCCACGACTTTAACTTCACATCTACGATCCTGTTATTCCTGAAGTTCACGCTTCACCATTCTGTTCACAATTAACTCGATGTTCCCGGTCACAGGGGAAACCGGTTTACATTTAACTGATGTTTATTTTTATCTGTCTGTCTTTTCAGCATCTTGAAATAGAAAAGCAAAAAGAAACTAATAAAGCTTCATGTAAAAAGGAATAAAAAACTGCAGTTGATGAATTGAATAAAAATCTTTTATTTTTCAAATGGTTAAAATCTCGTTTCCTCCAGAAATATTTGTCCAAAATTTTTTTTCTATATTCTCTATTTTAAGTTAAAATGTCACTTTTCAAATAGACTTTTTTTATAAGGCTGCAATGGGATATTAACCTGACTCCGCCAGATGGATTTGCTCCGCATATCCATCTGGAAACCTTCCGTTGAAGTAATTTTGGGAAGGAGCGAAAATACTGGTTAGCTGATTGGCCTTTGTTGGTGATAGACGGGCCAAATAAACCAATCAGATCAACGAAGCATATGACGTACTAACAGAGCGACGACGAAGAGGAGCCAATTGATAGATCAAACTCTTGCCGAAACCAGTCGGGAGAAGAGCAAAAACATCTTTTCCTCTGAGAAAAGCCTCCAGAGCAGTGTTTTGCTCTTCTTTCAGTGAAGAAATACTCTGTAATTCCGATAAAACTTGCTCGATAGCCACGCTAACGCTAGTTTCATCGGCTGAAGCCGCCATGTTCTTTAGACTGAACTGTCGCGCTTCTCGTTGCGTCACACCTCAACCCGCCTCAAAGCCAACGCTGATTGGACGTTCGTTTGGTGAACGGCTCCAAATTTTCTTTAACGGAGAGTCTCCAGGCTGATTAGCGAGTGAAACCTTGAAAGCTCGCGAGATCAGGATGGTCTCACGAGGCTAATGGGATATATCATATTTAGAGAAAATATATTACTTCAAGTAAAATAAAAAAGCAGCATCTCTTTACATCTATCATTAACTATTATTATTTAGTATAATAAAAGCGCTACTCAGAGGGAATATATCCTGCAAAATCAATAATTCAGAGGTTTTAACTATGATATAATTATGATGAAGTGCCCTAAAGCAGCTAATCTGCCCAGTGACAGCAACTATGTTAGCTTTAGCTAATAATGTAAAGTGGCAAAAGGTTGAGAGAGAATGGATGTGTGGAAAACAGGAAAAACAAATATTTCTGTAAGGTAAATACTTTATATTACTGGGAAAAACATCATACATTATATAAATATTGTCATACAACAACACAGCTCTTCTGTTAACCGTTCATAGAGCAAGTTAGCATTTTTGATCACTTGCTTCTAGAAGCACAAGATCTATATCCAGCCATTCAGCAACAATGCTGCTACATGGCTGTACATCTTATTTTGGCATTTGACCAATTAGATGAGCCCTTTAATGATATATATTACCTACTGGAAATTAAGTTTGGGGAAAAAAAGTAAACAAATTAAGAAAAAAAGGTAACAAGCTAATTAAAAAGTTATAAAGTAAAGATAAAAAGTTAATAAGCCTAGTTAACAATTATATTTAGGTTTATAAACTAAAAAATGTCAGTGCCAGTATCAGCATTAATGCCTCTAAGGTTATGTTGGACCAAAAAACGTGTTTCTTTCACTCTGAGTGTTTTTCATGAATTTCTTCTTGAAGCACTTTTGTTATCTTTCAGAAAATATTCGGGAAAGTTGGCGTTTCTTGTTATTACATTGACAGTCATCATTGATATCAAAATATCCATATTTTTTTAATGTTACAAAGGTAATAAGGTCTTGTCCTGAATTCCAATACTATTGGTTTGACAGTATTTCACTAAGTGCCCTATAAAGGGTTAAGTTTAGGGATGGGAATCGAAAACCGGTTCCTGTTAAGAACCGGTTCCGTATTTTCCGATTCCATGGCATCGTTTGGCAGCTCGCTGAACGATTCTTTTTTCGATTCCCGCAGCACCAGAGCCTAGAGCGCCGGCTCTGGGGAGCACGACTTACGTCACATTTTTTACGTAAGTTACGCAACTTACGCAAGTTACGCAAGTTGGAAGAACTATTCGAGGAGGAAGACAACGAGCTGCGGTCCCTTTGTGAATCAAAGCCCCGTCTTTCCTTAGCCCACAGGGTAGATCAGGAAATCCAGCTCTATAAAAGCTTGCCCTCCATCCCCTGCAGGGATAGCGCCACACTGTGGTGGTGGAACAAGCAAGATACGCTGCCCTTGCTATCTGGACTGGCTGAAACCTACCTCTGTGTGCAGGCTTCCTCCACCCCATCTGAGAGGGTGTTCTCCAAAGCTGGAGACACCTTAAGCGCTGAAAGATCCCTTATCCTTCCAGAAAAAGCAGATATGCTCATCTTTCTGCAAAAGAACTGTTAATTTTCCCTACTACTGTTTTATAATTAGTATTTTTTGTTATTTAAAATAGGTTATTATCCCATCATTTGTTATTAGACGTTGGTTATTAAGTTTGTTCTTGTATTCATTTTTCATTTAAACACAGATGTTACTCCAGTTTCACATTTCCTGTGGACATCTTGATCTTGTTGAGTTTGTAAGATTGTGCAATAGTTAAGTAAACAAAGTTGATTCTGATAATCAAACTGTTTGTTCTCCTTTTTCCCCCAAATTGGAATCGAAAAAAGAATCGAATCGTTTCATAGAATCGAAAAGGGAATCGGAATCGTGAAAATGTTTTCAATTCCCAACCCTAGTTAAGTTTACATTGAATTGAATCAAAGAGAGAAGTGTCTCCATTAGTTTACCCACCGAATGTCTATACTCCTGACGTCGTGTAACTCTTTCCTATCCAGGATGACCGCTCCCTCATCAACCTTCACCTGATGCACACTAGCTACTTCCTGTTTGTCATGGTCATCACTATGTTCTGCTATGCAGTCATAAAGGGGCGGCCTGGCAAAGTGCGACAAACCAACCCTGACTTCTGTCCTGAGAAGGTACAACAGACACCAGCAGTGCTTTATGACATCAACAGGTAGTTTCAGCCAAGCGTCAGTTGACTGCTGATCGGTCTTAAGACACAATCTAATCACACTCCTCGTTTTCTTCTGATTCCTTCAAACCTACCTGTGATGATTTGTCTTATCGGTTTGTTTGTGTTTTTAAAGAGCTTAACATTTCCCTATCTGTGTCGGGAAGCCACAAATAGCTGTTTGTCAATACAGTATGCTATACGGCAAAGATATTTTCAGTGTTGTCGGTGACCTGTTGGCTTTTCTCTGGGCTCTACTAAAGGCCTCCCTCCACTGAAGCCGCTGTCACACCTTGATGATTTAGACCAGCGTATGCCTGACGTACAATAAAAATCTGGCAAAAACGCTGGAATACGTTAGATAAGTTATGGGTACGTTTTGTATAAGTTATGAGCACGCTGAAACACGCTGGCACACGCCAATAAACGGGGAGTACGTCGCAAAATTTTGAGCATGCACCTATGCTAGCGTATGTCTAAAGGGCTGGTTTTCCTACCGCAGCAGTGTGCCGCAGATATTTTTGATTCATGCCCAATTTTGAAGCGTGGCCTGCGCTATGTTATTCCATGCCACAACGCAAGACGGCCAATCAGGAACTAGCTGTGGGTCTAGATAGAAGAAGGAGGTGGGGCCAAGTTTGTGTGACCACGGAGGGACATTAGGGCAAAATAGAGTGGGGATTCAGGTGGAATTGACGGATGTAGAGGCCCCCCCTGTTTGCGGTCACCTAGAGAGTGTCTGCGGAAAGGGGGGAGGGGCTTATTTGCGTTAACTGCTACACTGACGCAGACGACCTGGTTTCTTGGTATAAATCATGCTGAACGTTGGCCCATCAGTTCCAGGTCAGTTATCTGATGGTTGACATCCGTTCAGTATCAGTTCCTCATCAGTCGTGGCGTCTACCTTCTCCTAAACCTCTGAGTAACTTGTGAATAACTTCTGCGTAACTTATCCATAACTTCTCTCCAACGCATATCAACGTATCTGACGTGTTCCAGACGAGCGCTGAACGTGTTTCTAACTTCCAGCTACTGTATAATGGCGTATTGGCAGCGTTTTGGTATAAAGGGGGTTCACAGGAGGAAACCGTCAGTTCTCCTCCAGACTTCATCCCCATCATAGGGTGAGCCAGAAGGTGAGAGTGATGAATCCTCCCTGCGTTCACGCCCACCACCAACAAACTTCCCAGCAGACAGGATGCTGAATCTCTGCGACTGCGAGGTTAATTCCACGATCAAAACCATCTTTTTATGCCGACCAGGCGCCTCCGGGCACATCACTATTGCCCATGAAATTATGCTTGTTCAGAGAGCCGCCCCTCATAGGCAGAGCATCTTCAGGAGATCTAATGCTACAAAAATAAAAAAAACATTCTCGTTATGTTACGACTTTATTCTCGGTATATTGCGACTTTATTCTCGTGATGTTGCGACTTTATTCTCGTGATGTTGCGACTTTATTCTCGTTATGTTGCGACTTTATTCTCGTTATGTTTCGACTTTATTCTTGTTGTTACGACTTTATTCTCGTTATGTTATGACTTTATTCTCGTTATGTTACGACTTTATTCTCGTTGTTACGACTTTATTCTCGTTATGTTGCGACTTTATTCTCGTTATGTTACGACTTTATTGTCGTTATGTTGCGGCTTTATTCTCGTTATGTTGCGACTTTATGCTCGTTATGTTGCGACTTTATTCTCGTTATGTTGCGACTTTATTCTCGTTATGTTGCGACTTTATTCTTGTTATGTTGCGACTTTATTCTCGTTATTTTACGACTTTATTCACTTTATGTTACGACTTTATTCTCGTTATGTTGCGACTTTATTCACTTTATGTTACGACTTTATTCTCGTTATGTTGCGACTTTATTCTCGTTATGTTGCGGCTTTATTCTCGTTATGTTTTGCCTTTATTCTCGTTATGTTGCGACTTTATTCCCGTTATGTTGCGACTTTATTCTCGTTATGTTGCGACTTTATTCTCGTTATGTTGCGACTTTATTCTCGTTATGTTACGACTTTATTCTCGTTATGTTGCGACTTTATTCTCGTTATGTTGCGACTTTATTCTTGTTATGTTGCGACTTTATTCTGGTTATGTTGTGACTTTATTCTGGTTATGTTACGACTTTATTCTCGTTATGTTACGACTTTATTCTCGTTATGTTGCGACTTTATTCTCGTTATGTTGCGACTTTATTCTCGTTATGTTGCGACTTTATTCTCGTTATGTTGCGACTTTATTCTTGTTATGTTGCGACTTTATTCTCGTTATGTTACGACTTTATTCACTTTATGTTACGACTTTATTCTCGTTATGTTGCGACTTTATTCACTTTATGTTACGACTTTATTCTCGTTATGTTGCGACTTTATTCTCGTTATGTTGCGGCTTTATTCTCGTTATGTTTTGCCTTTATTCTCGTTATGTTGCGACTTTATTCCCGTTATGTTGCGACTTTATTCTCGTTATGTTGCGACTTTATTCTCGTTATGTTACGACTTTATTCTCGTTATGTTGCGACTTTATTCTCGTTATGTTGCGACTTTATTCTTGTTATGTTGCGACTTTATTCTCGTTATGTTGTAACTTTATTCTGGTTATGTTGTGACTTTATTCTGGTTATGTTACGACTTTATTCTCGTTATGTTACGACTTTATTCTCGTTATGTTGCGACTTTATTCTCGTTATGTTGCGACTTTATTCTCGTTATGTTGCGACTTTATTCTCGTTATGTTGCGACTTTATTCTCGTTATGTTACGACTTTATTCTCGTTATGTTACGACTTTATTCTCGTTATGTTGCGACTTTATTCTCATTATGTTGCGACTTTATTCTCGTTATGTTGCGACTTTATTCTCGTTATGTTACGACTTTATTCTCGTAATTTTATGGCTCTCCTCAAAATAAAAACATTTAAAAACTCTCTAATACTCCGTCGTACTAATTCACTCCCGTTATAGTTTCAGCAGAATAGGCCTGTTTCCTTAATCATTACTTCATCCTCACATTTTTCCGTCAAAAATGTAATAGTTAAAAAAATATATTCAAGACATTCATACATATAAACAAACATTATTAGTTTTTTTTTAATCCGTTTCCTTTACTTTATTAATTTGGAGTCCTAATGTTTGTCTATTGAATAATGGCTACGTATTAATTAGCGCCCAGAAGGACTTTTGAGGGATTAAGAGGCGTTTTAGTCTACTTCATGCTTGGAGTTGGTTACAGGCAGTTGACCACAGGGTCTCATCAAGCTTTCCTTACCACAAGTCCAAGATGTAATGTAATAAGAGGAATCCTATTCCCTTAAATGCAAAAAGATCTGACTCTAGTTGAGAAATTTATTTTTAGATGTCCCCTGCATTTGGGAGGAGGATTTATCAGAAAAATGTCTTTACATCAGTGCTCTGCTGTCCCTCCTTTTATTCTGCATCGTTTCAATCTATCCTCGTTGTTCCTCTTGGGCCGTAGGGTCTGTTTACTTCTGTCTGATCTTCCTAAACTGACAATCAATCAAAGAACTCTTTTGTTTTTCTGTAAAAAACTGAATGTAAACTGATGATAATTCCTCCTCTCTTTCCTAGGTGGCGCTGTCAGAGGGTTAAAAGGACACCGGAGAACTTTGCCAGAGGTTACCTGTAACGTGGACTTAGACATGCGGAAGAAATACAAAAAAAATATATACATCCCAGCTGCCTAGTGATCCCTGGAAATAAAACGAGGGACACAAACGCTCTGTGAATGCATTATTCTCGCAATGTTGGGTTTCTCCAACCAAAGATATACAAGTGCCTGTATCTGTGGTGTAAATATTTGTCGGATCTCTGATATTCTGTGCAAAAAGCTCTTGTTTATTTTTGTTTCTTTAGTCCTTCCCCGCTTCCAGCCCTGCCACAGTCCCCATGTGCCATGCCAGACATCCAGATGCACTCAGATGAAGGGAGTCTACAACTTTACAATGAATCTGCCCTTGAATTATTTGTTGTTCTCAAACAGCAGAGAGAATAAAATGTCCCTCTTTCCAAAAAAGAAATAACATCTGGTCAGAAGAAAAACACTCTACCTACGTGTTCAAACGATGTTTTCCACTTAAAACTCCCTCGTTCTGTCTATAATCCTAAGTAGAGAAGAGTTTTGAGATGAAACGTGCAGTAAAGACTCCATTAGTTAAATTTATCCTTACGAGCTTTATTGTTTTGTTTTTTTAAGCAGATTAATAAGCTGTAAAACTGCTCAGTCTGGTTTGTTTTTATCACAAGATTTGGATTTTTTTTTGCCTTTTGTTTCCCTTCGTCATCATCAGTTTTTTTCCCCACATTGTGGAGTTTTTTATTTTTACTGCACCGCTGCACCTGGGAGGGGAAAAAAACAAACAAACACTCGCAATAACATCTTGCCTTACCCGTGGTGGAGCAGCTAAATCGGAGGAGACCATATTATCTGGCTTTTCCATCAAACCTTCTTTGTTTTGTTTTTTTTCCTTCAGAAAATTTGGCCTAAAGTTGCCACAAACAACAAAACAAAAAAACTAACAAAAAAAAACAAATTGTATTGTTTTTTTGGTTTTTTTGGTGGAGCTTTTTAAAAACTCCAATGTCTGTATAGTGACTCCTAGTGGCACAACTCAATGACTGCAAACAAATGAACGCCCAGAAACTACATTATCGATTAAAGAAGGTGTTGTAGTTATCCCAACATATTTAAATTCTTGTTTTTATTTATAGCTAATATTAGTTTTTTATTTTTCTCCCCCCAAAATGTCACTTTAACTCCATATTCAAATCACTTTTGCATTTTCACTGATGGTGCATATTTAGTTTCTTCAATATCCCATGCAAACACTCTGAAATTGTGCAAAAAAAAAAAAATGGGGTCAATTAGCAGCTAGTCGTCGCTAAATCCACCGCTTGACATCAGAAAGGCGGCGCTGTGTTTCCGTCGAGGACAACGTTTGGAAAGAAAGGCCTCTGCAGTTAAAAAACGCGCTTCTAGATAATCATTTTGACCCTTTAACTGCAACAGCTTCACCGTATTCACGCCACATATCTATAATTGAACACACATCTGTTTAACGTCACAGCTGTGTGAATAAATGGGAGTCAATTTAGGACACATAAATAAAAAGAAAAATGGCTGTAGATGGATATTCTCTGTAATCTCCTTCATAGGGACAGAAAAAAACAATTCAGACGTGCTTATCTTTAATTAATTGGCCTTATGTTTGGATCACCTTTTCTCCACATATCTGATTTAAACCAATGTCACGCACTTGGCTTTTATTACTACATACACAGTTTTTTTAACAAAATGGTCAATCTCTGCAGTGGGACTCGCCTTTTTTTTTTTTTTAAACACTGAAAATGTGAAGAGTACGCAGCAAAAGTCTAATTCCCTTTAGACCTATAGTTAGACCTGTCTTATCTTCAACTTTAAACACTGAATAAGTAGCCGTAGTTGGACGTTTTTTTTCCCACTGACTGTTAATGAGTCTCTGGTTTTGGAGTAGCTGTTTGTTTGGGACTAATTTTATTATCTTGAACTCTCCCAGGAAAGACTGGATCACCATAGCAACCAGTGACAGCAATGTATTTATTTCTGCGTAGGCTCTAATATTAACGGGGAAAGTTTATGAAGAAATATCCTTTAATGTTTCTGGCATTTGTTATTAAAATAAGTAAAGGAGCTGTTTGGTTTCACTTCGTTAGCATGATCTAGTTCAACCGTCTCTATGGAGAAGAAAGGGAGGGTCGGTGAAGGTCTTCTGTGTGCCTGCTCGTCATGTTCTATTGTATCGTTTCCCAGTAGCAGTTACTGGTAACTCTGACTTACCTCTGTACTATAATTTTTTTCATATTTAATGTACCTGTTGAATGTACTTTTTTATGAACAGCAGAATCTAAATCTGAGATGCAACAATTCCAAGTGAGTTTAAACTTTTGATTTTTTTCTTTTTTCAGTTTGAAAGGCTTTACTTGAATCCTGTTTTTGTTCGAGTGTTATTGACATGCTATATGATGTATCTTTTCTTTTTTGTGATTTTTTTTCTCGTGAATGCTTTGTCGTTTTGGTTGAATGGTTGAAAACTGTTTTTTGTTTTTTCCTGAATTATAACATTGTACAAGTCTTCCTGATTCGGACGTCGATTACAGTCTCGTTAACTTTATCAGCTTATTTGCTAGTAGTCAGTCTGGCAGCTCGTTTTCTGGACGGGGGGAAACTTTGGATTGTTTTGCCAAACTGTCATTTTTCTCCTCTATAGCCTGAATTTGCCTGCTTATCCACCCTTGGGTCATTTTTTTTTCCTTTGGATATAATTGCCTCTGATTTAATGCAGATTGCCTTAACTTAGTCCAATTTTATGTTTCTTTGCTTCATATGTTGTAAAACAGGCCAGCTTAGAAACAAATCAAGCGTACAATTAAATATTTGTGTTTTAAATGCAGTTTATTTCCACTGTATCACCAACAGGTTCCTTTAAGTTGCATCATTTTACCAACGACTTTAAATGCAGTGCTGTCGTTACGCCCTCATATCCTCCATCATGTCAGCAGCGCTTTCATTCAAGTATTAAGCCAACTCTGTGCCTTCCGCACTGTCCAGCTGCATCTTCCTCCCTGTACAGACACTAGATAGGACCGTAGGTTTTCATGTGGCTAAGGCGTCATTCAACTCCCTTTTCTCTTTGGTGGAACTGCTGTAATTGAATTCAAATTTAAATAAATAAATCGTCTCAAAGGTTCAACGATTGTGTTTCCTGCTCATCCTTTTATCCAGTTTTTGGCTTCTGTCACGGTTTTTCTGAGAAATTAATGAGCTGTCAGAATAAATAAATGAAGTAAAAACCGATAAGTTAAATGTGGTGGAAACATCATGCGCTGGAAGTCGGATGAGTTTTGAATTAAAAGATAAGAAAGGATTGATATTTTTTTGTTTTTTATAAAAGACTTCAGCTAACAATGTTGTCATTTCAGGGTAGTTCTCTGCCCTTTTTATGGAGTCTGTCTGCTTCTGTGTTTGAGGGAATATGTTTATGACAAAATTGCCAAATTGTTAGGTCAGAATTTTATTTTATTTTTTTTTAAACTGCCATCATTTTTATTTCACTCTCTGAATCATGAGCTTACTACAGTGCTTTGAAAAAAGCAGCGGTAACCAATTAAAAATCAGCGGGGTCCGAATAAAAAAAAATTAACAACCAGTAAAGGTCCACAGACATTTTTAATTATAATCTGTTACTTCAAACAGAATTTAACACTGAAATAAAATGCAGGTTTTTATGCATCCATGATATACTACATTGAATTTTTGAATAAAAAAATAGAGCATTTTTCCATTATAAAATCTAAAGTTCTTTGTAACCCTTTAAAGCCCGATCCAAGAATTAAAACAAAACAGAAAATGACTTTTTTTTTGGTTTGAATTCCTTATTTGCCCTTTTAACAAAATATGTAAAAATAAAAAACAGAAATACATTTTTGATATTAATAATTTATTACTATGCGATAAGTCAAGATTATTTTTGGTGTAGTCTTCTGCCCTCTGTTATCAGGTATATCTGATTGTGTACAATAGGATTTTAAGCAAAGTTTTTACCATTAAATTATGCAAAAGGTGTCAGACGCAAAACATTTCAGAAACCGTATGTATCAAATATGATACATTTGGCATTATAGGGTTAAGTAGAGAACAACAATCTTTCAGTTTGGTATATAGACCATATTGATTTGCATATTTTAGAAAACACCTGAACTGATCGTTCTGTCTGAATCACACAGACTAGTACCAGCAGTAGACATGCTGGTCTGTTACACTGTCAACCCTGACGTTATCCAATGAAAGGAGTGGTTCTCAATTGAACGTGAATGTGAGCTGTATGTGTCCCTCATTCTTCTCATAGTGAACGTCACTAGCTAGCCTCTCATGTCACTAAAAATCTGAAGGTATTCAGTGAACGCGTTCATGCACAACACTGGTTCCAACTATAGGGGGATCAAACTTCTCAGCCTCCCTGGGAAGGTCTATGCCAGAGTACTGAGAGGAGAGTCCGGCTGGTTGTTAAACTTCAGCTGCAGAAGAAGCATTGCTGTTTTCATCCTGTCCATGGAACAGTGGACCAGCTCTATACTCTCTGCAGGCCGCTCAAGGATTCAATTCATTTCAATAAAGTTTATTTCTATAGCGCCATCTCACAGCACACATCATCTCAGGTCACTTTACAGTTCACCAGATCATCCAGTCAGATTGATTCAAGGAAAACCAGTTGATTTCATTGACTCTTCAGCAATCCCTCATACTAAGCATGCTTGTAGCGACAGTGGAGAGGAAACACTCAATTTTAATAGGATGCTTCAGAGTTTGCCCAACTGGACCACATGTGTTTTGTGGACCTGGAGAAGGCATTTGTTCTTGCCCCTTGTGGTCTTGTGTCAAGCAGTACGGAGTGGGGGATGCAGCCAAGGGCTTGCTTTTTGCAGATGATGTGGTTCTGCTAGCTCCCTCCTGCCAAACTTGCTCTTCTGATCTAGCCTCGTGAGACCATCCTGATCTCGCGAGCTTTCAAGGTTTCAGTCGTAAATCAGTCTGGAGACTCTCCGTTAAAGAAAATTTGGAGCCGTTCACCAAACGAACGTCCAATCAGCGTTGGCTTTGAGGCGGGTTGAGGTGTGACTCAACGAGAAGCGCGACAGTTCAGTCTAAAGAACATGGCGGCTTCAGCCGATGAAACTAGCGTTAGCGTGGCTATCGAGCAAGTTTTATCGGAATTACAGAGTATTTCTTCACTGAAAGAAGAGCAAAACACTGCTCTGGAGGCTTTTCTCAGAGGAAAAGATGTTTTTGCTCTTCTCCCGACTGCTTTCGGCAAGAGTTTGATCTATCAATTGGCTCCTCTTCGTCGTCGCTCTGTTAGTACGTCATATGCTTCGTTGATCTGATTGGTTTATTTGGCCCGTCTATCACCAACATAGGCCAATCAGCTAACCAGTATTTTCGCCCCTTCCCAAAATTACTTCAACAGAAGGTTTCCAGATGGATATGTGGAGCAAATCCATCTGGCGGAGTCAGGTTACTTCTGATCACCATTTATCATATATATAATTGAAGAAATATAAATAACTCCAGACGTTACCAAAAAAGTTTCTTTTTAATGAAAGTTGGAAAAAATTAATGCTCAATCCAAAATCAGGCTACCCAATACCTTTAAGGCCAAAACTTAAACACAAAGTGTTTTCCCTTTATTCTGAAAAGTAAAAATCTCTGAACCTAAAATAAAACCAGTTTGGATATTTTTTTACTTCTCAGTCCATTATTCCCTTCCCCATTATTGCTATTTTTTTCAAAAACAAATCAGTTCAACTGTTTTTTTTCTAAATCCATAATTTTTCTTATCTCCATATGTTTATAAAAAAATTGATTTTAACATGAGCACTCTGCCACAGGTGGGCACACTCTCATCAACATCTAAGATCCATTGCAGGCCTGTTGAAGCTAGGCTGAAATGCAGCGGATGAAAA